GACACCCCGCCGCCGCCGCGCCCCGGGGCGCTTTTATTTGTTTCGCACCCCCCGCGTTTGCCCCTTTTTTTTGCTGTTCTAAAGGAGGGTGTGTTCCCCCCCCCCCCCCCCCCCCCCCGCGCGGGGATGATAGTGTGTTGGTTATTTTCAGAAGGAGGTTGCCTGAGCGCGGTGGAGAGTGGTCTCTGTTGAAATTACAGTGTCTCTATCCTCCCGAGCTTTTGATAATCCAGGCGGAGGCATCGCAGCAGGAAGAAGAACACTCACTAACACAAGCCTCCCCCCCAAAAGGCACGGGCCAGCTCTCGGAGAAGGAGCTCTCGGCGGCGCTGGTCAACGGCGACTGGACGGCGTTCGACCAGCAGACGGTGCGGATGATGATCCGCATGTTCGACAGCGACCGCAGCGGGACGATCGGGTTCGACGAGTTCTGCGGCCTCTGGTCGTTCCTGGCGTCGTGGCGCACCCTCTTCGACCGCTTCGACGTCGACCGCAGCGGCGGCATCAGCCTCGACGAGTTCAGCAACGCCCTCGTCGCCTTCCGGTACCGCCTCAGCGACCCCTTCGTCGACCTGCTGTTCCGCACCTACGACAAGCGCGGCGAGGGCGTCATGAGCTTCGACTTGTTCGTGCAGGCTTGCATCAGCCTTAAGCGAATGACAGATGTGTTTAAGAAGTACGATGATGACCGCGATGGGTATATCACCCTGAGCTTTGAGGACTTCCTCAGCGAGATCTTGAAGCAGCTCAAGTAGGGGAGCTGGCTTCCATTAAAAACGGGGGAGGGGGCAAATGACGTTATTTTCTCCTCCCCCCCCCCCCCCAACCTCTCCCCCGGTTCTCTTTGCTCTTCTGTCTTCTGTTTTAGGCCTTACGGGCCTGAGGGTTGGGTTGGGTCGGGTTGGTTTCTGATGTGATGGAAGATGAGACGAGAGCGACGACGGTGCAAACCAGTGGCCGCGGTTGACGATGTCATGGGCAAACGGAAGTGCCGGATGGTTCCCGTAATGGTATTGTTTTTTTTGTTTTGTATTTTGTTCAATCGGCATGCTTGGCCTTGGTCGTCTTCGAGCTTTGCTCGACCCTGCAGGAGGGCAAACGAGTACCCATTTCGGAAGGGAGGAAAAAAAGCATGATAAGCATAGAAATGGGGAGATAGCATGTTCACAAACACTCTCAGCGAGGCTTGGTCGCCGACAGGCACAGCAGACAACGGAAGATACCCCTCCAGCTCTCGGATCTAGTCGAAAAGAATTGATTGTTTCGTTGTGGAAAAAGAATCTGTATCAGGTCCCTAAATTCCTCACATCAGGCGATATGTGTCTGATTCTAGTCAGGAGCCTCTCTCTTCTTTTGAGAATAGGTATTGAGGTGTCGGTAAATATAGTGGAATATCCCCAACTCCACGCCCATCCCATTCCATTTGCCCAATTCCCGTTGGGTCGAGTTTCCCGTGAAGCCCCGTCATTCATTCGTAACCTCGCAGAGGTGGTGGTGGTATCATGACATGAAGCTTAGGCGCTGCGTCGTTGGTATATCGGTCGCTTCCCTGAGTTTTTCATGGCGAAAGGAAAGAAATAAACAAACCACCTGGTCATACGTCTCAAAACGTGAGATTAAAGAAGAATAAGAACGAGAATTCAAGCAGATGAAGGCCGGATTTGCACTAAAGTCCCCTAGTCGAGCTCCCCCGGCACCCCAAACCAAACACAAGAGCAGATATTCAAGCCGCCGAACTAGCAGCCACAGGCATTGCTGATCCTTCCGGGCGAGTCGAGGTTGGCGTCCGTGTCGGCGTCGTCTTCTCCTCCTCGACAACCTGCGGCAATTTGGCGCCGGTCGGCCCTGCCACACCCCCGTCGCCGTCATCCTCGGCCCCGCCGGGCTCCCGGTCTCGGCCGACGTCCCAGACACCCTGGCTGGTGAGCACAACCTCCTCGCCGGTGACGAGCGCGATGACCTCGGTTCCCTTCCCCCGCAGCGCAGTGCGGGTGGTGCTACCGGCGACGCCTCTCGGGAGATCACCGCCTGAGGATCCGGTCAGGCCACCGCCGCAGCCGCCATCGCCGCCGACGGCGGATCCAGGCCGCGATCCCGGTCTCGAGTTGGCCACCTCCTCCGACACTGCTAGTAGGCCGCCTGCGACCTCATCGGGGTGCCACTTGCGGGTGCGCAGCAGGCCCGTCGCGATGCCGCGCACCTCCTTGTCGCCGTCGTGGGCGCTGATCCAGGTGCGGGCGGCCAGGCGGCCGGCTGTCTCGGCACCCGCGGGGGCGCCGAGGAGGATGTTGCCGCCGAGCCACCACGGGTTGCTGACGTTGTCGAAGCAGTGGAGGAGCGCAGTCAGTGGGAGCGCGGCCTCGGCGACGAGGTGACCGGTCGTGTAGCTCTGCAGGCTCGGGAAGGAGATGCCGTGGGGTGAGAAGATGATCGAAAGGGGGCGTTCGACGCTGCGGACCATACTGCTTGACGGTGCTGGAAATGTGGAACGGTTGGTGGCTGATGTCGCCGCAGTGTAATTTGTCAGGTGGGACGAGACGGACAGTGGCAACGAAGCCGCCGATCGCTCTGAGCGGATGGAGGACATCCCGGGAGATGTGGGTGTGGGAGGATATAGGTCGGCAGCGGCATCGTGGGTGCTCGAGAGGGATGAGATTCTGGGTAGGTGCGCGTAGGACCTGTGTGACTTCGGTGTAGCAGGAGGTGAAAGGATCGGGGTTGCAGCGCGGGACGAAATTGCCTTTTTGGTCGATAGCAGGGGCGATGAGGAGAGGTTCGGAGGACGGTAGGTGATCCCGATGGCGCCATGTAGGCCAGAGAGGTCTCGCCGTTGCGGGATGAACGCGGCCGTGACCTCGCCCGGTTCCCCCCCTTCCACAAGTGGTGCCACGCGGATCCTTACAACACCCTGGCGGCCAGTGACCTTGGGGCTCTCCCACTTGGGGATCGTTCGCACCTTATCCTTGTCGAAATACTTCCAGCTTCTAATCAGACGTGCGGAAGCTGGCTCGGCGAGGATGATGGTCTTGGTGCCCGTGGCTGGCAGCTGGCGAAGGGTTGCCTCATGGCAGTGATCGCTCTTGTGTTGGGAGATGATGACTAGATCTGGTTCAGGAAGCTCTTGCAGAGACGAGATGCACGCCGGCTTCTTATGGGTTGATGTAGAAACTCTGGAATGAAAGATCTTGGACGGCCCGGTGATCCAAGGATCCAAGAGAATCCGGAACGGCTCGGCGTTGATGGCGCCGGGTGTCGGGCTCGTTAGAATGGGCTCGAAGGACAGAAAGAAAGAAGCATCACCGTTGAGATGCTTGACCGTCAATGCCATGGCTACCTACTGGTCTCGAACACCGAGCACACGTCGGCAGAGAACCAAGCGCTGGCAAGGAGGAAGAATACGGTTGAGATACCGACCAAGGAAGTCAGTTCACCGGGTTGGATGGCACCAGAGAAGAATGGAAGGAGATGTAGATAGATAAGGTCTGGAACGCATGACAACCGGCAAGGATGTCATGTATGAGTACGAAACATAGGGAAACATTTAAACAAGAGGGCGCGATGGGTGTGGCGATCGGGCTAATATTATGACAGGGGAGAGCGGAGGTAAGGAAGAAACGCATCAAGACTTGAATGGTTCGGGTGCAGGGAATAGCTAACTTCCGTCTACCAACCTGCTCGCGCCGATTTTCAGGTGAACTTGCACCAGAGAAATCATAGGGTTGAATTAAAGAGAGCCCCAGGAAGGAGAAGCACGAAGGGAAGGTTGACGCGAGAGGCGTGTGAGAGACGTTCGGGCCACTAGCATTGGTTGTACAAGATCCCGGTTGATGGGCAAGTTAGAGCGAGTCCAAGCAGATGGAGAATGTGGCTTTTGGACTAGGGACTTACCTGGCCGCTTGCCCTTGCAGCCCTGTACGAAAGTCAAGCACCCCCAGCTAGGGCCAGTCTGTGCAGCATTGTCTGTCGCTTGACAGCACGTCGATCATTGTGTTGACAGGATACAGATGAACCATGATAAAATACTGCGTGGAAGACATAGACGCGGGCATAGAACTCTGTGTGGAGGCGGGAGAAACAATAAACAGAAATGCGGGAAGCTGGCAAGCCGCGCAGAGCAGAGCCCGAGACAGAGACGCAGGCATGCGGGAACCCAGATCGAAGAGTTACCGAGGCTTGCTTGGGCGTTGGGGTTTCGTTTCGTTTGAGTGAGGCTGTGCCCCCGCTTCAGGGCATTGAAGAAAGCCCAACTACCCATCGCGTTTGATTGTCCATTACCAGCTGAACCACAAATATAATTAGAAGCTGATTCAAGATGGCTTGATCCCCGAATATTCGATATCCAGATGTCGCTTCGTGGGATGAAGCTTATCAAGTACATCTTGTAAAGCATGTGTTGGGCGTTGCGCCGTACTCGGGACTTAGCTAGTGCGGGACCAGCTGCCGTTTTCTCGGCAAATTGACTGCGCCTTTAGCTACCTACCTAGTAATTCAAATTCATGGTGCGACCCGGACTGACTCGTGGAGTCGTGGCTGGTGCTGAAGCCAAGTTCAATTCTTGAATGCATCCCGCTTCAAAGCTGCAAGTGTTCTTCACCGCCTTGATCGGAGGAAGGGAGATTGCAGTATGTAGTTTAATGTACGGATTAATAAGAACCGAACCCTGGAAATATAAAGTCTTCGCAAGCATTGCATGCATCCGATTCTTCTCGTCAGGCAAGCGTCCCCTCGCCTGCCCCGCCTTTTTGTACCAGAAAGGGATGAACAGACCCACAAATCTCCCCTCTTCTTCCAGCGAAGCAATCCCTGTCAATATCCATGTCCTTCGTCCCTCACTCATGCTCCAGACCAGAGAAAGACAGACCAGAGAGCGCGGGATGGGAAAGGAGGCAGTCGCACGTACCACTTTGCATTTCCAGGACCTACTATCCTGCCTCGTGACCTGGGTTGGCTGGCTGTGAGAGGCTGGCTGGGTTGGTTGGCGCAAAGCTAGAGTCCGTACCTAGGTTCAAGCTCCCCCGATGTCGAAGCTTGGGATTGACTGACTGGGGCAAGGTACCTAGGTACCCACTTCAACCAGCTTGAGCTCTTGTCAAGCTTTGCGCCCAATCAAACACTGGACATTGGGGTTTCGCTCCAGGCAAAATGCACCCCACCCCTCCATTGTCCGCTCGGCTCACTCCCCTTCCGACCCCTCGATCGAGTCAGGATTCAGCATTCAGCAAGCCAGCCACAAGCAGATTCAAGGCCATTGTCCCGGGTGCTCGAGCTCTTTTGGGCATGTTTGACACCTATTAAAAGCTGAAGAGCTGCTGAGGGTTAATTACAGCCAGGTAGCAGATCTTCAAGTACAGATATCTCAGCCTGTCTCTTAGAATTGATTGCCCATGCCCTGAGCAGATGGGAGTGGAGATCAGTTTGTGGAATTAGCAAGGTATTTCCCCTTGTTCAGGAAAGCTGTCAAGCTGTGCCGTCGATGCTGACGACATCGCCATCCACATCTTGGTAGTAGGTATACCCATAGGTAGTAAAGATATGACATTGACATTCCACTGTTAGTTGCTACCTCAATTGGTGCAGAGGAGTAGCCTGGTCATCAGGTACTCTTCATGGCGTACCCGGTAGCTTCCCTCATTCCCAAGATGGACCACCGCACGCACAGAACTTGGGAACCTTAAGGTACCTGCCCCTTGGTGAGGTGGTTGATTTAGGTTGGCTGCTTCCGGCCACTGCCCCCAAAGTACCTACCACTAGCTGGTATTGTACATCCAGCTGCACGCATCTGATTGCAGAAGCGGGAACTGCTGGACCCCCTCCCTCCCTTTAACCAGCAGCAGCAAGCAGCAGCAGCAGAAGCAGCAGCAGTGGTAGTAGTTCGGAAATAGTAGGTCAGGTCAGACTCATCCACCCACCAGCACCTACCTGCCTTCTTCGAAACACCTCTTGTTACAACCACCCACGATTGAGCTTCGAGCTGAGGTGCGCAACCGCAAGCCAGTCGCCACAGCTAGCTTCATGTTGACTTTTTAAATATCTTTGGTCTAACGAGGTCAAATGCGACAGCTTCACCGTTATCACCCGACCCAGGTTGAATTTTAATCCCCGTTCCCGACTGTCCACATCCTTATCAACAGCTATCGTCCAGCATCCCCGCCAAACCCCTCGAACAATCGAACAATCCAGCGCATGGTGGGGTTTCGCTTTCCAAGATGCCGCCCAGGTCTTCCCTCACCTCGTCCTTCTCCATTACCGACTCTAACAATGAGGTCGTCTGTCCATTGCGCAACCAAGATGGCTCCAGCTGCAGGAAGCGCTGCATCGGCGTGAGCTCCATTCCCCTCCCTCCCTCTTCCCTTCCTGCCCAGCCAGCCGCGACGCCTTCCCTCTCCCCTTGCTCGCAGCAATGCAAGCTCCCGAGCTCCCGCTGCGATATCGAACACCTAGATTGACAATTGTGGTGAACTACAGGAGAAACGGTATCGTTCGATGCAGGAGCACATTCGTCGAGCGCACCCAGAACACTATATATCCAAGCTTCCCGCCACCGAAGAAAGTTTTAACCTGATGGTCAGCACGGCGCCTAGCGAACGACCCCAGGTCCAACATAACTCCGGGCCTTCGCATATGAACCAGGCAAGGGGCATATCCCACGCATACCACCGGGATGACTCGAGTGCTCCAGCAACGCCCCGGAACGTTGAAGAATACCAAGGAGGATCTTTGTTCCCTGCTGCTGCTGCATTGGCTCAGCTCCACAACCACAAGATCGAATCCAACTGGGATTCGGAGGTCGTATGCATCACCACCATTTCCTGCCCCCCTGGATCTCCGTCTTAGTTTTGCTGATTTGTTCTACTGTAGGATTGGCATTCGGATAATGAAGGCGGGCGGATTCCGCGGTCCTCGATTGAGCTTCCTCCCATACACTTGAACAGCAACGATGTCACTAGCTCCCCCTTCCCCGGTCTCGACGGCGTCAGACAAAGAGATCTGCTGCCCTCTATCTTGTCAACTTCTCCTCCAGGACGGTCCTCAACCCTCCCACCGTTGCACAAACCGCTCGGCCCGACTCGGCCTAGAAAGCAGTCTGTCACGAAGAGGGGTCACCAGAGGAAAAAGTCAAAAGGAGCTGCAACTTCAGACTGGATTAGAAGGCTCCAGAACGACGGGTCTGATTTTTTGAGGCCAGGCGGTGGTGATAGGAAAGCCTTGTCGGCAGAACCTACGGGGGTGGATTTTGGAAAGCGCTGGGAAGATCTTATTGACGCAGCCGCATCTGCAACAGAAGATATAGACGAAGACAGAACTCCAGTGAGTCCACATTTACCTTCACCATCCGACGCACCCCCTAACTTTTCAGGTTCCCCGATCGCCAGTCTCGGTCCATCGAGCTTCATTACCGCCATTCCAACAGGCTTTCCCGGGTTATCAAGCATCACCACTCCAGCAAGCGCTCACCCCTCCCCCATACAACCCGGAAGCGCCTGACCCTTTCCCTTCTGTCGAGAGCGGCGAAAGCGGAGATAACTTTCACATCGAGGCACGGGGCTTATCGGACTCTTCACCAAGCTACTCGTCACAAAACGCTCAGATATACTGCGCTGCATGTCAAGGCGTCTCGTTGCTTAAAGAGTCATATGCATGTACGGAATGCATATGCGGGCTCTGCCAGGCCTGTGTCGACGTCCTTATGGGTGAGCAAGGGGCAAGGAGAAAGTGCCCCCGATGCGCCACGATAGGCGGCCGCTTCAAGCCGTTCCAGCTGGACATCCGGTAGCTATACGGTACCCTACAGCTCCCTTCTTCCACCAACTTTCTTTGTTTCCTTTTTCTTAAATTGCATACGGGTTCTGGCGCATAAGGACGGCGGCATAGAAGCCCTTTTGACTTTCCGGGGGGACCCTCGAGTATTGCATTACCTGGCAGGCATCATCGTCACGCGACACTATTACAATACCTACCTTTTCACTTGACGGCCTCACCCAGCGCTCAAGCGCTTTCACTTCTCGACTCTCGCTCACACCAATTCTACTTAAAATCGCATGTCTTAATTCGGATCAGGGGACATGGGAATATTGCTCAGGGTTTTGGGTATTCAAAATGGGTCAGTCTTTCCGTCACCTCTGTCGAGAGAAAATGGTTTATGATCTATGGTTTTATGTATACATGGGATGATTTCCTTGGGTTCGTTTATCATTATCCCGACGCTGGGGTTTTCACACCTTACATCTTGGGCTTGCGGGGCCGAAATACGGCAGCCGCAATCCCTCCGATCAGCTATATTATCTCCATCCCTTGGTGGACGAGTTGTCTGGCAAGCCGCTCGAGGCTTCTTTATCATCTCTATATATATAGCGAGCGAATTGAGGACGTCGAACTTGGCCATCTTTACCACCCCTCTTCCAAACAGCTCCCGGACAGACAAGGCGTATGTGAAGCCGAGAGAAGCTGTCCAGGGGGGACGTTTCACGAGAACGTCATTTTCCACATTGTTGCGGTTCCATGTTCTGTCATCGAGGAGTTGCTCAGTCATTCGTGACACTCGTTTCACGGCCGCTCCCTCCTTCCAAACATGGAGTCAATAGACACAGAACACCTTTCAAGGGGGGAGCTTTCTCATGTGTCACAGCTCCACCGGGGGGAAGTCGAGTATGCTGCGGATGTCCCAGGCTCACTTATGACTGTGAACACGGCCCACATCAGCCCTTCCTCACATGTCTTCCATACCATCATCATTTCACCCACACAGAGACAGCTGCTCTGTGACACTCCCGAGGTACATGTCGGCCTCCTAACAGGTAGGTCACTTGCAGCTCAGCATACTCCGGACCGGACTTTGGCCAACGTCACGTCAAGCCCTGCTCCGTGGGGTAGGTACTCAGTTAGCCCTGAAAACACAAGTATCCGGGTTGCAGGTAAGCGTAGCTGCCTTTGGCTGGGGTGCAAGTCGTCAAGAAAATCAACATATGGTTCCTGCGACCCCTGGGTCTGTTTAGGGGAAGCCCGAGACTCATGTCTTCCATGGTGTAAGACCTTGCTTTGTGACGGCGCCAGTTCTGGCATGAGACGACGCCATCGCTTCTTTTTCACCCCTGGGTACCAGCTGGAAACATAGTCAACCCCTGAGCCTTGCTGTTCGCCCTCGCGTACTGTTAACGACTTCTGAGGTTGCTATGATTGGAAGATACGAGAGTTTGGTTCGGTATAAGTGAAAGCCTCCCAGCTGGCTCTTGTTTCTTCTCATTCTCTCTCTCTGGTATTTTGGGAGGGTTCTCATATCTCTATTCTTGGTTGTTTTATTTTTAATTACATATCTTAAGCTTTAGCTGAAAACATCGTGGCTTATAACATGCTAGAGAAAGCATCATGAAAGCTTACCAGGCGGCTGGCTGACTTGACCTTTACCTTGACCACGGAAAAAGTTGATAAAGAGCTCTACCCATTCGAACTTGACAAATATGAAACCCTTCCCAGCATAGGTTTATTATAGAATAACAATTCGAGCTCACCCTCACCTTTGAAGCAAACCTAGCTACTATTGGCTCTCATCTGCACTTGCCGATCAGAACATCAACGAAGGTGAGTAAGTGCCTAAGCTGCCGAGGTGGCAACCGACCTCCCGCATCGGAATGCGGGGAACGTCACTTCACCAGCGCAATCAACGAGACCGCGTTCTGAATGGAACTGTTTCTCAGGACGCAATCCCTCCCAATCCCTCGAAAATAGTAGATAGATAAGGCGGGTATCCGTTGTGCTACGTACGAAATCTGTTGTTATAGGTTACGCTCCTCACCATCAAGGCTTACCCAGGTGTGTACAATACACATTCAGATAACCTCACCTTTGTGTCGTCACTTACACCTGTTCAAGACAACAACTACCTATCATCCCGAGCCATTCGAGTCCAAACTCAAAAGCTCTCAGAAGGAGCTCTACAGCGACGACTTACCGTCCAACAATTTTCAGAATCCGCTCAGGCAAGCCACAGTACCATAAACATGGTCCGCTCATCAATCCTAGACCTCCCCCCGCTCCCCGAGGGGCTGAACCTCGCGCCCATCGCGCGCATCTCCTCAGCCAAGCTGCAGTCCGGCGACGCAGCCGAGGGAGCGCGCGTCCTCGAGGCGGCGCGGACCTACGGCTTCTTCTACCTGGACCTGAGCGACTCCCCAGCGGGCGAGGCGCTGCTCGCCGACTCGGAGGCCCTCCTGGCCGTGGCGAAGGAGGCCTTCGCCGCGCCGGCCGACGCGAAGCGGCGCTACCTGCTGCAGAAGGGCGTGTCCATGTTCGGGTACAAGGAGGCCGGGACGGTCAAGGCGACGGACCCGGAGCGGCGGCCCGATTCGACCGAGTTCTTCAACGTCGCAAAGGACCACGTGCACGGCGTGGCGCCGAGCCGCGAGTACCCGCCCGCCATCGAGGCCGCGAGGCCGCTGCTGCGGGACTTTACGCGCAGGGGCCACGAGTGCGGCGTGATGGTGCTGCGGGCGCTGGAGCGGGGGCTGGGCCTGCGCGACGGGGAGTTTGCGGACCTCAATGTCTTTGGATTGCCCTCGGGCGACCACTGCCGGTTGACGAGGAAGTTCCCGCACCCGTCGGATGCCAATGCCGTGGGGCTGCCGAGCCATACTGACTTTGGGAGCGTCACTGTGCTGTTTAACTGGGTCGGCGGCCTGCAGATCGAGTCCCGGACCGACGGGAGGGGAGGGGAGTGGGATTGGGTGAAGCCGCTACCCGGTCATGCGGTCGTGAATCTGGGTGGGTTGCTTCTTTTCTCCCTTCATGCCTCGCGTGCCTTCCGTGGCCCAAGTTTCTTTTCCTTCCTGGGACTGTTCCTGATGGAAGACTGACTGGCTTACCGACTGACTGATTTCGCGCTTCCGCCCTGCAGGTGACGCAATGGTCAAGTTCACCAACGGGGCGCTAAAGTCGGCCAAGCACCGCGTCGTCCCCGCGCCGGGTGCGCAGGGGGAGCTGGACCGGTACAGCGTCGTGTACTTTGTGCGGCCCCACAACGCCGCGCTGATGCAGCCGGTGGCCGGGTTTGCGAACGGCACCCACGTCAAGGTGGGCGGGAAGGTGTCCGTTGGCGACGACGAGAACAAAATCTACACGGCGGGTGAGTGGATGGTGAAGAGGGCGATCCAGCTGGGCTCGTGATGGGTGGACTCGTGCGAAGCCTGCCTGGGTTGTTTGTCGTCGTGTGAGTGCCCATTGGTGTTGGTTGGTGTGTGGTGAAGCACACCATAGATTATGGATGGCAGGACGGTGACAAATGAGCTAATGCGTAGAAATCATACTGATTTCACCACGGGAAGATGCATGTGATGATGTCGGTATGGATACCACATGAATGTTTGACGTCCACTTTGTCAAGCAGAGCTCACCTGGCCGTGAAAATGGGAAGAAACGAAGTGTAGAAGAAGCTTGATCTGGCTGGAGACAACACATACCAGAAGCAAGGCAAACAGCCTAGAAGATTATAGAGTAATCCTTCGCTGCCTGGAGTAGGTACGAAAGTAATAAGAACTGCAAAGAGAGATACGGAGGTGGTGTCGTCGTTGGTGTCCAAATGGTGGGGTTTCGGGATCTTGCATATCTGCCTAGAAGATGGAACCATGATTGGTCAGATTTGAGGCCCGTTTGCCTTCAGCGACACCCGACTGTCGATATTGACCTCTTGAATACGCGCTGGGCGGTGTTCTGAAGCAACTTGCATGTTGCAAGGGCCCAGCCTTCTCACATCTCGCTGCCTGCACCCGTCAGATCAAAGATATAAATTGTGCCAGATACCCCTCAAAAGACGGGATTCGCTCATGCCACAGACGTGGCAGGCACCACCTGAACCAGCACCACCAGAGAGAGACTGAAGTGAATGAATCACTGAGCCAACCAGAAGAGCAAAGCCCGGCTCTGAACTCGTCCGGAAAACAACCCCGACTCCTTCCCCAATCAACCATCCACATTCGCGTTGCAGCCGAATCAATCACGATGGGAACGCGTCACCTCATCTGCATCTTCTACAAGGGCAAGTGGGTGGTAGCCCAGTACGGCCAGTGGGACGGCTACCCCGAGGGCCAGGGCTTCAAGCTCTTCCGCTTCCTCTGTGTCGCCCACAACATCGAGAACCTCAAGGTGGGGCTAGCTCACATTTACGAGCCCGCTGAGTCCGAACTCGATGCCATCAACCGGGAGATTGAGGACTGGGAGGAGAATGCGCATCAAGAGATGATGGCAAACAGAATGTGTGAGTCGAACCGCGCTGTAACTGCGATAAACACACCAGTATGCAGTGTGCGTAGTGTTTGTGCGTGTAGTTGTGATGTTTGCTGACCCGAAAGCACAAAACCTTCAGCATACGAGGATCGCAGGAAAAATTTCCCGTTCCCAAGCCTCTCTCGAGACACTTGTGCCAAGATCCTGAGCCTAATTGCCGACCTGGGAAGGGACGATGGCTCCGAGGCCGAGAGCGCCGAAGCCGGGCAGGCGGAGCCCGAGAAGAAGAAGCTTCCAATCCAGCTGAGCCTGGAGTTCGCGAACGACGCTCTGTTCTGCGAGTGGGTCTACGTCGTCGACCTCGACACGGAGGTGCTCGAGGTCTACGGCGGCGGCGAGAGGAAGCACGAGGGCCACCGCTTCAAGGACGTCGGGGCCGAGAATGCGGCGGTACCCCGGTTTTGGTGCTCCATCCCCTTCAAGGATCTCTACTTGATGAGCTCCGAGTCGGAGTTCCTGGACCGGGTCATGGCGGGCAAACCCGTGGAAGAGGACGAGGATGAGGATGGCGTCGAAGTTGCGGAAGGGGAGGATAAGGGGAGTTAGTCGACAGGGCCAGAAAGGACGATGTCCCTTGCTCGGGGAATTGGCTCCAGAGCTATCCACTCGCTTAACGGGGGGAAAAGGGAGCAACCGAAGAGTCGCGTCTGCCGCTTATTTAATAAATAGCAAGGTACCGCTAGCTTTGGGACGCCACCAAGTGTGAATGTCGGTCTTATTGTGACGAGAAGAGGAAATGTACACAGGAAAGCACAGCAGTCTGACACTCCCTAGGTGTGAAGAGGCATAGAGTTATGGATCGCACCATAACTCCTTCCATCCTGGCATCTAGGGGTACTCAGCAAGTTGTAGGTACCGAAGTACCTCAGCTTCGGCCCCCCGGCGGGGGCGGGGCCTCGGTTTTTAAGGGTACCGTTAGTGCGGACCTGATCGCCGAATTGTGCTCCATCGATGCGGCTAAATTCTAACTCCACATAAAAGGTTAGGACCGCATAATGGGTCCCGTCCTCCGGCGAGCCTCCCTGATGGTGAGACCTATTTTGCATTCAGCGTACCAGGTAAAATTAGAAAATGTGTGCCGACTGATTCCCAGGAGCGAGCCCGAGCGCCCCCTTGCCAACGCCGTCCCAAGGGGCAATTCATTGTCAGGTCTGGTCGACTGCAGTCGAGCCAGGGCGACGATCGAGCACAAGTTAATATGGGAAAAAAGGCCGCCTCGAGGGCAGAGCGGCTACATATGCGTATATAAACCGGCAGATGGGATGAAGAGATCACCCTGGCTTTTCGCCTTTTACCGGAGTCTCGGCCTCCCTTACAGGTGTCGCTGCAATTTATTGATTATATTCGTGCTCTTGTGGCGTGGCCGTCGTCATCGACAGCAGGTCGGCTCAGAACCTCCAGGGGGATTCATTTATGAATCTTCATTGCCGGTACACACCGTCGTATCCCAACCCTCGTCTGTCATTTGAAATGCACCACTCCCGGCGCGCCAAGACCTCCCTCCCACGAGCCAGGTTTTACTTCTCGTTGAGTTGTCGAGTCGGGTTTTGTGAGCAATTTGGATCGCCGCCATCCTGGCCGACCATCCTCCTCTTTGTTTCGACACGGCCGTCGTATGGGGACTCGCCCTTTTAGCCTAGTACCGAGCACGACCTCTCGCTGCAAGGAACGCCCCATAGCTCGGTCCTTTCTGCAGATTTGACGAGGGAGAGAAATGAGCAAACATAGGAGACAGACCTGGCCCACGTTGTTGGCTGGGCGTTGATGTGTGGCCATTTCCTGCCGCCTCTGCCTCATTTCCTGCTGCTACCCGTGAGCTGTCAATACAAAAGCCTTCCCAGGCCCTTCTTGACCGCCAAGTGGCCAAGCAAGCCTGCCCACCCCTCCCATCATCATCCTCCTCATTTGTCGCTCGCTGTACGGACCGGAGCGGGAGTGAAACCTGCCATTCGTTTGTGGCCATTCTTTCCGACACTCTACCCCTGTTGCTGCACAGCTTGGCCTTTCGTCCCTGGGTCGGCCTCGGAAAGCTGTTGTCTCGCAGCATATTTCCCATTTCGGTGTTAATGATCGGACGGAGGACTCGTGTGTATTGGGAAGTATCAGCGTGCTCAGCCTTGTCGACGCAGCTACCCGGTTCCAAACTGGGAAACCCAGCGACCCGAATCAGACCGAAATCGAGCTACGAAGTCGCGCCGTGTTACACGCCTCTTCGTAAAGCTGCAGCTATCGGACAGACCCTTGACGGCGCATTCCCAATATCCTCTGGTCTCACCTAGACCTGGCGGTGGGAATGGCCACGAGTCTGAGCCTGATCTGAATTTCGGGACCAACTTGACCCTTGGTGGAAAACTAGGACGGCATCGATTGGCCAGCACTCCTCCAAGCAAGCGAGCGACGACTCGTGTTTGCTATATAAAACCGAGGTGGCCTGGAGTCGGACTACTTCACCACAGCACTTACTGCGGGCGCGAGAACAACTGCCTATTCACCCTGCTACCGGACTTGACAACGATTCGAGCCCCAAGGAGACAGCGGATAACGGTCCTTCTTCGGACGGCTCCCGCCAAGGCAGACCTCTCCTCTCCCAGCCGGATAGCCAGTGGAAGGAAAGCTTTTACTGCCGGCGAGACCTCGATTGCATCTGCTTCCCATAGGCGGGGTTCCCTCGGGGCTTGGTGGTCCCTAGGAACTGCTTTTGTACTGAAAGCTAAGGATACCGATCGGCTTCTTGCCGCCATTCTCATATTGCTATCGAAATGGCCAACACCACCTTCTTCGTCGGGTGGGCGTTATGGGAGAAGATGACCTTTGTTCGTCACTACCTGCCTTTTCTTCCGCCCGTCACGTCGGCATGCTAACAAGATATTATTAGGTCCTCGCCTTGAGCATTGTCATCGTCTTCTGTATAGGCCTGGGGAAGCTGTGGTGGACGAACCGGATCATGCGGAAACAGGAGGCCCTGGTGGAGGAAAAGAGGGCACGTTTGACCGGGATGCGGAAGGCGGGTCTTCCCGTCAAACGCGGTGGCAACATCCCGTTTGGAGTCCGCGCCATACAAAAAGGCATCGAGGTAGACGGTATTTGGATATCCCGTCCTGCGACACCAAACCACCCCGATTCTCCGAATAAGGTCGCATCGTTGGCGACGTTGATAGCCTTGGACTCGTCCGATTCAGGCCAGAAAGCAAAACATCTGTCAGACGATTCGCGGACCCTGTCGGTATCTACCCTGGACAACACCCGGCCGGGGAGAAGGCGCAGCCCGTCGGAGGGGCCCAACCCCCACAGGCGGCCCACTGACGCCGAGTCGGTAGACAGCAACCCGTCTATTGCACCACGCGTGTCACCACGCGTCTCACCACGGACCTCGCCACGCGTCTCACAGTTCGCCGCGCCGAAACCGAAATACCCCCGTCTCGCCAGTGCCTTGAGCGAAGACACGCTCTGGAGGTTAGAAGGACAAGGCCTTGGCAGGTATGCCGCTGACACTTATGTTCCGACATCATCCACTGCAAAATACTCTCGTGGACCGAGCCAGAGGAGCTCGGTGGCATCGTCAGGAGGAGAGTCCATGGACTCCCTGTCCAAGTCAGGGGGGATGAGTGCGAGGAGCAGTAGCGGGAGAAGCTACACATCGGTTCGAAGCTCGCGACTACACTCCTCTAGACACGTCTACGAACCCCGGGCTGGATACCATGCGGCCTCTCACATGCCCCCGGACAGGGAGCCATACGATATGCCTCGGAATCGGACGCCGATTTCTCCCATCCCTCAGAGCGAGACCCACTCTCCGTCCGACTCGAGCCAGGAGCTCCCCTTGCCAGAACCGACCTTCGGACCTGGGGACCTGCATCTGAACCGGTCCTCGAGGAGGGTGAATCATGGCTTCGAGATTCTGCCGGCTGGCACGTTCGGGTCACTGCAGGAGTTCGGACATAACGGAAGCAACGACGACCTCGAGGCGGGAGAGGACCAGAGTCAGAGCTCGAAATCGTCGGCGAGGGACGGGAAGATGCCGTCTCGGTCGCCACAACAACAACAACAACCACACTATAGCACACTGCATTTCTGAACATTAACTTAAGCGGGATCGCCGAGTTATTAAAACACACATGATGGGGACGAAAACGAGGAAGGAAACGCCTCGAAGCGACGCATAATCTGGGGGCTTGTTGTTGGCTTTGGTTTTAGGCACACCGGGTTCGACTTGTTACCTCTACTTTTACCCTGTGAATATCATAGTCTGCTTGGAAGGGATGCATAGACAAGCGGCGTTTGGCGGAGGTAGAAGAGCAATCCTGCCGTGTCTTGCTAAGGACACATACGTCTATTGGAGACCTCGCACCTTGTTCGTTAAATCATGTATGTTGAATGATGTTCATCTTGGGAATTCCCACTGGATGATGCAGGCTAGCGATGCACACTGAGAAGTGTATGTTCAGTAATAGACTGGTAGGCTAGGTAGATATTGCAACTGCATTTGCCGAGATATGGGAAATGGGTGTCAGGTGACGTGTCATGTGCTTTCGCGTGCTTAATCGCTCCTTCCTCCCGCGATCAACGCGCTATTTCGTCGCGTCAACAAATCCTCTCCCGATTTCTCCCATTTCTTCCCATCTACCAGCTCAAATTCCGACTCATCGCTGCAATTTGCATCTCCTAATTAATCGCTTCTTATTGAACGTAGGGAAGTCTTAGGCCCTCTAATTACAATGGCTGGCGACGGTGAGCACGACGATAACAACATGGATGATGGAGGAATGACTGGTCCTGGCGCCCCCACGCCACTTTCTGCACTCGAGGTAAGCTCCGTGTTTTCTCACCCGACTCTGACTCTGAGGATATGGATTGACACGAAAACAGGGCGTCGCGGGCCTAACTAAGCGCGACATCCAACTCGTAGTCGATGGCGGTTTCAATACCGTCGAGTCAGTCGCCTACACCCCTCGACGAGTCTTGGAGCAGATCAAGGGTATCTCGGAGGTAAAGGCCGGCAAGATTCTGGCAGAAGGTAGGCGGGAATCGTCTTGAACCCCGTATCACTTTGTCTGATTGCGTTCAACTGCAGCCTCGAAACTTGTCCCCATGGGATTTACTACTGCCACCGAGATGCACCAGCGCCGCAGCGAACTCATCTCCATCACAACAGGCTCCAAGAACCTCGACACGCTACTGGCTGGTGGTGTTGAGACTGGCAGCGTCACCGAGATCTTCGGCGAGTTTCGTACCGGCAAATCGCAGATCTGCCACACTCTCGCGGTAACCTGCCAGCTGCCCTTTGATATGGGCGGTGGCGAAGGCAAATGCATGTACATTGACACCGAGGGCACGTTCCGCCCGGTTCGCCTGCTCGCCGTGGCCAACCGATACGGCCTTTCGGGCGAGGAGGTGCTGGACAATGTTGCCTACGCAAGGGCTTACAATTCCGACCATCAGCTGCAGCTCCTGAACCAGGCGGCAGCAATGATGTGCGAGACCCGCTTTAGCCTACTGATTGTCGACTCGGCGACGTCGCTCTACCGCACCGATTTCCTGGGCCGAGGTGAGCTCAGCTCTCGACAGACGCATTTGGCCAAGTTTATGCGGACGCTGCAACGACTGGCTGACGAGTTCGGCATCGCCGTCGTCATCTCGAACCAGGTCGTCGCACAGGTGGATGGTGGACCGTCCGCCATGTTCAACCCGGACCCGAAGAAGCCCATTGGCGGTAACATTATCGCCCACGCAAGCACCACGCGCATAAGCCTGAAGAAGGGCCGAGCAGAGACCAGGATTGCGAAGATCTACGATAGCCCCTGCCTTCCGGAGAGCGATTGCTTGTTCTCCATCAACGAGGACGGCATCGGCGATCCGGCCCCCAAGGAGGATAAGGAGAAGGAATAGGGGCTCGGGGGTGGAAGCCTGCTAAGGTACTGACTGTAACGGAGACGAACTGAATGTATGCTACGATGACGGCTCGCATAACTGGTGTAAGAGGGAGGGCGGATTTGGGGCATTGCGGGCGTGTGCTAGCAACTTGGATGAGCTCCCTGAGAGTCTCAGAGCCTGATGTGCATAATTGCTGGCGTTAACAGGGAGTGCCATTCAAATATTCTGTCACAACTAGATAGAGGCTAGATTTGAGCGTGGGATTCGCGTATCACTGTATACCATTTGCTCAAATAAAAATACATATTGACATTGCGCTCTCTTATCAGTAACAGGAAGACTTCGTCTTTCCCCGTGCTGGAGCTGATGCGCGTATGCGGTACATAGCTAGTTCATGATTATGCATATAACGGGGTTAATATGAAGCAGCAGGCGGCCAGAAATTCTGCTACCTCTGAACTAAGCTGCGCGTTCCAGACATCCCAGATACGTCCGAGGAGCGCGACAGAGCTTTCGCCCCGACCATCCACTTCTCCAATAAACGACTGAATGGGGCCAAAATGACTTCCAGGGACGTGCTGTTTCGCTACAAGGAAACGCGACTGAACCTCGAGCCCGCCTCGGCCTCCTCCGTCATCGAGATCCGGGTGCCATCGCCGAGCTCCCACGGGCGGTCGAACTCGCAAAGGACCAATGGCTCAAGGCGCTCCGCCGAGGCCGACGAGCAGGCCTGGCGGGCAAGGAGCCTGGCCACGGCGTCGTCGTTATTTCGCCGCAAACACCACCACCAGGGCTCGCCGCGGAGCTTCCTCTGGAGGGTCCTCGAGAACAACACCGTGCTGAGCATCCGCGCCGCCGACGTCTGCCAGCAGAATAGGGACTCGGACGCGCCGCTGGTCCTGAACCTCCGCTTCCCCTCGCCCATCCGGGACTCGTGCATCGGCTTCTCCGACCCCGCCGACCACGATGCGCTGATCGTCTTTGTTGTGGACCATGCGAACGTCCTCCACTCGCTCACACTGCGGCCCGACCTCTTCAGGAAGCGTTCGGCCGTGGAGAATGGGCTCGGAGAGGCATACAAGTCTTACTCGCCGCCCGGGTTCGGCTTCAAGCACCCGCACCGCCTGGTCGCCGTCAATCCGGATCAGGTGATCGTTACCATGCATGACGGTGGCATTTTGCGATTCGATAGGAATCTGTCACAGCACGGTGGGCTCTGCACGCCACCCCTTTTCCCAAGCATTATATTGACTGATTTTTTCGGTAGCTGCCATTAATGGCCCGTGGAAAGAAACCATCTACAATGTCGCCGGCTGGGGCCAAAGCCTCCGAGGCCTCGTTCCTTTCCAGCGGAATCCCACAATTCGACATGACAAGGTCAATATGGAGCTGACTGCTGCTACATCAACCGCTATCACTTCAATGGGCCGCGACGACACATCCTTCCTATTCACCATCTGCCTCGACCATCGGATGCGAGTGTGGGATGTGCGGACAGGCCAGATCCTCTATACGGGCGATATCCTGAATGCGAAGAGAGACCCCAACGAGGTTGGCAAATGGACCATCGACCCCTCTCAGAACAACCTGGTCAGGATCCTAGACACGGCATACGGGCAGTCCTTGGCTGTGACCTACTCCCCCCTGGGAGCCGGCGAATTCAAGTTTTGGAAAGTCAAGTCTAATGACCAGGGCTCCATTCTTGTTGCCGACCTCTTCCCGAAGGATCATCTCGTGCCCCCTGCGCCGTCGTCGTCAGATGTCTGGACTCTTGCCGATTTTGGCGTGGCAAGTCAGGAGGCAGGGCCGGAGCTCTGGACCCTATGGAAGAACAACACCACCTACCGGGTGCAGACTCTGCAGTTACGCCCCAAGGACAGCGCGGGCCCTTGGAGTGATGGGTGGAAGGGGGTACGCATCGAAAACGCAGTGCCTTACGCCCAGACATCTGGGCCCTGCGACCCGACGGATTCGAGCGAGAGATGGCTGAACGAGATCTTCTTCCCTGGGCGGTTCCCAAAGGCCACTCTCGAAACGGCGCTTGCCATCTATGAAAAGGGCGTGGCGGGGCCTGCAAGGGAGACGCCCTCGAGATCTGGCAAGAGCTTGGCCCAGTCAATATGCTCTGTCGTCGGTTCCGTCCCGACGCTCGAGCGCAATTCGGCTGGAAGGATGGATTACGAGAAATACCGAGCAAACAGTGAGGTCCATTGGCGGCGATTTTACCGGCTCCTGAGCGAGCTGGACAAGCAAAGGGGTGAGGCCCTCTCCCTGGTGCTAGACCCGGAAGTGGGCATGATATGGGTTGTCTGCGCCGACTGTTTGGCCGCCATCAGGCACTGCAGCAATCTCGAGCTCGTGTGCCACAACCTTGCGGCGCCAGAAAAGAACCGCGAAGACATCGCCGCGCTGGTGCAAGCGGGGCTTACCTTCCTCGAGAGCTTCCCCGACGGCATGTGGCAGCTCAGCCGAGCAACGCTGCTGTCCCAGATGTTCGAGGACTCGGGCCAGACGGACGAAGAGCGGCTGCAATTCTTCTCCGACAAGGCCGCTTTCTGGCGTCAGATCAGTGAAGAGGATTGTGCCAGCGTGGTCGACAGCCTGGGTCACAACTTCAGGATCGTCACGCCGCGACTCTACGAGGACCTGTTTGACTTGGTGACCGCCGACCCCGACGAGAACAGCCGCGAGCTGCAGCAGGCCTTTACGAAATTCGGAGGGAAGCTGATTGTCCGCGCGATCCAGGACATGGCTGAGCTTCACTGGCAAATCCTCTTCAGTCAGCTGATCCTGCTCGTCCACATGGAGTTTGAGTTCGAAAACGAGAAGGATGCCTTGCACTCGAGAGTCGACGTCGGCAGCACCTACCGCCAGATCGTCGATGCGCTTCGACGGCTGGAACATATCAAGTGGATGGCTAGGACGGAGATAAGTCTCCCCGCCTCTAAGGAGCGCTCTGGGTCGGTGTCGGGGAGCGTCTCTCCTGCGAACTCTAAGCGCAGCAACAGCGACGAAACCCATGTCATCACCGTTCTCGAGGCGCTCGTTGGCCATTTGCTCGGCCTCCCGGAAACTGATGACCAGCCCCTGTTGACGAGGATAACCGGCATGGTCACGAACCTCTGCGCCCCCGACAGCGACATTGAGTTCCTCCCGCACCTACACCAGTGCTTCCTCCTCAAGGTGGACAGGGCAGATCTGGCCCTGGAGCTCAGCCCCTTTGCCGACCAAGACCCCTTCTCCACCTACGTGCAAGGCCGGGTTTTCCTGGCGCTTAATGACTACGATGCTGCTGCTTTCCACTTCAAGAAGGCGGCGGTCGGCTTGAGTGAGTGTGATGGTGGCGTCCCTCCCCATGGCTTACTATTATCATTATCAGGCACTAACTCGAAATGCAGGCATCTCGATGAGACACGTCGAGCGGCACAGCTCCCGACTCCTCGACGAGATGGAATGGAACCTCCTCAACAGCGGATTGCCGAATTACTACTCCCACATCGTCAACCTCTACGACAAGCAGAAGGCGTATTCGTTCGTGATCGAGTTCGCCCGCCTGGCGCTGCAATTCGCCGGCCCCAGCAGCGGCAGCAGCGGTGACGAGACATCATCATCATCGTCGTCGTTATCATCGGCCGTGAGGAAGGAGATGCTGAGCCGGCTGTTCATCGCGTCCGCGGCGATATCGCAGTTCGACACGGCGCACTCGACGATACTCGCCATGGGTGACGACGAGGCGGTGCAGCGGTCGTACCTCAAGAGGCTGGTGGAGCGCATGTGCGAGACGGGCCAGAACAAGGAGCTGGTAGCGCTGCCGTTCTCGGGCCTGCAGGACAGGGTCGACGCCATCCTGCTGGACAAGTGCAGGCAGGCCCGCGACGTCGCCCGCGGCGTCCCCTACCACCAGGTCCTCTACGCCTGGAGGGTCAGCCGCAACGACTACCGCGGCGGCGCGGCCGTGCTGCTCGACAGGCTGCAGAAGCTGAGGCGGATGGGCGAGGGGGACAGGCTCAGTGGTGGAGGTGGAGATGGCGAGGAGGATACCCTCGACACGCTGGTCACGAGGCAGTACCTGCTGCTCATCAACGCCCTCAGCTGCCTCGACCCGAAGCAGGCCTTCATCCTGGAGGACCTGCCCGGCGGCGGCGCCGAGAGGCGCAAGACCGGGGCGCAGGCCGGCGACGAGGAGGACCCGTACCTGGAGGAGATCAAGGCCGTCGTCGGCGGCGGCGGGAGGGACACGCGCGTAGAGCGACTCGCCAAGATTGTGGCCAGGGGCGGCGGTCCGGGGGATGATGCGGAGCGGAGGGTCGTCACGCTCGGGGACGTCCGCAGGCAGTACCAGGAGGAGCTGGACCGGATCGTCGCCATACAGAACGACGAGTACGCGTACGCGCCGGCCGAGGAGGACGATGACAACGAGGACGGGATGGATGTGACGGCGTGAAAATGAGGCCGGGGGGAGAACGGAGAGAATAAGTAAGGGGTCATGTAAAGACGTGTAGGATCATGGTGTCGTCTTTTCTCAGGTTATGGAATGATACCTCTTCTTTCAATGGAGTCACGAAAAGAGAAAAGTGAACAAAGAACGGAAAATGGTAGATAGGTAGACTAGGATTAATCGAGCCTGAAGAAACCAATGTTTTCTTTGGGAAAGGGGAGGTTTTCTAGAAACTCTCCTTGAACCAACGCCGTGACCATGCTGAAAAATCGAAGGAAAAAAAAGTAACGGGTTCGCCCACACCGGAAAGGTCATCAATATACATACAAAAGCCCGGACAATCTTCACACATAATTCTCGCCCCGTACGACGACTCGCTCTATCTCTCATGCGGGCACGGTGGTGATCTTGTCTTGGGTCGGCGGCGGCAGCCCGTCCTGGCCACCGTTTGCCAGCTCGGGTGCCTGTCTGAAGAGGATGATCTCGGACTGCTTGAAGTACCTGCGAGCGTCTGGATGTTGTTTCGGCGTCAGCGTATCATGTAAAGGCTATAGCCATAGACAAGGACCAATCGATATGGGGCCCTAACTTACCTTCGTCAATCAACACCAGGCTAAGATAGTATCTCGTCGAGAACTTCTTGTTGACATCCCGGAACGTCGGGGTCAGGTCGAAACCGCCCAGGAATAGCCGGATGGGGATGGTTTCGCCCCTCGAGGGTGAGCCGTCCATGATCTAGATGTGGTGTTTGGCGGGTCAGCTTCTGCTTCGATTTGCGGTTTCTTCCTCACACCTCTCCCCAGCGTGGAGGAAATGGCAAAGACGTACCTCGAACCGGACCAGCGTCTCGCTCTCGTTGTACTGGTTCGGGGCGGTGCCCGTGGTCTCGCGGCGGATGATGCTCAGCTCCATGTGCTTGATCTTGAGGCGGACGAGCAGGAAGTAGATGCGGCCGACGATGACGTCCTTGAGGTGATACTTGCTCTTGGAGTACTCGAACTCGATGTGCAGGCAGTCCTCGATGCCGACGTCCATCTTGATGCTGCTGTTCATCTCGGGCGGGACGCGGTAGCTGTAGACCCAGATGTCCTTCTCGCGGATCACGTCGGCCATGCGCCGCGACACCGTCACCCGCACAAAGTACCGCAGCTTGACGTTGATTCCGTTGTACGACTCGTACTGCTTCTCCACGTTCTTGAAGTTGAAGTCGAACGTCTGCGGGTGCTGCAGCTCGCCCGGCGCCGCGAGCTCCTGCACCAGCGAGAGGAACTCGTAGTGGTTGCCTCGGTCGAAGAACATCTCTGCGCGATGGAGGGTCAGCCAAGTGATTCCCTTCCCAGGCGCGATACAGGATTCGGGGCGGCCGTACCTATTGTGCCGATGAACTGCACCTTGATGCCTGTGTGTTCCAGCCGCTTGCCATCCTTTGGCCGCACCGTCACGGCGCCCTTGACAGACTCCCCGTCCATGTACAGCGGCGCCTTCTCCCGCCGGCTCTTATCCAACTTGACGTCGACCATGGACCGGTCGTCGCCATCTTCGAGGACGACGTCGATGTCGACGGGTGTCGCAAAGAAATACGACATCCTCGCTTTGGCGCCGGGGGCGTTCGCTTCCTATGTCACAGGCAGATTGGGGGTAAAAATTGGCGGCTACTCGTCTGGTTGTGGTTATCGGTGCGTTGCAGGCGCTCTAGTCGTCATCCAAGACTGTACACTCTGATGTTCGGGGGGTTTAGTAGGTACTTGGTATTCCGGAATGCGGCGGTGTTCTGGCTGGCCTACGACAGCTCCAGGGGTAGCTCAATTGGCAGCCAATCACGTCCCGTTTCTACTTCCTAGCCCACTTTAAAGCCCCAGTACACGAATCCATCAGGACAAAGCATTGCTTCATGAACCCACCAGCGATATGAGGGCAAGGCAGCGGTTAGAATCTTCGGCGAGGGATGAATAGGTATTTCTAGATGGCTCGGCAAGAAGGAGAGTACGAAACCACAGTGGCCGAGATACAGGTGGTATCTAGAGAAGAGTGGCCGCTTGAGTGATACACAGGCATTTACTTGTATATGTTCCTACTCTGCATGGTTCTCACCCGTGATAAAACGTCAGGAACAACCACCAACATCAAGCCAACGGACTTTTACTAGCAACGGACCGTTATGTTTACTCTTTTGATCGGCCAGCCAAGCTGACTGCCCCCGTAGGGATTTTTAAGACATCGGAGCGCACGGACCGGAACCCCACCTTCAGCGCAGTTTCCCGACTTAGATCACGTGGACCTTGCAACCCTACCGAAAATTCCAGCCCACACGAATATTCGCCAAAATATTTCGAGCCAGCGGACCCGTAACCAAGATTACCTCGAACATCACCGACGCCCTCACCAACCCGCCGGCAAGATGAAGTACATTCATTCAGAGGAGACCTTGTTGGTCCCTGAGGGAGGTACGTACAAATGCGCCTTTTCTTTAACTGCTCGAAGGCCAATTGTCGAGGCTTGGGAGGAGAAACGATTCGTAGTGCTTGAGAGACTGCGAGGGGCGAGTGCCAGGGCGTTGCAACGTCCACGGCCTCGAAGGAAACAGGAGGATTGGCATCTTTGATATGATCTATTCCACGGGCGATTGCTGACTCTGACTTCCCTCACTGCAGTTACCGTCCACATCAAGTCGAGAATCGTCACGGTCGAGGGCCCGCGAGGTATGCCAAACACCCTTCGAAGACGAAACCCCCTCACACATTTCCGAGCCCGGATATGGATGCACGGGTCGTCTTGTGGGAAAGGATTGTCTCTAACTGGAGGGAAACAGGGAAGCTCACCAAGAACCTGAACCACCTCGCCGTCAGCTTCTCGCAGCCCAAGAAGAATGTCGTCGGCATGGAGATCCACCACGGCGGGCGCAAGAACGTTGCCAGCCTGCGGACGGTGCGGACCCTCATCAACAACCTGATCATCGGCGTCACCAAGGGCTTCAAGTACAAGTTGCGCTACGTCTACGCACATTTCCCCATCAACGTCAACATCGACAAGGACAACGAGACCGGCTTGTACGAGGTCGAGATCCGGTGCGTCCTTTCTCTCTTGTTTTTTCTTTTTTTCTTATATTGGTCCCGTGATGTGGAGAGGGATGAGGTTTCTCGGGAGGGAGCTTAGGCGACACGCAAAGAAAAGAGATCATGTGGGGCATCAACATGAGGGAATGAATACCGGTTTACTGACTCGGCTGGGCCACAGTAACTTCATTGGCGAGAAGATCGTCCGAAGGGTCGTCATGCTTCCGGGCGTCGACGTCGAGGTCTCCTCGGCACAGAAGGACGAGCTGATCCTGTTGGGCAACTCTCTCGAGAACGTTTCACAGAGCGCGGCAGACATCCAGCAGATCTGCAAAGTACGAAACAAGGATATCCGAAAGGTAAAAAAAAAGCTCGACTCTCCCACTAACACGTCTGGTGTTGCCTGTAGTGCTTTGCTAACTTTAACCTAGTTCTTGGACGGTATCTACGTCTCGGAGAAGGGCAACATCGTGGAGGAATAGAGGGCATGGGCAATGGTTTCTTTGTGCTTTCTGGGTCTTCACAGGAGTGGCAGGGGTTCATTGGCATTTGCATGTCACGTAGCACGAAAAAGCTGCGAAACACAAATTAAAGGAATAAACCTCTGAAAAGAACGAACGAACCACCCCTCATGTCGAGTATCCCGCGACGACCCCCATTATCTTTTGCCATATCGATGTGCTCAGCGAAACGGGGAAACTAGGCTGCGACTGGAAGTTATCATGACACCCCCACCCCCTTCCCTGACGAGGAAGGATAGCGTTGAGGACCAAGTCACCGAAGGGATATCAGAGCAAATGCCCGGGCAAACCCGTCTTCTCATTATCCGTGTCTCTGTCTCTCTGTCTCTCTCTCCAAGTCTTCTCTCTCTAATGCGAGAAGTACCTCTCATGCCCTGCGAAGTGCTGTGCCATGTTCTATCGTGAAATATAAAAAAAAACAGAACTCGAAATCGAGGCCCCATCCAGCGCCCATTTGTTCATGATCCCCCTCTTTTTTCATGATTTTACATTATGCATTTTGTACTGAGCCAGTTTTAAGGGGGAATGAAAAACGTGCAAGGCCTGTCTTCGCCTCTCTGAATGCGAACCAACTTCCGAAAAACATGCAAATCAATGAACTCTTCCATCTCGTGGTATCCGTCTCTCATCAATAAATGGGCGGTGCCGGTTCATGCTCCGAAAACGCCTTGGTCGGGGGTGGGGGTAGGGAGGAAGCCACGGGCGAAGTGTATGTACGGGTGTGGCGATGATAGAAATGGTGAGTGTGTGTGTGTGTGTGTGTTTGTTGTGTGTGCGCGCAATATGCAGGTTGGGAAATGTACAAGAAGAGTCGTGAGCCGTGAGGTCATCAAGGGGGAAGCGAGCCGGGGGACGGAAAGTCGATCATGATCGCCTCGACCCAGCCTGCGAAGCCATCCGCGAGCGAGGCGGCCTGCTTACTCGCGTCCCTCTCGAGTTCCTGCTGTGGCGGGATACTCGGGTCGGTCTGCTACTTGCGCTACCTGGTTTCGGGAGTCAGTTTGCTATTTCTTTACAACAACATTGGATGGCGGGGGAAGAAGAAGAACTTACTTGGATTGCTGGTCGTGTACGAATCCGTGTAATACGTGCTGCTGACCTCGCTCCGCGCGTTAGTCGCCCTGCGCTTCTTATCCCTCCTCAGGCCCAGCAGCAACAGCAAGGTGCCGATGGCGGCCCCCATGCCCAGCAGGCCCATGCCGCTGCTCTTCTTCTTCTCCTTGCGGCTAGCCACGGAGCTCGGCCGGCCGCCGCCGCCGAACCACGAACCGTGGCGGTCGCGACGCGAGTGTGTCGAACCCCCGTGGCGAGTGTAGCGCTCCTCCTCCTCGATGACCGTCTCGCGGCTGCTCCGCCTCTTCTTCTTGGGGCCGAAGCCGAGCAGCGCCATCAGCCCGTGCCAGAGGCCGCGCATCACGCAGCAGGCGCACAGGAGCAGGAGCAGGCCCACGCCGGCGATGGTGCCGATGACGATGCCCGCGATCGCGCCCCCGGACAGCGACTTGGCCGTGCCGCCAGCCGCGGCGCCGGTGCCGGTGCTTGTCGCGCCTGCCAGCGTGCCTGTGCCCGTTCTCGACGAGGTCTGCGTGGCTGTCACGCCGCTGGTCACCCGGTACGGCGCGCTGAACTGCGTTGTGATGACCTGGCCGTTGGTCTGCGTGATCACGGTCGTGGTGACCCCTCCTCCTCCTCCTCCTCCTCCTCCGCCGCCTCCACCGGCCACAGGGCCGTTCGCCATACACTGTCCCTCATATGCGCAGTACTGCCAGCTCGCGCAGCAGAGCCTTCCGCAGGCGATCTGACCGGTGCCGGGCTCGGGTATGCAGTCGGCGCCGGCCGCGCCCGTGTTGGCGGGGAAGAGGGAGCTGAAGGTGCTCGTGAAGGTTTCGGTCAAGGTCCAGGTGGTTGTGTAAAACGCAAAGCCGCCGCCGCCGGCCGCCGAACAGCCGGCGAAGCCGTTGCTAGTGTAGCACTGGGAGCCGGCGCTGCAGCAGTATCGGTTGTCGAAGCCGCAGTACTGGTGGCAGTCGCGGTTCATGAGGTAGCCGTAGCCGGCCGCATGTATATCGTCTCTGGGGTACGGGTGGGCGCATGTTGGCTGCGGCAGTGCGCCGAGAAGGACGAGAAGCAGGCTCGCGGCCGAGGTGAGACTCGGCCGCATTTGGCGGTGCCGGCCCATCTGGACGAATGCGGGTCCGGGTCCGGATTTTAAGTGTCTTTGCTGGTGATTATTTGCGGCGGGCCGCTGATCGGCTGGTTGGCGGGCCGAATTTGGCGTAGGTTACCCTCTGGAATGCGGGATTAAGCTCTCACACCGGTTGGAGCTTGTGTGAATTGTTTGTCGGGTATCGCCAGGCTGTGAAGTGGTGGAGATGCAAGCCCTCTGAACCTCCCCTTCCGGTCGCCCAGCTCCGATAGCGTCACCTCCAGTCCAAACTTCCTCTTGACCGCTCTCTCAAGTCTTTTTTTGTCCAGTAATTGAGGACGAAAAAAAGCCTTATAAAGGTACCTTCGTCGGCGCAATCCCCACACGTCAATTCGGAGGTTGCTGATTACTGATTAGGTAGGGGTGGTGTCGGGGTGAGACGGCTGCAGAGACACGGAGCCGTTGGAATGGAAGCAATAATAAGTGAAGAGAAGGAATGCGTGGGAAATACCAGCGGGAGGTTTTGGGCTTCGTTTAATAGCTGCTGGTCATTAATTATGGTGGTCGGGCTGGATGCTGCAGGGTTGGCGCCTCTGTCCTGGTTCTAGTCGTCCCAGCCTCTTCAACTCGCACCTCCCAACCTCCCAACCTCCCGACAAAAAAACAGTCGAGATCTCGGTAAATTCGCGTCACACCCTCGCTTGATTGGACCTGCCCGTTCAATTAGTGTCCTTCCTTGTTCTTTGGGATTTTCAGGGGAATCTTTGTTCTTCTGTCATTTAGATTCTGTCAACTTCGGGCTGCTGTCTGCAATCAATCGTGTGCTGCGTTGGCAAGATGCAAGCTGATGCACGATGAGCAAGCCGATTGGAGCCATGGCCTGTTTACTTGACCCCTCCTCGGAGCCCCTGCCCGTTTACTGGACGATTATCTTATCGCTGCTGCAGCCCCGAAATCTGCACCTGTGGATGACCAGGGTCTCCCCGCCATGACCATGCCCTTCCTTGTCGAGGTACATTACCATTGTATCTTCGCTGTCATGGGAACCATCACCACAACTACCGTTTTGTAAACTTCTTCATGCATACAGAGTCAACCTTCCAAATGGCTAGACATACCACAGAGGCATCCAGGCCAGCTAATAATTACCTGAGCCAACCGACTTCAAAGCCAGGATCCCCGAAAGGTTGCCCAGCTCGAAAAGAGGGCTAGATGGATGGATATTGACCCATGCCCGGACCCAGGACATTCTCTCCCGACTGTTACAAGAGAAATGGTACAATCCAATTGATGCCATACCCATGGAAGGGCTGTAAAGCTTGACGCCAATACTCGCTGCCCTCAGGCAATATCTCTGTGGGGTTCATTTATCTATCACTCCTTGCTAATGTATGCTGCGTCTATTTTGACCTTGCCCCCTCATCTCTAAGGGCGTCATGCGGCAGACACGACTTTTCCCTCTATAGTTGCCTTCACAAGTCGCCCGACCTCTTCCCAGCTATTGCTATCAACAAGCTTGACCCGCCTCTCCCTAGTTTCCAACCCGAGAAACTGGGGAGGAAGGACTTTGCCCTCGAAGTCGTATCCCGGCTCGTTCTTCAACGCCAGGTCGACGGCTTTAGCAAACTTGGCCGGGTGTGCCGTCGACAACGCGATGTGCGGGACGCTACTGCGAGAAAGCGAGCGCAGGGAAGCACACACCCCAATCGCGCTGTGGGGGTCCAGGATGTAGCCCAGCTTATCATATGTGGCCTTGATCGTCTCGACAGTCTGCTGATCGCTCACACGCTCGCTCTCGAAATCTCTCCTCGCCGTCTGCAGCACGCCCGCAGGGACTTCGAAGCCGCCTTTGCTCTTCAAGTCGGTGAGCCATTGCGCAACTTCTTGGCTCGCCTGCCTCTTGGCCGCCGTGTCGTCCACTCCAGGGGGGCTGAGGGCCTGTTCATGGGCCATAAACCAGAGGAGGCGCTCAAAGTTGCTGGACACCAGGATATCCATTGCTGGGCTCAGCGTTTCCCGCACATCGTCCATGTCTGCGACCGTGATGGGAGAGCCGGTTGGCTTCTTTTCGTAGCGGCCGCTCTGCCAGAAACGATGCAAGATATCGTTCTCGTTTGTGGCGATGACAAGCTTCTCCACGGGCAGGCCCATGCGATGCGCGAAGTAGCCTGCCAAAATATCGCCAAAGTTTCCAGTCGGCACCACAAATCGCACTTTATCGCCGAGTTTGAATGAACCGTCTGCTTTACACAGGGAGAAGTAGGACGAGAAATAGTAGGTGATTTGAGCAAGAACGCGAGCGAAGTTTATGGAATTCACCGCGCCCAGGTTCAGGGTCCGGTTGATTTCGGGATCCGCGAAGAGCGCTTTCACAATATCCTGCAACACAGAAAAGAGGTTACTACTTCTCGAGCATGGAGAGACGGATATTCGGCAGAGCTGTGAGGGCGGGGAAGGCAGGACTAACCTGGCAGTCATCGAAGGTCCCCTCAACCGCAAGGTTGTGTACATTGGAATCCAGCACAGTGGTCATCTGTGCTTCCTGGATGGGGCTTACACGTCCGCGCGGGTGGAGGATGAAAATATCCGCGTCCTTCTTGCCCCGGAGACCTATCGGCAGATCAGCTATTGCGCTCTGAAGAGTCGAAATTCCAAAAACTCACCGTATATGGCAGCGCTTCCAGTATCCCCGCTCGTGGCACCAATGACCGTCAGATGGTGCCTATCTGGTCTGTCTCAACATCAATTCGCAAGATAATGGCTTGAAAGTCTAACCTCGACCAACTTTCCCTGCATTTTTCCTCAACAGAAAATACTCAAACAGATTACCCAGGGTCTGAAGAGCTACGTCCTTGAATGCGAAAGTCGGTCCGTGGAAGAGTTCGAGCACATAAAGATCATTCAACTTGACCAGGGGCGTTACTTCTTTTGCGCGCCATGCCGCAGGGCTGTAGCTCCGGTCGAGGATGTCTTTCAGGTCTTCGGCAGGGATCTCGTCGCGGGAGATATACAATGAGAAGATCTCGAAAGCAAGTTCCGGAAAGGAGAGATCCTTCCATTGCTCCCAATGGGTGGACGAAGCGTCTGGGATCTCTTCTGGCAAGTATAATCCACCGTCGGTGGCCAGACCATTCATGACAACCGTCTCGAAGGAGAGCTGGGGGGTTGTTAGTTACCTCCCTGCTTCCAATGGCGACGACTTACATCGCGGTCCTTCCCCCGCGTGCTGAGATATCGCTGGGATGGCCTGAGGCCGCCCGCTGAGGCAGTTGTGCTTTGATTTGCCATGGCTATGAGAAGCTGAGGTTGACCCCTCTATCTAGGAACCCCTCTATCAGTGACACAAGAAGTTGTACATGCACATAGAATAAAATTTGCAGATGTCCAATTGAGTCACAATTACTTTCACGTGGCGTCCGATGTCCGGAGCATTCATTTGTAGTGTAAATGGTACTTCGTCCCGTCATGGCGCGAGCTCGCGGCAAGTCTATGTGGTCCAAGCTTCTAATTGTGGCTGGCGTGGGTGGGGCCCCCATGACCTACACTCCGCATTACCTGCGATGTATAAGGCCCCTGGTTACCGGGCAAGCTTGCTCTGACAACGTTGTAACTTGCGCCTGCGCCAGAGCTACCACCGAGCTCCTCGACCATCGCCGGTGCTAGACAAGATGTCTCTGGATCCGCCGAAGTATCTGGCGTCGCTCCAGAACAACATTCGCCAAAGACCGATACCTTGGGATGGTGCTGTAAGAGCAGGTACTCTGACCGATAGCCAGCTGGCCAAGATTCGAGCTGTCGATAAGGTCAAGAGGGATGTGCGAAAACAGGCTGTCGAAGCCGACCTTGAAGGCTATCGAATATTGTTCATTGGAGAGCCGGGCAATCCCGGAGTACTAGAATCCGCCGCCAGACGTCAGGATGTGGTCCAGTACATCTTGGTCCTGCTGAACGACTTGCTGGACAGTATGTGCCTTCCCTCGTCTCCCTCGCTCTGGGATCGATGGGCAACTTCCATTCCATCCTTGCTGCCCATCATGCGAGGATCGTGATGTCTTCTTACCTCTTAAGAGACTTGAGCTTACGTATGGCATCACCACAGGCATTCCAGCACTCTCCAAGGCTCTGTTGCAGACCGGCGACCCATATCGGAACTTGTTACCTCTACTAGCCCACTCGACCAATTCCGAAGATCCGATCCCTCTTCTGGCCTCCACCGTCCTCACCAGCCTCATCGGAAACTCTAGAGATGAATCTGAGGCAACAATTGATCGGGCCTTGCCCGTGCTCTTCAGCTACCTCTCTTCCATCATCAAGAGCTCGGACGCCAGCCTACAAGACATTGGTGTGCTAGAGTACTCATCCCTGTTGTACGGGAGAGTGTCCAGAGGGCAATTCTGGGCCCAGAGAAGCGAAACCGTTGCGCCTCTGATCGATATACTCCGGGCCGCAGCTGGCGTATCTAATGGAGATGCTTCTGCAAGTCTGTGGAGCCGGGCTACTTCTACTTCTCGGACCGGTGCTTTTGAGGGATCTCTGGGTGGAGGTGTTGGTCTACAGCTCCTATACCACGTCCTCCTAGTAATGTGGCAGCTCAGCTTCGAGGCTGCGAATGTCGGCGATGACCTGAGCAGGTAGGTTCCCAAACCCGGCGGCTCTGAGGTCTGGCAGGTGGCTGACTTTGGATAGCGAGTACGATATCATCGTCCTCTGCACACAGCTCATTCGTCTGTCTCCCAAAGAGAAGACCACCCGGCTCCTCATCAGCACGCTCTACAACCTGCTCGTCGCCAATCAAAAGTCCCTCCTCCCCATTGCGGTCCTTGCCCGCCTTCCCGCCGGTCTACAGAACCTCTCTGCCCGACAACTTACCGACCCAGATCTCCAGGAGGACCTGGGCAAGCTGAACGACCTTCTGGAGGAGTACACAAAGACAAAGACGACGTTTGACGAGTACGTCGCTGAGGTCGACTCGGGCCACCTGCGCTGGTCGCCGCCGCACCGCAGCACGGTCTTCTGGGCGGAGAACGCGCGCAGGATCCTCGAGCACGAGAACGGCGAGGTGGTACGGAAGCTGGCCGAGATCATGAACAAACCCTGGGACAACGATAAGTCGGTGCTGGCGATCGCGTGCAACGACGTGGGCGCTCTGGTTAAGGAGGTGCCTGAGAAGAGGGGCCAGCTGGAGAGGCTTGGGCTGAAGACGAGGATTATGGAGCTGATGGCCGAGGCGGATGAGAATGTGCGGTGGGAGAGCTTGAAGGCTCTGGGCGGGTGGTTGAAGTATAGCTTCGACAAGTGAGAGGTGCATAGTCAAACCGGGAGGTCGACGAGGTTTTGGTTCCATCCGTCCGTCCCCCTTGGTGGATCATCGTGACAGCTGTGGTGGGATGGTTCACTAGACGACGGCTCGCATTTTCCAAGGATCATTCTTCATCATTGTAACTATCTGTACTGGCATACCTACCTACCATAAAGCATAGGTAGGCCCCAATGTGCTGTCCAAGCTCACTAACACACTGTTGAATGAGACAGTCTTCTTCTAGCTCCCCGCAGCCCTAACAAGGATTACCGTGGGCATCTATACCATACACAATAAGGACGGATATCAATTTTTGTTGGGTCCAGGGGTTCCATATATTTAAGCCGTCGGAAGCTCCGTCGAGCCCGGCTGGTATCGGGACCCGAATGGAATTTGACCCCCGCCCCCGCTATGCTCGGCAGTTCTTGGCGGTTAAGAGCTCCACCGCTGAATTCAGACCGTCGAGACTGACTCAAGCTGACATCTTGAGCTTCCCCCTTTCAAACAGCACACCATTTCCAGTAATCAGTAACTCGGGAGGACCTCAATTGACAACAATGAGGACCATCAAGACTCGGGCTAGCCACGCCCTCAGAGTCGCCCTTCAGACTCGCACCAGTGGGTCGGTCCGCCTCCCAGGGAGAGCTTTAACCGTGTCATTGGGCAACACTCCGCGGAGCCTCAGCAGCACCACCGCCCTCGCCCCGACCCTCCAACAACACCGGCCGGCATCACTCTCCTCCTCTCAATCTCAATCCTACCAACCAAACCGCCATGCCTCCTCATCCGCCGCCCCCGCCTCATCCCCCCTCAGCAAGACGGCCCTCTACGACCTGCACCTCTCCCACGGCGCCAAGATGGTCCCCTTCGGCGGCTACCACATGCCGGTGCAGTACGCCGGGCAGTCGGTGGCGGCATCGCACGCCTTCACGCGCTCGCACGCCTCCCTCTTTGACGTCGGGCACATGGTGCAGCGCGTGCTTCGCGGCCCGGGCGCAGCGCTCCTGCTGCAGCGCCTGACGCCGCTTGACGCGCGCGCCCTGCCCGTCGGGCGGGGGTCACTGTCTTGTCTGCTGCACGAGGGGACGGGCGGGGTCGTGGACGATACGATCGTCACGCGGCTGGGGGGGCAGGGGGACGGGGGCGAGTTCTACATCGTCACGAACGCGGCGTGCAGGGAGAAGGACGATGCGCATCTGGACCGGGAGCTGAAGAAGTGGAATTCCGAGGAGGCGAACGCGGAGTTGCAGGTCGAGCAGGAGATCCTGGAGGGGTGGGGCCTGGTGGCGCTGCAGGGCCCGCGGGCCGCCGAGGTGCTGGCGGAGGCGCTGGCCGAGCCGGACGAGGTTCGCCTGGGGGAGGTGCTCTTCGGGCAGGTGGTCCATGCCAAGCTGAAGATTGGGCGGCGCGGGACGAGCAGCCCGCTGCTGATCAGCCGGGGCGGGTACACGGGCGAGGACGGGTTCGAGATCTCGATCCCGCCCGCGGAGACGCTGCGGCTGACGGAGACGCTGCTTGCCACGGGCGGGCCCGAGAGGGTGCAGCTTGCGGGGCTGGGCGCGAGGGATAGCCTCCGGCTCGAGGCGGGCCTGTGCCTGTACGGCCACGACCTCGACGACTCGACCACGCCGGTCGAGGCCGGGCTGAGCTGGATCGTGCCCAAGGAGCGCCGGACGGCGGACGCGGGCTTCTACGGCGCAGAGGTCATCAGCAGGCAGCTGGTGCCAAAAAGTAAGGGCGGTTCGGGCGTCCGTTACCGGCGGGTCGGGCTGGTCGTCGAGGGCGCGCCCGCGCGCGAGGACGCGCAGATCTGGAGCCGGCCCGCCGCGGAGGGGGAGGAGGGCGAGAACCTCGGGTCGGTGACGAGCGGGTGCCCGAGCCCGACGCTGGGGAAGAATATCGCCATGGGCTACGTCAAGGATGGGTTCCACAAGGCCGGGACCGAGCTGGACGTGCTGATCCGGGGGAAGAGGCGGAAGGCGGTCGTCACCAAGATGCCGTTTGTGCCGACCAAGTATTATAAGGGGACTGCGCCTGCTTGAGGCTTCGGAAGTATCGGGAGGGCATGAAAGGAGGTTTTTACGGTGTTTCAACACACGGCAATTGTATCCGATCGGCGTTGCAGCAACGGAATTTCCTCAACGGGAACACCTACATCGGCAGACTTAGCATGGTTATTAGTTCTACTTAAAATGGCAAACCACAGGATAAGACAAATATGCTTAATTCAAGTACGGAATGGTGTCGTCGGACTTCTCCTCTACGTGTTGCCTGCCAGGCTCAGTTGTCATTGCTTTGGGCTGCCTAACAAACAGCGACGACAAATCTGTTGCCAGAATACAGCGTTCTCACCTGCCATCCACACAGAGACATCTTCTAATAGCGACACCTGAGGGTGGACTGGTCAGTTGACGACCTGTGTCTTCCTCATAGCAACCATGCACAAGCATAGTCGAGGCAAAGTGCCAGACCTGTCGGACATGGCCCTCGTCATACACACAGCAAGTAGGGTGCAAACGGGTTTACAGCTTGCAGACACCGGTTGGTGACCAGAGAATACTTGGGGCTGTTAAGAACCCTACATATGGAAAAGTCACGAGAAATGTTGCCGAATCTTCATAGGAACCCATCACAGCATGGCTCTGAACTCCCTCAAACGTGCGGCGACGTAATCTTGCAACAAGCTACGAGAAATCATGAGACACTGGAAGAAAGAAGTCCTTGATTCGGCGCAAGTTGCATCGATTGTATTCGATATTAAGGGAAGCAGAGGGGAAGTATCAGAATTTTCTGTTGGCCTAGAAGTTAGGTACCTCGGCACAGTCCAGAATAATTTGTTCACACTAAACGCACGGTGGGTCCGAACCATACGGCCAGCTCCCTGATTGGCGGGAGACAACTGCACATTTTCCGCTCACCCTTCGGCATCGCAGGATGCAGCAAGTGACGTCAATCATATGCCATGAAAGTTCCTTTAGAACGCGCACCTAGCTAAGCAACGACAATATCGACAGTTATAATATTTTGTGTTCAGCTGCTCAGGCCCGAAACTCTTGACTTCCAACTCCAAACAACTTCCATCTTGACAGACGCTCCCGATAGGCACACGACTCTGCTAAAGAAAACCACGTGGGTGTCTCGGTGTGTTGATTGGTTCCCCATGACATTGAACTGTGCCAAAGAGGGACCTTAGGTATGGCCCATGACCATCCTTGACTGCCTGACACTCTGCAGCCTGGAAGTTGCGTATTTTAGAAGCCCTTCTTGTTAATAACAGTCGCAGAATCCGCTGTTCCTCTTCCCAAGTAAAAGGCCCTTTCTCGGGCAACTATGTAAACGCCAACCGAGTCCGGAGATACAGCCGGTTCATTTGTCTTGTTGGGCAGCCTGGCGGTCGGATATGATGGTGCTACGATGCACGGCGCTCTTGTTGCTCTTCAATGGCGTCATTGCCGAGCCTCTGGGCGTCGCTGAACCACAGCACGTTCTCCAAAGTTGGGGAAAAGTAGCAACCCCGCGAAATCTGCATGGCAGGTTCCTGCATATCACGGGTACGTCAACCTACCTAACCAAGCTTCCAAGATATGCAATCATATCGCGCCTATTATAGCCCGCTTGGAGTTTGCGCTAAACCCTACCTCTCTCTCTCTTCCAGATGTTCACCCCGATGAGTTCTACAAAGTGCATACGTCCACGGGCAAGGACGATGCATGCCACAGAGGAAAGGGAGCTTCTGGCACATATGGAGCCGAGACATCCGATTGCGATTCGCCCTTCTCCCTGGTAAACGCCACGTTTGACTGGATTCAGGCCAACCTGAAGGACCAGATCGACTTCATCATCTGGACCGGTGACAGCGCCCGCCACGATAGCGACGAGAAAATCCCCCGCAGCCGCGATCAGGTTCTGGGCACCAACCGCTGGCTTGCGAACAAGTTCAGCGATGTGTTCGCCAACCCGGATGGAAAGGGGTTGTCCATCCCCGTCATACCGAACCTGGGGAACAATGACATCCTGCCGCACAACATCATGTTCCCTGGGCCGAACAAGTGGCTAAGGTACTACACCGATATCTGGCGGCGGTTTATTCCCGAGGAGCAGCGGCACAGTTTCGAGTACGGCGGGTGGTTCTACGTCGAAGTCATCCCGAACAAGCTGGCCGTGTTCAGCCTGAACACGCTCTACCTCTTCGACCGGAATGCGGCGGTGGACAACTGTGTCAACCCTTCAGAGCCCGGGTTCAAGCAGCTGGAATGGCTGCGCATCCAGTTGGGATTCATGCGCGACCGCGGCATGAAGGCCATCATCATGGGCCACGTGCCACCGGCAAGGACGGCCGGGAAGCAGCTATGGGATGAAACTTGCTGGCAGAAGTATACCCTATGGCTCCGACAATATCGCGATGTTGTCACTGGCGCGGTTTGGGGCCACATGAACGTTGATCACTTCTTCCTCCAGGATAGCAAAGAGATCCAACGGGACAAGCTGTCAGGAGGTGAAGCCGACTCGGTCGCTATTCGCGAGGCGATGGAGGACGATATGTCGGTTCAATCAAAGGCCGATTATCTCCTAGAGCTGAGGTGCGACTGGTCGAAACTCAGCAAGCCAGCGTTGAGCGCCAATGGGGCGGATCAAGACAACAAGAAAAAGAAGCACAAGAAACCAGATCCCTGGTCCGAAAGGTACCAGCTGTCTCTTGTCAGTCCCAGTGTGGTGCCCAACTTTTTCCCAACCCTGCGGGTGTTCGAGTACAATATCTCTGGGTTGGAAAAGAACCCGGTCTGGAGCGATGCCCTCGGGCAGAGCGGTCACTCCACACTCGAAGAGGATGAGGAAAGGTTGGAGCTCCGGGACACGTTAACTTCTGAGCCCGAACTTGAGACGGAGGATAGAAGTCAGAGGGCCCAAATTGAGAAGAAGAAGAAGGGCCGGAAAGGGAAGAAACCCAAGGCCCCCAACCCCATGATTCCGGATCCACCAGCAAAATCCGCGCCGCCGGGCCCTGCATACTCCCCGCAACCCCTGACGCTTACGGGCTACACGCAATACTTTGCCAACCTCACCTACATCAACAACGACATGACCGTGGATGGCGGCGGCGGCGACGGCGACGAGGGGGCGAGCCACGCCGATGCCTGGTCCCCCTGGCCGAACTGGGTCCAGCGATGGCGGGAGGGGAAGCACCGGAACAGGGAGCCTAAGAACGCGAAGCCGAAGCCGCGGGAGTTCGAGTTCGAGGTCGAGTACAGCACCTTCGACGACAAGATGTACGACCTAGCCGATCTGACCGTCGGGAGCTTCGTGGAGCTCGCGTACCGGATTGGGAGAGGGTGCGCGGGAGAGGACGGGGTGCGGCTCGGCGCGGAGGGCGGGGCGGACGGTGATGAGGCCGAGGCGAATCCTAAGCTTGACTCGGATTCGGATTCGGATTCGGATTTCGACTCCGATGCTGAAGTTGAGGCGGAAGCAGAGGGGAAGAAGAAGAAGAAGAAGAAGAGGGAAGCAGAGAAGGCGTGGTTGCACTTCCTCCAGCACGCCTTTGTCAGCACCGTGGAGAAGAAGGACTTGAAGAAGCTCTACTAATCCATTGGCGGTTCCATCTTTTTTTGTATATTCTGCCATGGCTATGGCATTGGCATGGATGGCACGGATGGCATGGACGGCATGGACGGACGGATGGATTGCATCAGTGCATTGGGCATGGCTTATAAGTTATGAGGGATGACGATTTGCACCTGGTGCATTCTGGAGTTCATTGACGAGAAATGATGTTTCTGAGTAGGTACCTACGGATACACACTCACTTTCCTTTCGGGCTTGTTTTGAGAGTACTTACCACTTGCCCAACCGTTTCATGTACAAGGTACCTTATCATAGTATTCGATGCCGAGGCAGGACCCTCAAATTCAAACAAGCCCACCTAAATGCAAGGATAGAGCACTGCCACCCCACTTTTCTCGGCGCGCCCTGGCACGGCTGGGCAAACGCTAGCCAAAGACCAACTCGGGCTTCTCAAATACACCGCCCCGGCCGGCAAGGCGGCGATTCGTAGAACCTCCGTCTCCGAATTGCTAGGCTTCTCTCGGTTCCATCAACGACGAACAAAGGTAGCCATCGCCGGTCGCCGACCTATTGAAGCCGTAATATGGAAAGTACAAGACAACTCTGTCGCCAGAATAGGCCCCGTTAGTACCAAGTCTGCATAAGCCATGCCCCCGCGTCGATCCCATAAGAAGTCGAGAGCGGGCTGCCGCCGTTGCAAGGCTCGCAAGATCAAGGTAATAATACGGTCATGCAATATGAATACAGTCAGCCCCGCGGGCTGTCTCGGTACCACTGGCAGGCTAAGGCTAATTGGGATCCCAGTGCGACGAAATCCATCCACGATGCGGAAACTGTTTGAAACACGGCGTGCCTTGCGACTTCGAGCACCCAGACGTGATCGATGAGATCCAGCAGGTCGTCGGCGCCGCCGCCTCGGTCAACAGCCCTACGACCACCGCCGCAACGCCCCAGACTCCCGCAACTCCCGCAACACCGTCGGCCGTCTTCACCCCTGCGGCAGCTTTTGACTACCAGTCCCCCGCCGCCCACCATGCCCCGTCCCCGGCCATGCGCAGCGCGACTCCCCTGTGCAGATCCCCGTCGACACCGACAATCTCCGCCGCCACCCCGCCGGACCAGAGGATGCTGGAGCTGAGGTTAATGCACCACTACACCGCCATCACCTGCAAGACCTTTACCTTCTCGGCCCCCATGACGGAGGATATCTGGAAGTTCACGGTGCCGAGCCTGGCCTTCTCGGGATCCCAGCACCTCGCCGACGCGGTCCTGGCCGTCACCGCCCTGCACCTGCGCAGCATGTCGCCCAACGACCGGGACATGATCCGGGCTTCGCACGCGTACATGGCCGCCTCGCTCGCCGAGTACAACGCGACGCTGAACGAGGGCATCAACCAGTCCAACGCCGAGGCTCTGTTCCTGACCTCGACCCTCATCGCCTTCCAGGCGACCGCCACCCGGACCTTCATCAAGGACGAGCCCGGCGCGACGGGGGGAGTGGATGGCAGGGCGGCGGCGGCGGCGGCGGCGGCGGGTGGCGGCCCTGGGACGGGCGGCTACGCGGTGCCGTTCTCATGGTTCCACTCGTTCCAGGGCGTCAAGGCCATCACGGCGGCGTCGTGGCGGTACCTGAGGCATAGCTCCGTCGTGGCGCATATCATCAACTCGCAGGCGGCCCTGCAGCTCGACTTTGAGGCGAGCAAGGATGGCTTCTTCGGCCACCTGCTGGACGGCCTGGACGAGGAACTGGCTGCCATGGATGCAAATGCCTCGTCCTCCGGCCCCGAAGCCAGCATCCCGCTGGCGGCGGCCCAGGGGATGGAAGACGCGGCTGCGGCGGCACAATCGTCGCTGGTCGACAGCACGCGGCAGGCGTACCAGCACGCGGTGGCGGCGCTCAACTGGGCGCACAAGCTGCCGCACAAGGGGGCCGCGCTGTCGTTCCCGGCGACGGTGTCGCGGCGGTTCGTGGAGCTGCTCGAGGAGCGGCGGCCGCGGGCGCTGGCGGTGCTGGCGTGCTTCTTCGCGCAGCTCAAGTCGCTCGAGAGCGTGTGGTGGCTGCAAGGCATGGCGCGGCGCGAGGTGCTGGGCGTCGTGGGCCTGTTCAACGGCGACTACTTTGGCGCCGACGCACACCGCACTTGGTGGCCGCACCTCGAGTGGGCGGCCAGGATCGCTGTGTGGCATGACGGAGACGACATCCCGCCTGAGGTGTGGGGCGCTGATTGGCAGGCTGAGGAGGAGAAGGCGCTAGCGGCCCAGGGGGGAAGCGCCGGCGTCGACTTTGTCAGCCAGATCGAGATGCTTAGCCAGATGGCTGGTCCGGCGGCGCAGAGCTTGCCGGTCGACTTCCCTGGGCCTTGAGAGGCTTGAAATGGTTGCTGGGAGTCTATCGGGTGACAGGATGACTGGGCTCATGCATCCCGTCCCCCGCCGGGTTGGCCACACCCCGACTGGTCTCGCTTTTGATTGTTGGGCAGGGTGAAGAAGCTAGATCTAGCTTCTCAGGACAAGCGGCTATAAGTGTCTTGGGCGTGGACTACCTGCTGGTCCGAGCCGCGCTATATGCTTGCCGAATCGGTGACATATCGGGAGAGGAAACTTGTTCGCGAACAGGACATGCCGCTCCTTATGGCCTATGCAACACACGTACCCTGGACTTCGCGACGAAGAATTCGAGGGCGCATGCTTGGTGTTAGGCAAGAGGGTGTTTCCTGAGCAGCGAACGAGGGCTGTAGGGGAGATACACAAATGATATGACGTGTAGCCATTTAGCAGCTGAAGTACACAACATAAGAGTCGGGCAGATGGAGAAGCGAAAGTAGTGAGGTAAAAGGATACCGACACTGACACCATCAGGTAGATGTAGCCTTTAATTATATCTCCATGCCTTTTTAAATCGTCCAACGTGAAGCACCCAGCCAAAGGCGCCATCCTCCTACTCGAGTCTGTGAGTTGACGAGTGCCGACAGCCTCGAGAAATGTGTGTCATTTTCGTTGTCTCCCATACCTTGACAACGTTTGTGCTCCTCTCCGAGGACGGCGGCTATGACCGCCATGGTTGACTGCAGAATAAATGCAGGCCAGCTCTGCTCTCTCCCTCACCGTTAGTTCCCGTATCAACGAACTCGACTCTCTGCGCCATTTTTGTCGTATCCAATTGACATTGGCACCATCGCCATGGCACCCCAGGTCACGTCTTATAAAGACCTGCATCTCCTCTGCGAGGCTTTCGACAAGGCAACCCGCGACTTCCTATACACAACCTTTGCCGTCATCGACGACAACGATGTCGTATACTTTGGCCAGCTAAACATCTCTAAACTCAAGATCACTTTCGAGCAGTTCACATCTGCGCTGAGCCCCATCCCCGATGAGGACCTCTTCCCTGAACTGCCTCGGAACGGATTCTGGAGAAACTGACGGTGGCTCCTGAGTCGCTCGCTGGCGACTTCTACATCAAGCGACCACGCCTGTCCATGTATGATGTATACAAAGAACACGACATCTTGTATGTCATGCCTGGCTTAATCCTTGAGGAGGCCCACGCCCTGCAGATAGTCTCTCAACGCCCGCACCCTAACATCATCGGATACCACGGCTGCCGCGTCCGACGGGGCCGTATCACGGGACTCGTCTTTGATCGGTACGAGAACGATCTGAATCACTACCTCAAGGACGGCATCGGGACCATCGACAAGGAGGCCTTCATGGCAGCCCTGGAATCGGCAGTCCATCACCTCCATTCGCTCGGCATGGCTCACAACGATATCAACCCCGCGAACATCATGGTCGGCGAGGGTGGTGTGCCGGTGCTGGTCGACTTTGGTTCCTGCCGCGAGGTCGGTCATAAGATGACGACCAGCAGGGGTACCCCTGGGTGGGTGGACGAGGAGGATGACTACACCACGTCGGAGGAGCGCCATGATGTCTTTGCACTTGGCAAGATTCGTACTTGGTTAGGCAACCCGGTATTCGACTGTTAGATTGGGGGTCTGTGTACCTAGAGGGAATTACCTTGCTGAGCTGGGTTGACTTGTTAAGGTCAGATCGCCAGACAAGCTGGTGCCGAGGGTGCAGACCTCTATACTATCTCCTTTTCACGATGGGGGAGGAAGGGCAGGCCTTATGCGTATACCCTTGATCTAGGATAGCTTGCAATGTTGACATGGATTTCCACTCGTGAGGACTGTCGTAGTGGGTTGGGCCGCGACTGATCTTCAGCACCCAATCCTCGGGCCCTGGTAACAGATGACGACACGGCCTGTCGAAAGGGTATAGCACCCACTGAGGCAGGAAGCATTTGCATGGCTGGACACGAGCATATCCTTGAAAAGATGACACACCAAGGTACGCTTCCACGAGAGTAGCATAGCCCGCACACAGACGTTGAGCTCGCACACGGGAATATTCTCAAAGGTTATATAGCTAAGGTACGGGGCGTTGGCCTATAACATGCTGACAGATGAGCTTTTGATACCCCTTGACGCCCCATTACTCCTCAGCCTCGATGCAAATGAAGCCTGCCTTTGCGCCAAAACCAAGATGGAAACAAGAAGAAAGAGAGCGAGAGAGAGAGACAGCAAATCTCTACAGCTTCCTTTTCCTCTTGGGCTCATCACCGGCGACCACCGCCTCATCGACGTCTGCGTCGGCGGACTCATCGGGGACTCGCCCGCGCTTGAGGCCCTTCATCTTCCTGGTCTGCAGCTCCTTGAGGTCCTGCTTTCCCAGGTGGATGCGGCCCATCTTGTCGCCCAGGGCGCTGGTGGTGATGTTCTTCTTGGGGCGCTCGTCGGTCGTCCGGGCCCGCCTCATGGCCTCCTTCATCATGGCATCGTCCGCCTCCCGCATCCGCCCCAGCCGGAAGTCCATCCGGGGACCCATCTCCTCGACCTCCACCCTGGGCAGCTTCTGGCCGCTGCGCTGCGTCCGGATCAGGTACGAGCGCAGACGGAGGACGGGCTTCGTAGACGGGTCGTCGTCGGATGATGATGCTGCCGCCGCGGACGAGGAGGGCTCGTCGGCGCTGACGAGGATGACGTACTGCAGGGCCTCGACGTCGAGCTTGGAGGCCGTGGCGCCGCCGTCGAAGCGGAAGAAGTCGAGCAGCAGGCTGCGAGCGAGCGTCCACTCGTTCTGGACGGGGCTCTCGAAGGCGGTGCCGGCGAAGACGAGCATGGGCCGCAGGCCGAAGGTGAACTTGCGGGTCTGGAACTGGGCCATGCGGCGGAACGAGTCCGGGTCGAGGGAGAACTCGAGCATGTCCAGGACGTTGTGGTCGAAGGTGCGGATGAGGGTCAGGCTGTGGGGCCGCTTCTTGCTCGAGCTGCCGAAGACGAGTAGGCTGGCGTCGTTCTTCTCGGAGAAGAACTCGAGGCTCGTGGCGTCCTCGAAGGGCCGCACCGCGTTCTTCTTCGTAAACTTCTTGGCATGGCTGGCTCGCAGCGAGTACAGCTCCCCCATGGCGTCTTGTACTATCTGGCTGCAGGTCGTGCCGCGCAGGAAGAGAGCAATCTTCGGGTTCTCAACCGCCTTCGGCTCCCGCTTCTCGAGGGCCCGCTTGGAGCGGGCATTGCGGGGTTTTCTGGGTTGAAGTTAGCAATGATGGCTGGGTGGAGGAGGGGGGAAAACGAGAGGAGGGGAGGATAAGGTTTCAGATGAGCTTACATTTGGCGCAGCATTTCAAATATGGCAGAGTCTGTTAGGGGTAAGATTGCTGAGCTGAATGGATTTAAGGTGGTTGGTAGGAGTCTTGGGAGATCTGGAGATGCAGCAGCTCACGGATTTTCAATTCACAGAGGCTTGAAAAGATGGTATATTTTGGGCGGTGACTGATGGCAGTATGTTGGACAAGGTCCCTTATCCAAAGTGGGGGTCGGAATGTGGGGCTGGAGGCTGAACCACTTGAGGCTTCATTCAACATCAACATAAGTTTTTATTAACCAGAACTAATGCATTTTCGAAGCACATTTATTGTCTTTGCCCTCTCCTTTTTAATGGGATCTGCTACCATGTAGTTATGGACCTTTCAGCCAAGTGTTTACAAGAAGGAGTTAATCTGGACCTCTCCACCTCCAACCTAATTAATATTGAGGATATCATTGCAGATATTGCGGATATCGATGCCGACGAACTCACGATAAAACTTGACGATAATCAACAACAAAGTTACAGGTAGCCAGATTAACTTAGTTGCAACCTTGGCGATGATTTGGAGGATTTGAATGGTCTTGCTTCTATCGCGGCCTGGGAAGACCTCAACGAAAGATTCGCCGTGCTGGGTTTCGCGGACCCTGAATAATCCTCAAGCTTTCTCTAATCCTCAAGCTTTCTCTAATCCTCAAGCTTTCTCAATACCCTTCAAAAATGTACTGCTGTGTTGTTGGCCATAGCCTTGCGAACAATCTTGGCATCCGTATCGAGGATATCCTCCAGCTCCGGGTCCTCCAAGTCGTAGGGCGAAGGAACATTGTCCATGCAGATACCAGACCGGGCTTTCACATCCTTGTACCTGGCCCAGTACGCCTTGAATGCTGGTTTGGAAGGTATTCCCCGGGTAATCATGACCAGATCTAGGTACTCATTGAAAGCCCAGATGTGATGGAAATCCAGAGGCAGCCCCTTGGCATGCATGACTAGTACGCTCCCCTGGAGAGGCGTGGTTCCAGAATAGGCGTACGTCCTGTCGTCAACTGTGCAAGCAACTGTGATGGTATCCAGGTATCGGGCATCGGCGTTCTTCCAAGGGCGCTCAATTCCCTCACTGGTGATCGGGTTTCCATCCCGAAGCCACCAACTCAAACCCACCAGGTTGGCCAGGGTCACTGCAGTCTGGAATCTGTCTGTCTGGAGGGGTGCCTGGACTTTGACAGTGCGCATTGTGTCAGTGATGCCCATCTGCTTGTTGAATGGGTCATTGGTGCTGCTGATCTTGATGGCTGGAATGGATTGCGAGACTGATCGATCGGGATTCGCAATGCAGGGGTTGTCCTTGTAGTTTTGGTAGAAGTCGACAATGTGGCGGAAGTCGCGCATGGTGATATCCTGGACTCGCATGGGGTTCTTTATGGGCCTGGCGAGTTGGTTGTTGGCAAGTATCTTGTCCTTGTTGGCATCTTCTGTACCACTTCTGGTACCATTTTCAGTGACGCCTGCCTTGGGGCTGTCCCGACTCTCTTTGTCGTCCTGTCCCGTGTTCTTTCCGCCAATGTCTTCTTTGGTGTCTTCCTCTCCTTTGCTTTGGGGATCGCAGTTGATGCTCTGATTATCCTGGATCTCCAGCTCGCTCAATCGGATGCCAGGTAGCTCGTCATCCCCATTGCCCTTGGCCACTCTGTCTCCTGCCTTGCTATTGTTCTGTGCCCCTTCGCTCTGGGCATCTTGGGTGATGGCGACATGGATGTGAGGTCCAAACCATGGTCGCAGCAGGCCAGGCTTTCCAAGAGCAGCCTGGGACTGGTTTAGAAGCTCCGGTACTATGCCGGTAGTATGGACCTGGAGACCCCAGATACACAGGGCATGGGCCATTCCCTTACCACTGAACTGAGCAGTGGTAGTTATCGGGACGTACAGCGTTGCAGAAGTGGGCAGTGCTGGGCGGCCAATGATCTTGGTGACCTTGCCTAGGTCCGGATGCTCCACGGTCGTGGTACCTCGCAACTGATTGTATCCCAGCCAGACAAATTCTGGCTCGCCCTGAGTCATGGGGAAGATCACTGCCCGGAAGTGCTCAGGAGACGGACGTTTGTCAGACTTGAAGTCTGAGAAGGCCTTGCAGAGTATCTTATGCATGGGCCAGTCAGATCTCTGGCACTCAGCAGAGCAATAGTAGGCATCGCCACACTTCCCACACGCCTTTGTGCCTTCGCTCTCGCACATGTTGCACAGGTTGTGTACCGAAGGCGCTGCCTGCGAAAAAGACCCAGCATCCTTGACCTGGAGGTCATGAACCGCGATAGGATCATCCTTGGTGTTGCCACTACTCTCCCCACTGTGCCTGGGGGGGAGAGGCTGGGATGTCATGATGCAAGTGTGGAATGAATATCTGTGACACAAGCTGGTGGGAGGGCCGGCAAGGGTGTAGATCGAGGGATACGAGACGCGACGAGAAATTGAGACGAAGGGAGGAGTTGGTCTCTCGGCGTGAGAGCAATAACTGGGCTTCCCGACTAAAAAGCAGATGACTTCAGAGGGTATGATGTATGAAAATTCCCGACGTTGTGAGGGCAGAGAGATGATGTGAATATGTAGGTGATGATGGGGAGTGGGGGGAAGTAGTGCAGCGAAATCACTTCTTAAATCAAGGACAGCACAGTGGCCAGAAAGGTGAGGAAGCAGTGAGAACTTTGGAGGCATGCTTGGCCAAATATCTTCCAGCGGCAGCTTGAAAAGTCCCACTGCCTTTTCTCCTCTAAATGTGATCAAGGCAGTAGCAACCCGAACCCAAGTCTCCTGACATGCAGGTATTGTCTATGTGTGCGAGAGGCAAAGGATGTCTAGCATGATTCTCTCACTTCATGGCTCAGGCAAAAATACGGACTTTCATATCGCCTCTTGTAGAATTCCATTACGCCCAGCTTGGAGACAAACCTCAGCAGCGATTAGAGAGTGTGATAACTATATAGATTCTAGAGCTGTGGTGCAACCACTTATGATGATGCCTACAAGGAAGGAAGTCTTCCAGTCTAATAGACATTGCTGACTTAGAAATACGTAAGAGCTGAGGAAGATGGACCCTTGTAAGAACCAAACCAGTGCATAAAGCTGTAGGATACAAATATTATTGCTGAATGATCGAGGAGATGTGTGGAAAGGAGAGGTCGCTGTATAACCATTTTTCCATGTCACCCCCTTTTTCACGCAAAGAAGTAATGATCCTCTGATCTCGATCTTTCTTCTCTCCAGTATAAACGTCAGGTCCTTTGCCTGAATCTCTCCTCTTGAGGTTCAGCCATTTATCTCTTGATCTGTCTATTGTTTGTTGTAAACCGCCCCTTACACACGGCTGTCACGTTCTAAGCACACTGCATTATTTGTCTCAACCGCCCACCGTAATGAACAACAAGACCCTTGCAGAAAACCCGCTCGGCCTGGATGCACAGGCCAGGGGCAGGCACACTAGGGAAGCGGTGAGACCATCCAGGGCAATCGCAATGCCAACTGGCTGCGGGGCACGAGGCGCTAAGCCAGATAGTTTAGAGTACCAAGCACTTCGTCCACTGTGACGAGACCTGGCAAATTGCAGGTACAGGCTACAGGGAGCTTTCACTTCCCACACAGTTTGCCCCGCCTTCAGCACCTACCAAACAAAAGGAGAGCTTCCCACCCACACAAATCTCCAATCTTCAGCCGGCATCAACAGAACATCAAACTTGTATTGACAAAATTCCTTAATCCTCCCTCCGTCCTGCCTGATCCTCCATTTGCGCTGTGCGCATACCACTTTTCCATTCCAAGACCATCTCACTGCCCATCTCGATTCTAGAGGAATCTACTCACCATGAGAGGCGAGGTAAGATATCCGGATTATTTTGTTGGGTCCATATTTCCCCGTAAACCCGGGCACGATGAGGCTATTCCGAGAGCCCCTATTTCCAATGCGGGGAATGTGTCGACAAGAAGCTTCCAACCACAACCACGGGTTTTTCAGCAAGGAAAGGGACTTGATGCCCTCTTCAATGTTCACATTCGACATCGGCGACATCATAATTCGATTTGCCTTTCTTGATTGACAGAAGCCGGCGATCCTCCCCACTTAACGCCCATCTCAACACCCTACCACCATCAGATGCATATTCGCTTTACCATCCGCACTGGCAGCCAGCCTTGGGCTTTGAGACATGGCACCATTTATTCCAGACTGGCAGCCAGCTAACATGAGCTCCACTAGGTCCTTCACCTTCACCTGGGCCAGGCTGGTACCCAGCTTGGCAACAGTGCCTGGGAACTGTATGGCTCCTCACCGCCCTTACTCGGTCTTTTTCGGCTGACAGTCATGCTAGGTACCTCCTCGAGCATGGCCTCGGGCAAGACGGTCGCCCGGATCCCAATACCAAGGACATTGGTGATGCTGGCTCGTTCGAGACGTTCTTCACCGAGACCAGCGGCGGGAAATATGTTCCCCGATCCATCTTTGTCGATCTTGACCCTTCCCCCATCGACGAGATCCGCACTGGTGCTTATCGCCAGCTCTTCCACCCGGAATTGCTGATCAGCGGCAAGGAGGATGCTGCCAACAACTATGCTCGCGGACACTACACCATTGGCAAGGAAATGGTCGACAATGTCATTGACCGAATTCGACGTGTTGCCGGTACGTACTACGGCTGCGTGCCATGAGTGATGAGCGTCGTGAAACAGAATAAAACGGGATGCTAACGGCGGCTCGCAGACAACTGTAACTCTCTGCAGGGCTTCTTGATCTTCCACTCCTTCGGCGGTGGCACCGGCTCTGGTTTCGGCGCTCTCCTTCTCGAGCGCCTCTCTGCCGACTATGGAAAGAAGTGCAAGCTCGAGTTCGCTGTCTACCCTGCTCCGCGTGTCTCCACCGCTGTTGTTGAGCCTTACAATGCTGTGCTCTCGACCCACAGCACCATTGAGAACTCCGATTGTACCTTCTTGGTTGACAACGAAGCCGTCTACGATATCTGCCGACGAAACCTGGATATCCCCCGCCCTAGCTACGAGCATCTCAACCGCTTGATTGCTCAGGTCGTGTCTTCCATTACGTCGTCCCTGCGCTTCGATGGTGCTCTTAATGTCGACCTGAACGAGTTCCAGACTAACCTGGTCCCGTACCCTCGTATCCACTATCCCCTGATCAGCTACGCTCCTGTCATCTCGGCTGCCAAGAGTGCTCACGAGAGCTTCAAGGTTCACGACCTGACCTTCCAATGTGAGTATCGGGAACTGCGAGGATTGAATTTTCCGACAGAGGGGGGATATCTAACTATTTTACTCTCCAGGCTTCGAGCCGAACAACCAGATGGTTGTCTGCGATCCTCGTAACGGCAAGTACATGGCCGTCGCGCTGCTCTACCGCGGCGACGTTGTTCCTCGCGATTGCAGCGCTGCTGTTGCGGCTCTCAAGGCCAAGGCTTCGTTCAACCTCGTCGAGTGGTGCCCAACTGGCTTCAAGATCGGCATCAACTACCAGAAGCCCGTTGCGGTGCCCACCGCCTCTCCGGCCGATGGTGGCCTCGCCTCCGTTGACCGCTCCGTCTCCATGTTGTCCAACACCACTGCCATTGCCGAGGCCTGGTCTCGTCTTGACCACAAGTTCGATCTCATGTACAGCAAGCGCGCTTTCGTGCACTGGTACGTGGGCGAGGGCATGGAGGAAGGCGAGTTCAGCGAGGCCCGCGAGGATCTGGCTGCCCTTGAGAAGGATTACGAGGAGGTCGCTGCCGACTCGTTCGAGCCTGAGGAGGGTGAGGTCGAGTATTAAACCGTCGGCTTGGCGCTGGACTCAGCTGCCAGATGCGAGGAGTCACTGGGGATTTCTCGAGGGGCAAGCCTCCTCCCGTGATCCTGCGACCCTGCATGCCCGAAAGCTGGAAAGGTGTTGTGAATTTGCGGAGTGCACATAACCCAATGAATGATGGACAATGAATGAGCACCACGGGCGAACCGAGTCCACTTTCCCCTCTTTCTCATGTTTGGTAAACGTGGAAGACAGTGGCGGTGGAAGAAGGGAAACCGGGTCTGGTTAAGATTTCATTTACTTGCGTGCGTGTTTCGTGTGACTGGACAGGAAAAAACAACACCTGCCTTTAGGACCTGCTTTTTGATGCCCCTGCCTTGATATTACCCCTTTTCCCCCGAATAGCTTCGACTACCCCCAATCGATAATAGATGTCAATTTGCAATGGCCCGCTTGATTGAGAGAGACCATTGTGTCACTGGTACTTGAACACCTTAAGCACCACGTCTATGCTTCGCGATGCTGTCGCCTATTTCAGTGGACGAACACACCTCGTAAAACGCGTTTCTCCGGCTTGGGGTACTCTAGATTGGTTGCCTGGCGGTATGTACATACAAGGGGGTACCGCTCCCATCTAGTGCGTCTACCCCTTAACGAAGCCCCATCCTATTCTTGGCAAATGCCCCTTACTTGCTGCGACCCTCGGCCCGCCACTTGGCGGCGCGGACGGCCCCGCGCCCCTCCTGGCCCGTCTTTTTGGCCTGCGCCGCCTTCCTGCCCGCCCCCTTCGGCCGCGAGCCCTTGAACTTGAGATCCTTGGGCTTGCCGTCCTTGGCGCTGGCGCGCCGGCCCTCGAAGATGACCTCCTCGGGGGTTCTGATGGCCGCGGGCGGCCCTTCGCCGCCATCTTTGTTGGTGTTATCGTTGTTGTTGTCGTTACCGTTGCTCCTCCTCCCGGCCCGCCTCTCGGCCCGCGCGGCGGCCCGGCGCTCGGCCTTCCTGCTGGGGGGCCGCGCGGCGGCCTTTGCGCCGCCGGAGCGGCCGAGCAGCTTGCTGGCGCGGCCGGCAAGGGTCTGGGCCTCGGCCGTGGGCTTGGGGACGTAGTCGCTGCCGCCGGTCTTGCGCCGCTTGCGGTCCGGCTTGCCGTCGTCGTCGGCGCTGGCGTTGGCGCCGGTGCCCGGGGTGGAGGCCTTCTTGGCCTTCGCCTCGGCGGCGCGCGCGGTCTTGTGTAGGGCCTTGCACCGGCTGACGCGGAGAGTGCGGGGGAGCATGGGCGGGAATTTCTTACCCGCGAGGGTGAGGGCTGCTTCTACGCCGTTGGCGTCCTGTTGGTTGAATACGTGGTTAGTTATGAGGTTGCTCTTTGGAAGTGACGGGTGATCGAGAAAGGGTGGGAGATAAAGGGGGCTCGAAAGCGGAAAGAGGCAACTTACGTAGAACTGCACATAGGCGATACCCTTGCCCACCCTCGTTATGGGATCCCTCACGACACGCACGCTCTCGACCTTGCCGGCCTCCTTTCCGAAGACCCGCCACAGGCCTTCCTCCACGTCCATGGGAGCCTTGGTACGCTTCTTCTTCTCGGAGACCTCCTTGCCCTCCTCGTCAGTCTTGACGTTGAGCACCGACTCGTCGTCCACGAACCCCAGGTTGCCGACGAAGACGCAGCGACGCTGGTCCACGGTGGCGGGATGGGCCACGCTGTCGACTCGCAGATGGCGGTCGAGGATCACAGTGCCATTGAGTTTCGTCACGGCGGCGCGAACGGCCGGGATGGCGCTGTACACGACGTACGCATTGGTGGACTTGGTGGTGGCATCCATGAGAGACTTTTTGATGAAGGCGGCACGTTTGGGGACGGCGGCCGTCGAGAAGGCGGTGGAGCGGAACCGGATGGACTCGATGGTTTGGGGCGGCGAGGCCGTCTTGTCCAGCACCGACGAGAGGTGCGCGAGGAGCGTCTTCTTGGCCGTGCGCGAGGTGATGGCTTCGATGGAGACATTGCTCAAGAATATGGTACGGGATGCCTGCTCCAGCTCTGACGCGGCCGGGTCGGCGGCTAAGGACTCGTGCATGATGACGCCGTCGTCCGAGGCTGCGTCGTCTTCCTCCCCCGGTTGATCTTCGGGCTCATCTTCGCCTTTCTGTCGCTTCTCGACGGGTTCGTCATCATCCTTGGCCAGCTTTTGTAGGTGTCTGGACTCGAGACCATCATCGTCATCCCGTTGTTTTCTCTTCCTCTTCTTGTCCTTCTTGTGGCTCGCCGCGCCGCTGGTGAGAACGGCTTCCAAGAACTTTGCGGCTGCGACCTCGTCGTCCCCGCTCAAATCCTCCTTGTCGGAGCCCTCATTGGAAGATTCATCATCATCGGAGGGGCTAGCTTCATCTCCACTACCTCCCGACGACTCTCCCTCAGAGATGCTGGCATCGTCCTCGGCGTCTTCCTCGTCTGATGAGTTCTCCGCCTGCCCTGACCTTGCAGGTGGTAAATCTTCATACCGAGACTTGGGGGCGGCCGTAACTGGTCCAGCCTAGTGTTTTGTTAGGATAGGAGAGGGAAATTGCGGTGTGCCATCACGACTTACACTTCCAGCGAAAAGTGCGTCCAAGGCGGGATCGACCGCTTTGGGGGGGGCAGACAAGCCCGAATGCCTGGTTCAAGTTAGTTTGACATGAAATAGAGTTGGAACACGATGCAGTCGAGTCTTACTTTTTTGCCATTGTCCGGTAGATCGTGGGTAAAGTGTACCAAACGTTCTTCAAGAGTGGAACTGCACGATTCTTGGGGCAGCACAGAAAAAGTTGCTTATCAGTGCTTCTACCTATCGTAATTCTGCCTTGACCCACCGCCTAATACCAGGGATGGTCTGTGTCGTCTGTTAGTGGGGGACATTAGACCTGCCCCATCCGGCAGAAGGAAGGCGCCTGCCTGATAATCAACTAACGTATTTGACTATAGAACAGCCCATAGACTGTTAGCGCTGCAGCAGCGCCCGAAAGCGCAAGCCCAAAGGGTGGGCTGATATTTCGTAGCTTATTAATTGCACCCCAGGGGATTGGGGTCACGGCGCAGTGGATGCGAGCATCGATCAATCGCTTGGGGTGGGCGGATTCACGAGGTCCTCTCCCGTCGTCGGCGCACTCTCCATATGGGCTTCCTGGGTCAATAATCTTCCCCGGCTTTCCCACCCTTCCTTTCTCGCAACACCACCCCACCTACTCTACTTTCTGGGAAAATAACCACACGATCTTGTTCATTTCGTTTCCTAGTTTTCCAGGTCTCCCGTCTTCAACCCCACACTGGGCTGGCTCGTTTTCTTTTCCCCCGTCGATTGCCCTGACGCCTGTTGTCCCTCCAGCTCGAGACGGGCGCTCAATTTTGCGCGGGTTCTCCCACCCGCCCACCACGCCACTGAACCTCGGATTCGCGATTGTTGCAGTCCTAATTTCGATCCCCTTACAGCGCTAGCAATGGCCACCGGCGATACTGCTCCGCCGATCGCTCTGGCGAGCTCGCCGCCGCCCTTCCTGGGCCAAAGCTCCAGCAATCTGTCCAGCCCCCTCAGCGATGTGGAAGACAAGGACATAGACCCCGATGAGATGGATCTTGGCGGCCTAACACGCAATGTCGCACGCCTCGGCACACCAGAACCTCGAGACGAAGACGACGACTTCGCGTCGAGACCTAATTCGGACGGTGAGAGTAAGCTGTCCGAAATCGACGCCAACGACTCGGAAGCCGAAACTGAGCGACTCTACGACACCCCTCCCAAGAATACACAAGGTCGCGGGCTTGTCAATGGAGTCAAAGACGCGGGCGGTAAACAATTCATTGATCGGCGCAATGCGCCCTTTGAGCCCAGTCCCAGCAAGCTCCAGCAACAGGTCCGGCCCGCCGCAGACGCGGGAGACGAAGGCAGCGACGATGACTCGCTACCCGACGACGACCCTGACTACTCCATGCCCTCTATTTTAGCAGATCGTCGTCGAGCAGATCGTCGTCGCACGAAGGACCGCCAATCTCGGTCGCCGTCGCCCTCCAAGCACACACCGCAGACGAAAGTCCAAGAGGCCAAACCCGCCGAAGACTCTACAGATACTCGGAAACGCAAGCGCTCCTCGGTTGCAGAACAGTCCGAGCTGGATCAACCCCTCAGGAAGCGCACCTGTTCGATCAGCCCCACCGACCACGAGTTTTCTGCAGACAACACTGCTGCCCCCGACGACGAGGGTTCTTCTACCAATACCCGAAGCGGCGAGCACACTGGTGAGGAGGATAGCACTGGCGACCGCGAGGTTGCGCACGATACCAAGGACGAAGCTGCCAAGTCTATTGAGGATACCACGACCGAGCCCAGCCGGTCGAGGAAGCCCAAACGCAATGGTGTCAGGAGGCGCAAGAGCCCCGACGACGGCACAGAAGGGCTGAACGAGAGCACCCCAGAGCATGGCGATAGGGCTGCCACCGCCGACGAAGACACTATACGAACCGGAGAGGAGGAGCAAGCTGAGGGAGATGTTGATGAAGAAGCAGAAGTGGCTCTTAGAAATGAAGAAGAGCGTATGTCAATCCTGTCGGGCTCCTGCTTGGCTCGTGTGCTAATCTCTCAAACAGTGGAGAGGAAGAAATCCGCCTGGGAGGAGCTATCTGCTATCGAGAAGCAATTTAGCAATTTCCGAGAACGGTAAGTCGTCGAATCCTAGATGCTCCTTCATGGACTACAACTAATGTCTCTTGCAGGCTCTATCAAGAACGTCTAGATCAGCTCAACCAAGAGGAAGCCATGCTTACGGCCGACACTCCCTCCCACCCCGAGTACCTAGCCATGCTCCGGTGCATCGACGAGCGGCGCGAAGAGAGAATACGGGTCAGCAAAGCAGAATTGCAGCTCAACATGGATGCCCTCAAGCGAAAAGCTGTTTCAGAGCGAGCACAGATCATATCCCAATATTTCCAAAGTGTCCGAGAATCACGGGAGAAGGTCCTCGAGGCACTCGGCAAGGAGTGGTACGAAATCCAGCACGAGCGCAGGCGTGACGCAAACCATGTTCCAGATTACGGCATTCGCTTCCCCAGCACGAAGACGCAGTGTATTAGGCATGCCGTTGCCTACAACAAGGAGGTGTCCATCCTGTCAGGCTTCGCAAAGTACAAGGGCTTCCCGGCTGCTCCTACCATTGCAGGGGCGTCTGAGGATCAGTTGGATGAGGATTTCGATTCCATAGAGGTTAGTTCATCGCAGACGCCTGCTCATACCCGTCTCAATCCATGCTGACAATAGTATATCAGCGGGCAAAGCAGTCCAGCGTTCCACCAGCTTCGACTCAACCGATTCACACAGACATCGCCGCCGGTTCGCCGTTTGGACGAAGCCTCGGAGCTGCTGGGGAGCAGTTCCTTGAGCAGACGCCTTGGGCGAACCCTAATCACCCCTCACATCAAATCCAAAGACAACACTCCGAGCAAGGCCCAAACCCTGCAGCATCGCTATCTGGGCTTTCAGGGAACCGACGGCATTCGCACCAACCTGGCGGGCCGTCTTCTTCCAACGTCCATCCCAGTTCTATACCGAACGGTGGTCCACCGGTGCAGATGCACAAGTCGCACTCGTCTATAGGGCATGAAAACACAAAGTCGAAACTAATCCCGGGAGGCGGATTGAAGCGCGAGGCTGTCCTGCAGGCCTCTTGATTTGTGCCATGCCCACTCGCTTATATCGTTTAGTCTCATGAGCGGCGAGACCTGTTTTGTCGATCATCAGCGAGCCCGCATGAGATCTATTTCTCCAGGCAGGATTGCCTGGAATCAGTTTTTGGTTGCCTCCACTCCATGAGGCGAGGGTCGGAGACGAGGGGAGAGTCAATGCATTGCGTCTGTGGTCATGACGACCGGGTCCGCGCGTCTCGGCAGGAGACGCCCTTTATACAAAGGTTTTCGGATCCCAGCATCAATGGCGCGTAAATATACATGTTTATATGGGAGGCGTTTTTTTTCCGGGGGAGTTATCATCCCCACTGCCAAAGGGGTTGGGTGGAATGGCGTTGCTCTCTTCTTCTTCACAGTTCCTTCGCAAATACCTCTTGCACGTAGTCCAATATAACTATACAGCACTGAAGACTCCCAGTTCTAAGGCCAGTGAAATCCAGAACGCCAGTGAAAATGCTCCCCCCCTGATATAGCCGCACCCACTCGCCCTCGTCCTTGTCCTCATCGTCATCCCGTCAGTCTATTTCTTGGACTGTTGCGCAGCCCCCTGCGGGATCGCCACAGGGACATCGGGGACCTTGACATCATCGAATTCGTCTTGGCCGACAGCTCGAATTGTGTAGACATCTATAAAACGCCCTTCTAGTCAGCTGCTGGATCGGTTCGGTCATGCCCGTCCAGATCATGCGCAACCCAAACTTACAAATTCCTGCGGCGATAGCCGTAATTCCTACGCCCAGCAGGGCGTTCTTGACAAGATACGGCCGCCGTGCGCGGATGAGGGCGTCGGACTGCCGCCACTGCCGGTCGTAGTAACTTGAGCGTTCAAAGCTGCATGGGGTTGAGTTAGCGGGCGGTTGACCCGATCGTTGGGTGGAGGACAAACGCACCCAACCATTGTACTCGAATCTGTGTCGGTGTTGGCCTTGCAAAGGCTTGTTGGGTAGATATCTGGTCGAGAACTTGCAAACCAGACAGGGTGGTGAAGCTGGAAGGTGAAGATCAGATGCTTTTACAACTCTGAGCCAATCATGTCGTGGGTAGGTTGAGCCACCTGAGGCTCCTGGCCGGCAGTTCGTCGGCTAAGTAGGCACGTACCAAGCGATGGGTGGCTTGCCTGCAGAAAGCGCGTGTCCAGGCCGCTTTGCTTTAAGCCTCCATCCAAGCTTTCAACTGGCCTGGCCCAAAAGCGCATTCTTTGATCCGCTTCCTTTTTTCTTCCCTTCGAGCCGCCCGGGGCAAGCTTTGGACAATGCATTGCGCCCCGCGACAGTAACCTGACAATAACCTGCCACTTACGCATACGACCCGGCTTCCAAGTAACCCCCAGTCTCTGTGCTGGCCAGAATGAATGCCCTCCTCGAACCGCGATCCTTGTTTGCCGACTTCGAGAAGACCTGGAGGAGCTGCAGAATCAAATATCAAGTGTCGTCCTCACGTCCTGCGCCATCATCTAGCCTTTGAATTCTTTTGACGTGCTTTGATCTCTCACCCGAGGATTATTTTCTGCCGCCAACCCAGAGGTTCCATCGCATCTTTTTTTCGCAAACCTCAGATCTGGTCCGAATATCATCGTAGTTTTTCCCATCGCAAAGAGCCTCTTCCATCATAGTTCTCTCTCCCTCCTTTCGACCTTACCGAGCTGGAGCGGCGCGCCATGGCTGCTGCCGTAGTTCTCAGCACGAGCGATCAGCTCCGGCAGCTCGAGGATGCCCGGAAGCTTGTGCTCAGCGACGCCAACTACTACGGGGCGGTGGTGGCCGGGATACTGCCCATTGTCACCCAGTCGGACGCCGTGGAGCTGCGCAGATGGGGCGCTGAATTCATCGCCGAGGCCGTCTCGACGCCGGCGGTACCGATACGGGCGAAAGAGGACCTGTGTCTCAAGACGCTCGAGACACTGAAGAGGCTGGTGGAGGAGCGGAACTTGGACATATTCGTTTTGAAGTCCGTAATCATGGCTGCGGCGAGCGTTTACCCTTTGCTGGTACGATGGATGTGAGTTTATAGTGATTTCTTGCTGCTGTTTGGTGCCGCTAGGAGTGGTCAGCCCCGTGGCTTCGCCATGATGCGACGGCGCGTCGTTTCTTGAGACCGCGCTGCCCTCTCCCGGGCTTTGCTTGCACCTCCTCTCAACGGATACGAGCATTGTAGCGTTGCCGACGAACATATATACTTCCTCGTGGGAATTTATCGCTAACATGACCCCTTTTTCGCAGAATCACCAACCCCCATGACCGCGAAAGTTGGGAGACGATGGTCTCTATCAAGGCAAATATATTGCGGATTTGGGACGATGCTGCGCCACCTCTCCGGATCTGCTGCGTAAAGTTTGCCCAGCGAGTCGTCCTTGCGCAGACGGTGTCAAATGGCACAGAACAAAAAGTGCGAGCCTGCCCCAAGTATCTTCATTCCCGTGTTAGTGCTAACCGCCGTTCAGAACTCTGGGCTTGATGTCTCGCTGTCAATGATTCCGCCAAATCATGCGTTGTTAGACCATCGCTATCTTGAGGCAGAGGCTACGGGACTCTTGGACAGGATGCTTGGTACTCTACAAGACAACAGCAGGTGAGATAGCACGACCTCACAACTCACCCCTGTCCGGCAGCTAACCAAGTCTTCCTATCGTAGTGATGCTCTGCTCGTCGACGCAACCCTAAATACCCTCTCTATCCTCGTCCGGACGAGACCTAATACCTCCAACAGGGTTTTGAATGCGGTGTTGAACTTCAACCCTCTCAAGCTTGCCAACTCACCGATGACGCCCAAATCCAGGGTATATGTGAAGTCCATGGAGAAGACAACGCGCATGCTCTTGATCCATCTTGCTAAAAGGTAACACGGCTCCGTGGCTTGTCGGGTAGTTCAGATTGACTGACTGAGGACTAGGGATCCGCACAACCCCATGACTGGCCGGATACAACAGCATGTTGAGCGCCTAATGCGATCTCGTTCCGAGATTTTCGATGAGGCCACCAGAAAGCGAGCTCTAATTGACCCGGCTGCCGCTGCTGCGAACAACGCAAAGCGGCAGAGAGTCGAACCCTTAGCGGCTCCCCGCCTAGAGATCAAGCCTCTGAGCCCAGGCACACATTCTCTCAAAGATGTCTTCGTCATCACAAGTAATGCCGGCTTGCGAGGTTTTGACGCCACCCAGATCCCAGCCGCACTAGCGGCAAGGATAAGTGTCACAACGTTGGCAACTCTAAACCCCGACCTGCTTAACCAGGCTATCGCTGTAAGACTGGACCCCTGGCTCTATCGTTGACCGTCGAATCACTCGCTCACTCCTATACAGGGTATTCGTAGCCGTCTAACCGCCCTTGCGACTGTCGCCCAACCGGCGCTTCTCAATCCCGACACGGCACCGCTCGATGTCGAGGAGGACGATGATGATTATGAGCCCGACTACTATGCCGCCGAAGATACGGAGCAGATCCTCAACAAGCTCGACAGTGCACCGCCGGAGAAGCCGGCCAACGAGGAACCCGACACGGCGTCTGCTCTCGCAGCTCTGGGGACTTTCAAGCTACCACCGCCACCCTCGCTCGACCCCGAAAGCGCAGCTAAAGTTGGCCAGGTCGCCGTGTCTCGTGTCTTTGGTCCCCTGTCAACGCTCGGCGAACCTTCAGCTCGAAAGCCCAAGGCCGGGATCAATCGCCTGGCCGCAAGCTCGTACGATCGTGACTCGTGGTTAACCGTGATCATGCGATTAGCGACTCGCACCACGATGGGCCTTGAAGATGGCAGTAGCTCGATAAAGGCTGAAGATGCCGGCACGGCCATCGATCGCCCCCGCGTGTCACTCAACGACGGCATCCGCGAGATGCTCTACACCTACGTCCTCGAGGACTTCCGCCGTCGGATCGACGTTGCTGTCGGGTGGTTGTGCGAGGAGTGGTACAGCGACCAGCTGGCAAAGCGGAATCTCGGCGAGAATGCGCCGCTGCACTACGAGAAATGGGCACTCCGCGTCGTGGACGGCTTCCTGCCGTACCTCACGCCGCAGGACAAGGTACTGATCCGCTTCCTGGGAGAGATTCCGGAGCTCAGCCCGACGCTACTTGGCCGAGTCAAGTCGCTCTGCAGGGATCCAAGCACGGTCTCGCTTGCTTTGACGAGCTTGCTGTACCTGGTGATGATGCGCCCACCGGCGAGAGAAACAGCTCTCGATACCGTGGCGGCAATCTGGGTAGAATGTAAGTTGATCCCCCACCCCCCGTTGCCCTCGCCGTGTGTGGCCTTTGGAAAGATGCTGACATCCGTGTGTAGTCGAAGATGCCCAGCCTCTTGCTGCTAAGTATCTCGTTAAATGGCGCCCAGGGTTTATCGAGTCACAGACCGCTGGCCACGCCGGCGATATATCGGGCGCTGGTGGCACATCCAATTTCGCCGTTGCGACATGATACCCCCCCCCCCCCCAAAAAAAAACTAGGACGGTGTGTTTGATATAAGTGTATTCTGCAAAAATATCTTCTACGAGGATCCAACCCCGACTGCACGCGACAATATCGTGGGCTAGGCATAGTGATATATGCGCGCTTCATTTTTGGGCGCTGTTAGGCCCAGACGACGTCGCCACTTGTGCGACGACATCTAGGGATAGCGCAGCTACCTAACTAGCATAAACAAGCGGGGGGAGGGGAAATAAGTTACGCTGGGAGTGGAAAACGGAATCGCCCATGGTCATGGTCATATACATGCGGACGATCAGCACGGGCTGTATAAAATGAGAGGAGGCTTTTAAAGGGAGATAGTAGCTTTTGCGTTGGGCTGGAGATGAAGAAGCTACAAGCCATGACAGCCATGACGGTAGATTACCAGGGCAACTAACTAATGCCACCTTTCTAGCTTTACTATCCGTCTAGCTAACCGGGGACAATACAATGAGCATACCATTCGTAAAAAGTTGAACTTCTCGGGAGGTTGTGGCGGTGATCAATGAATGTGTGGCTTGATCTCCATCAGACGCGCAGTAGCTTAACACACCCCACAAGGCGGCCTAGCCTGTGCTTGCGTTGGGGTCCGTGCATGTGCCAAGCCAAAACTGGAACCTTGACGTGGAAGTTCCAAACTGTCCTCTCCAAATTCAAGTACCTAGCTGCAAGTTGTGAGAGCCTCCAACTCCCAGCTTGCAAACGACACTCTCTTGACGGCCACCATGTCGGCCAATTCCCTTGATCTTCTCGCCAGCGGCGGCAAGGCAAGGAACACCCGCACTTTGCTGCGGGTGGTCATCCTCTGCTTTATCGCCGCCGCCGCAATTGCCAGCCGGCTGTTTTCGGTGATTCGTAAGTACCATCGCCAGCAGCTGTTCCCGAGCTTGATGTGAGCTTCATGGAGGCGCCAATTGCCCTCTTCTGGGGCCCACACTGCCCCAATCTCTGTGCACTCTCTGCGCACACAGTAGTGACAGGTTATGACATGTTTTGCTGACGCGTTCTGGCGCAGGTTTCGAGAGTATCATTCACGAATGTCAGTAGAGAGCCTCACAAAGCCCTTGTCAATTCCCCCAATCCAAATAGCTGACACCTGTCTCTAGTCGATCCTTGGTTCAACTTCAGAGCGACAAAGTACCTAGTAGCCAATGGCTTTTCCAGTTTTTGGGACTGGTTTGATGATCGGACATGGCATCCTCTCGGGCGTGTCACTGGAGGAACGCTGTACCCCGGCCTGATGGTGACCAGTGGTGTTATCTACCACGCACTGCGAAGCCTTACGATCCCCGTCGACATCCGAAACATCTGCGTCCTCCTGGCCCCGGCCTTCTCGGGCCTCACCGCCTTCGCCGCATATCTCCTGACCAATGAGATGACCACCTCCTCGTCCGCCGGTCTCCTGGCCGCTGCCTTCATGGGCATCTCTCCGGGCTATATCTCTCGGTCGGTCGCTGGCAGCTACGATAACGAGGCCATCGCCATCTTCCTACTTGTCTTCACCTTCTACCTCTGGATCAAGGCGCTGAAGCAGGGTTCCATGCTGTGGGGTGCTCTCTGCGCCCTGTTCTACGGCTACATGGTCGCCTCCTGGGGTGGATATGCCTTCATCACCTGCCTGCTACCGCTCCACGCCTTCGCACTCATTCTCATGGGTCGGTACAGCACGAGGTTGTATGTGTCATATAGCACTTGGTACGCTCTGGGAACACTTGCGAGCATGCAGATTCCTTTCGTCGGTTTCTCGCCGGTCAGGACCAGCGAACATATGCCAGCCCTGGGTAAGCGGAAACCCCCCCTACTACCGCCATTGGTCTGCATGCTGAGTCTCTATAGGTATCTTTGGCTTCCTGCAGCTGCTCGCGTTCCTCGACTATGTGCGCTCAGCCATCCCTAGCCGCCAATTCCAGACCTTCCTGTGGCTGTTCGCCAGCGGAACCTTTGGCCTCAGCCTGCTCGCCCTCGTGCTCGCCACAAGTGCCGGGGTTATCGCGCCTTGGAGCGGCCGATTCTACTCACTCTGGGATACAGCCTATGCCAAGATCCACATTCCCATCATCGCCTCCGTCTCCGAGCATCAGCCCACCGCCTGGCCCGCATACTTCTTCGACCTGAACCTGCTGATCTGGCTCTTCCCTGCTGGCGTCTACCTGTGCTTCCAGAAATTGGCCGATGAGCATGTTTTCATTGTCGTCTATGCCCTCTTTGGCAGCTACTTCTCCGGCGTCATGGTCCGGTTGATGCTGACTTTGACTCCGGTTGTCTGTATCGCCGCAGCACTTGCGGCTTCGCAGATGCTCGAGACCTACATGCACAGAAAATCCCCTAACCCGGAAGAGCCTCACGCGGAGGACTCGGCCGATGCCACTGCCAAGAAGGCTTCAAAGGGTGGCTTGAAATCGACCAACAAGCCTGTGGTTGGCGTCTACAGCTTCCTCTCCAAGTCCGTGGTGGTTACTTCGATGACGGTCTATCTCTTGTTGTTCATCTTGCACTGCACGTGGGTCACCTCGAACGCTTACTCGTCGCCGTCGGTGGTGCTTGCGAGCAAGATGCCTGACGGCAGCCAACACATCATCGACGATTACCGTGAGGCCTACCAGTGGCTCCGCCAGAACACTGCCGATGATGCCAAGATCATGTCCTGGTGGGATTATGGCTATCAGATTGGCGGCATGGCCGACCGGCCGACGCTGGTTGACAACAACACCTGGAACAACACCCACATCGCCACTGTTGGCAAGGCGATGAGCTCCCGCGAAGAAGTAAGCTACCCGATTATGAGGCAGCACGAAGTCGACTATGTTCTGGTGGTATTTGGAGGCTTGCTTGGCTACTCGGGCGATGACATCAACAAGTTCCTGTGGATGGTCAGAATTGCCGAGGGTATCTGGCCCGACGAGGTCAAGGAGCGGGACTTCTTCACCCCGCGCGGTGAATACCGCGTTGATGGCGAGGCGACGGAGACCATGAAGAACAGTCTGATGTAAGCAAACAAACTGCTTCCTTTGCCAAGGTGGCATCCCGCTAACAACCACACAGGTACAAGATGTCCTACTACAACTACAACGCCCTCTTCCCGCCTGGTCAGGCGCAGGACCGGGTGCGCGGTGTCAGGTTGCCCGACGTAGGCCCGACCCTCAACACGTTGGACGAGGCCTTCACCAGCGAGAACTGGATCATCCGGATCTACAAGGTCAAGGACCTCGACAACGTCGGCCGAGACCATGCCGCGGCGGCGGCGTTTGAGCGGGGCCACAAGAAGAAGAAGGCCAGCAAGAAGAGGGGGCCCAGAGTCCTGAGGGTAGATTGAGTAGGGCCTAGGGATGGTTAGACCAGATGCTCACAGATTAAAAAACGAGCATGTAGAATCTATTTCCTTGCGTTTTGCCTGCAAATGGATCGGGAAAATAAAGGAAATGAGCCTGGATGGTCCTTAGTGTACAAAAAAGTAAACTGCCTTGGTGTTGAGTAAGTAGGCAAATACTGATCTCCTTGACAAGCCCCTTCTTCGATTGCATGGCCATTTGGCAGATGACAAGCCCGAACCCACGATTACTTTTTTGCATCTCCCATATGGGATGCATCCGATGTATCTCAGGCCGTCTGTACCTGCATTTACCGACGATATTGTCTTCTATCATTACGGGACGAGAGGCGCAGAGATTTAATAATCTGCTTCCTCCCTGATCGCCCAGCGGTAGTCCCGGCGTCAGTTAGTTATATGGACCGAGAGAGAGAGAAAGAACTAAGGAATAATAAGCAAGAAACAAAAACTCCCCCCTCCCATATGCTATGTTTCCTTCCATCCATGGTCGGCGAAATGAGTCGTCGTGAATCTCAGATCCGGCCGATGATGAGGTTTCCGGATTCCCTCCCATTTGCAAAAAAAAATCTCAGCGCAAGGCCATCCATCCGTTCCATAGCGAGCGACTGTGTATCACCCCCACCCCCCATCCATCGCACCAGAATAAAAACCCAGACACCCCCCTAACGCCGGCAATATCGACCACCTTCCCCGACAGAGAAGGGCTTATACAACGACATGCCTAATATATATGTATATACACACTTGCGGGGAAAAAGATGTCCCACGCGCAAGGGAGGGACGGGGCTCTCTCTTTTTTAAGATCTGACCTCCTGCGCCTCCGCGACCGCCGGGGCAGGCGTCCGGTGCATGCCGTCGGCCGCCGCCGCCGGCGGCATGGCGCCAAGCTCTTGGGCGCCCTGGCCGCTGTGGCCGCGCTTCCGGCCGGGCAGGAACCGCGACATGGACAGCGGGGCCGCCTGTGTGGCCGGCGCCGCAGGCGCGGGCGCAAGTGGTGCTGATGTCGGGGTCGCCGAGGGGGAGTCCTGCGTTGTTGGGACGGTGGTGGAGTCAGGGTGGAACTTGGAGAGAAAGCCCTTCCTCCTCGGCGCGGGTGGCGGTTGCGGGGTCGGCTGGTGGTGGTGGTGCTGCTGCCGTTGCCTGTTGCCGTCGTCGTTGAGGCCGACGTCCTCGAACTCCTCCTCCGCCGTGGGGGGCGCGCGGCGCTCGAAGCGGCGCTCGGCGAGGGCGGAGCGCGGGGGCCGTGGGAAGCGGGCTGAGTCGAGGGATTGGCGGGGCGCGGGGTCGGTGATGATGATGGGGCTGCGGGCGGATATGTCCTGTTTGGATGAGTCGATCAGTCAGTCGGTACGTTTGACTCTGCCGGTCGGGCTGCTTGCTACGACGGGGAGAGACATACAAAGGACCGGCGGTATGAATCGAAGGATTCGCGAGAGATGGGGAAGTGCTCGATCTCCCCGAGGCTACTCTGCGTCTCCATTGACGTCCGTGAGGCCAAGTATCGCCTGGGCCATGACTTTTCTTTCTCGGTCGGTGATGGCTGTGAAGGAGCGTCAGCACAGTCCCGTGGGATAGTCCTAGCGCAGATGCGCCATGTGGATTCATACCGGAAGATAGACGCCGCTGTCATTGACCACTGTTCACAGTCGAGAAAGCGTCAGTCCTACGTCCCACAACGACGGATCTCAACGACCCGGAGGCCGGAGGGAAGAGGGGGGGGGAAATGCCTAACCGCTCATCTTGTACTCGCCCGTATCCTGGCTTCGCCCGCTGCGGATGCTCAACGCCGACGAGGCCTTGGATCCCACCGTGTCGACGCGCTCGAAACCCGGATGCGCAATGTCTGCTGCGGACGAAGATCCGGGTCGCACATTCTCGTCCTGTGGGCTGACGACGCCGGGCCGGCGTGCGAATGGGTTGCGGATCGGCATGGTGAGTGTGGAGGGGTAAAACGGTCGGAAGCGCCGGGACACCAATTGGCAAGGGTAGAGTAGAGACAATGGCAGCGAAGCAGGGGAAAGGGGGAAAAATGCACGGTATCTAATCACAGGAACGAGCAATAAAGTTTGAAGTGCCTGAGTCAGTAGGAACAATTATTAGGTAGACGGAGGCGAAGTTAGGTTTGGGATGAGGAGGAGAATTGGCCTGGTCTGGCTTCTGGTGAGCGACTCAGGCAATCAAGTATCAAGCAATGCCACCGGCCAAGAAGCCGGCCGCCGAGGGGCAGGCGCAAGTTACCAAGTTCCCGCCAGAAAGGCAACTCTCTGGTTCGCTGACCAGCCCAGGGCAGTCTCTTGAATCCACACCACCAAGTCCTCAAGAAACTCAATTCCTCTTCCCGATCTGGCACTAAAGCGGCTAAAATTACCAGACCTGGGACGCTTCTGCGGCATCGCCGAGGCTTGAGATCGACACGCTCAGGCACTTGCCACCTTTTCTTGGCCGACGATGACGTCCGGATCGAGGATGAACCTGAATCGGGTTCATGGTTAAAAGCAGCATCTGTTCCTTCCCCGCGCCGGTCACGTGCCGGTGGGCCTTGTGCTTCCACCCGCTGGCAGTGGTCGCTAAACAGGGGTTAATATAGGGAGTTTTCGGTGATGAGGTCCGATTCGACGGACCCCCCCTCACACTAGGAGACCGGGACGTCATTCGACGATCCTGGTTTCTCTGAATCGCCCAGTCGGGCTTGTAGTCGAGCCCGAGTCCGGGTCCGGGTTCCGGGCCCCGAGTCGGTCTTTGTACGGGTGCCGTTTCCGTGCATGTTTACATGCCTACATATATAGCCATATAAATCAACTGCCAAACAAAGAACCACAGAAAAGGGTTAAGCCAGCAAAGACAGATTCCAGGCAAGAGGCTCTAGGCACTGCCGCAACCGGCATTTCCACCCATAGTGGGCAAATGCATTAGTCTTTGGGTGTTGGGTGTTGGGAGTTAGGTATGTGCCATCCAAGGCCGAACTAAGAAATATCAATTGAAGTCCGCATCCATCCAGAAGGCACCATGCTTTCTTTCTCATCAACCCGAAGTCGTCTAGGAGACCCAGAGAATGGACAATGAGGCCCACGAGAATCGCCGGGGCAACCTTGATTTTTAATGCTGGCCTTATTTTCATTCTCTTTCCCCCACCACTGCAGATGATTTAAAAAGAGCTCATCACCACCAGGCAGCAGGTTTTAATTTTCCCGCTGCGTCAAGCTCTTCCCCCAGGCCACTTACACGCCTAGGTGCGATTGATGATATCCACCCTTTACTCCAGCTCATTTTGAAGTAGAGGCACAAATCTCACTTCGTCAGCCCGTCAACCCGTCAGCCCTCTCTCAGTCCTCGCGGTGACTGCGAAACAGTCCCTTCCAGCTTCCTCCCTCGCATAAGCCATGGCGAACATTACGGACTACTTCGAGTTGCGCGGGGGCAGCGGTGGCGGCGGCAGGCGTCCACCGCCCCCGCCTCCCGGACCCCGGGACATCCTCCGGGCCGTCGCCCAGGAGACCATCGCCATCATGCCAGCCCTGCTCAGCCAGCAGCCAGCCACCTTCGACGCCTTCGCCACGTTCAAGCACAGCTTCGAGGGCCTGCACCGCCTGGACCCCAACGACTGCCCCCGCCACCCGACACCCGCCACCATCAAGGTCGTCAACTCGGACACCCTCAACGCCGCGCTAGCCATCGCCACCGAGCCCTCCTCGGCCCCGCTGAGCGACCGCCCCGTCGTCATCAACTTCGCCAACCACGCGGACCCGGGCGGCGGCTGGCTGAACGGCGCCTGGGCCCAGGAGGAGGCCCTCTGCTTCCGCAGCTCCCTGTTCGCCAGCCTGCCCCACAGCCAGTACCCGCTCGCCATGGACGAGGGCCTGTACAGCCCGGACGTGCTCGTCGTCCGCGCCGACAGGACAAGCGGCCACGGTCTCCTGCCGGGGGCCGTCAAGGGGGCCCCCGCGGCCGCCACGGCGGCCCTCCCGGCCGTCAGCGTGCTCACCATCGCGGCCCTCTACAGGCCGCCGGTGCGGACGTTCCTGGTCCCCGATCCCGCGGCCGGCGCCGCCCTCCGGAAGCGTAAGAAGCTCGTGTACGGCCGCGAGAAGGACCGCGGCATCACAAAGGCCAAGATGCGCCTGTCGCTGCGCATGGCCGCCGCCAACGGCCAGGGCCTCCTCGTGCTCGGCGCCCTCGGGTGCGGCGTCTTCGGCAACCCGGCCGAGGACGTCGCCCACTGCTGGCTCGAGGTGCTGTCCGAGGACGAGTTCGCGGGGAACTGGTGGCGCGAGGTCTGCTTTGCTGTCTATGATCCCAACCTGACTGGCAACTATGAGATTTTCCGCAGCGTGCTGGATGGGAAGCAGGTTTAGGAGGGAGGGGAAGGAGGGGCGCTGGTGATGAAATGGCTGCGAGGTTTTCTTTCTTTCTTGCTTGCTTGCACGTGCGTTCGGGAGAGAGGCGGAAGGGCGAGATAGGTGCCTTGGAAGGAAGATACCCCTGACCTAGCAAGCCTAGTTAGGTCCGATCAATGGGAATGCATTTTTAACTGATGTGCCTCTTGTTTCCACGTGGAACCGCCCTGGATACTGTATAGCCAGGATCTACAATTGTCACGACGATCAGCTTAACCATCAGAATTATTGATTCCATGTCCCTCCGGAATATCAGTCAATTATTGACAACCCCTCTGGTGATCAAGATCCAGCAGGAGCAATCCTCATATTAACTATCTAGGTCTGCCCAAGACCACATAGGATAACCAGGATCTCGACAATGCCTCTGAGGATCAAGTCCCATTAAGCAAGAGCAAATCCGCACATTAATTAGCTAGGCCCCTTCCATACCCATCTCCACGTCTCTCTTGCTCCACAAGCCTACCAGAACACCGCGTTTGGGTCCTCAACCTGGACGCCAGGTGCGGGCACGAACGTGTTGTTCGGCCGCGGCAGTTTCATCATGCCGGCCTGGCGGTTGTCGTTGCCAGCGCCCACCGAGTCCATTTCCTGCAGCATGCGCAGGGCGGGCTTGAGGATGGCGTTCAAAGCGCCCGCGTCCTTGAGGGATTCGAAATCCCAGTCGGCCCTGGCGGCGAAGCAAAGGCTCTCGTTCTGGCAGAGCATGTCCTCCGCCACCGCCGATGTGACCGACGCCTCGTACCACCGGTCCGGGAAACCCAACCTCTCCAGCCGGCCGCGGTTGGCGCCCTTGTAAAGCTGGGCCATTTGCATGAACCAGCCGTTGCGGCCGTTCATGTCCGGGGATGACTTACAACCCTGGACATCGTTCTCAAGGACCTCGGTGATGTTGAGGTGGCTCTCGCCGTCCCGGCTCATGAAGCGCCACTTTGTCAGTGTGCGCATGTGGTTGACGGCGACGTGGAAGTCGTCGTGGATGCCCCATCGGAGGCGGGGGTCGTCCGTCTCGCTGGCCAATGTCACCTGCAGGTTGGCAACGAGCGACCTTGCGAACGGCCCGAACTTGTTCTCCAGCTCGGCCACGTTCGTGTGCGACATCGCCACGCGAAAATCCCAGTTCCGCAGGAGGCCATGGACCCAGATGGGTGCCTTGTCCTCGTTCTTCCCGCGGAGAACATAGGTGAAGGCGTCCTCGGTCCCATCGATGTCCAGGAAGAACTGCTCCTTATTCTTATTCCCTTGGCCTGCGGTACAAGCGAACGAGTAGATTGTACGGTTCGTTGGCTCTGGGTTCCACAGCAGTTGGCCCGTCCTAGCATCTCGGATGCCGACCAGGTATTCGACATCCACTCCGTCCGTGGTGAGAATCTTCGTGAAGGACGTGCCCTTGCACTCTCTAAGCCTCTGTGATAGGATCTCTAGAGGCCAGCCGTTGCTCCTCGAGCCTTCCGCCCTAAAGTTGAGCGCACTCTCATCGATGCCTCGCAGGAGGACACGGCCAAAGTCGGCTCGGAGGGTGATCTTGCCTGGGAGATAGGGTCCCTTGGCGACCAGTTGTCTGATCGCATCGTCCATCTTTGGGGCAAATTGCGAGGAATAGTCGGGCCTCTCCACAATATGAACCCCAGCAGCGGCCCGGGCATTGGCCTTCTTCTGCACAGTTCCCTTCACCGAGTCCTTCCGCTCAGCTTCCTTAGCCGTGTTATCGGCAGCCGGAATCTGGAGCCCAGACTGCCGCTCCAAGGCGGTCTTGACAGGGCTCTTGGACTCGGGCTTATTTTCCACGTCACCGCTATTTCGGGGGCCAGTCTTCTGGGGCTCCGTCTTCTCGACAATGCTTCTCTTCTCCCGTACCGTGTTCTTACCCCCAGCACGAGGGGCCGGTCGTCCAGCCTGGAGTCGCATAGTTTGCTTTAGGATATTATTAGACGGCCGCGACCCGTCTTCATCAGCAACTCGAATGAGGTCGAGTTCCTCTGCATTGGATGTCGGGCAGGCAGCTGGCTCAGGCGCCTGGTACGGGGGTGTGGTTTCCCGAGCAACTCCGAGTTGCATGGCACTACTCGTCGGCTCCGGGACCAGAGCACCCATCCCAAAAGAGATCGGTGAGGATGCCGTGGGGCTGGTGTGGATTGGAGTCGGGTTCTCGAGGTCAATGAGAGAGTCCGAGTGGCCTAATTCGAGGATAGGGTTTCGGAGGTTTAGCAGATATTCCTCAGGGTACATGTCGTCGTTGTCAAAACCCAACCCCTCTTGGGCCGGAGCTTCAGCAGGGCCGTCAGAGGTCATAGCCAAGGGCGGGTTCAGCAAAGCGTATCGCGGTCCCCCAAGTCGCTCCGTTGGAATCGGGGCATCGCCCTCATCTTCGTCGTCGGCGTCGTCGGCTAACAAATCCTTGATGCTCTTTAATTCCTCAGCTGTCCGTTTAGTCTGGGACTTTGACGGGGCGAGCTTCTCGAGGACTGCTTTCATCTCATCAAGCGCGACAGAGTCTGCCGGTTGAGGTCCGCCGTTGGTCGAGATATCGATGAGCCAGTTCTCCACCTGGGCGCTCTTGTCCTCCTCCTGCTCCAAAGCTGGATGTTCTTGCGAAGCCTGGGTTGGGAATCCAGCATTGACGCCCTGGCCCGGGCCAGCAATCCATTCTCTGGCATTTGGTCCCCGGCCCTTCTCAGCTCGGACTCTATAACCTAGGCCAAATAGTCGCGTCCTAACCCTGGATTTGGTAGATCTCGGAGGAGGATGGACGGTCTTGATCGCAGGTCCCAGGAGAGACACGTGGTACTGCTTCCTTTCATCGAATTGACAGAGCCGCAGAGATATTGCTCTGGGCAGGGCTGGGTAGGCCACAGCAGGGTCGTTGTAAAGCCGTCGGTCAAGAAGGGTGGTTGTCAAGAGAGCAGGGGTGATATTGCCGATATACCGAGCATCGGCGAAAAAGGTCTCGTGGGAATTGTCGACGTAAGACTCGGTATTGAAGATATGTGTCGGAACAGGATCCTTGATTTTCTGTAGCAGGGGTTAGTTCGCCGTGGGGAACCATACATGCCAGGGTTGAAGAAGTTGCTCACCAATCCTGCGAGCAAGTTGTCCAGGTTGTCGAAGGTTTTCTCGATGGCTTCCACGGCATTGGCAAAAATATAGACAGCTTTGCCAGAGAGGTTGTAGGACACGGCAACTTGGTTGGTCCTTTCAATAAGGGCAAATCGCTCTTCGTTCAACAAGTCGTGAATTGCCATTTTCTGGTTGCCTGTCTCGAGCCCAGTCCAGACATCATGGAGCTGGAACTGGGTAGAGGTAGAAGGCAGGGTGTACTCTTTGTGAGAACCTCCTACATTCTTGACAACCTTGTGCTCGGGAGTGTACCCAATCAGATCGCTATCGAGTCCCCTCTGTACGATTGTCAGAGACGTCACGAGAGCCCAAATATGGAATAAACATACGTTGATGGTGCCGTTAGGGTGCAGGAACTCGTTGGTACCTGACCTGAGGACCTCATCCTCGATCTCTTCCTGGATAATCTTGAACTGGTTCATGGTCCTATCTTCATCCCTTGCAAGGCATTTTACCTTGAAGAAGGAAGATTCGGTGTCGAACGTGAACTCAGCACCCTCCTGAGCCATTGTGTCAGCTGGTGGAAGAACTTGGATGATATGTTGAAGACAGGCAGAGGAATGGCGTGTGTCGATGGGAGGGTAGGGTAGAAATATATTTAAAGTTCTGCGGCCATAGAATATATAAGAAGAGGTAGTGAATGGGGATCCGTAGGCCTGAGATAACATTCGGGCTAGGATAGGGTAAAGAATGCTAGGACTTGGAGCAACCGCCAACTCACACAATAAATGACACCCATCTTTCGAAGGACATGATCTACTCCCTTGGGCTTCCAGCGCCAGGGGGAGGAAATGTAGAATTCGGTCCGGGCGCGATCCATGGCTTGGTTATCTTGATTTATCGGGAGCCTGCAGGTTACCGAGCCCAATCTGTGCTGGTTGTTGAAGTGAAATGCCAGACCTTGAAGATACCTGTTGGTAGATCGAGGTAATCTTCAGGTGTGGGCATGGGTGAGTGAGGGTGAATGGAAGGTTGAGGAGAGACGAGGAGAGTGCCCGGTCTTCGACTATTTGCGAAGAGCAATCTGATGCTCACCAGCGCCTTCCAAATAGTGTATGGACAATGGGAAAGTACTTATCGTGGTAGGTTCAGTGAAGGTCGTCGTCTTGAATGTGGGATGTGGTCCGGGTCAAACACTGGTTGTTGAGAATAGATATTTCCGAGGCTGGCGATATGTTCGGCAGGTTCCTCAGTAGGTAGGTAGGTAGGTACCTAGCTACCTGGGACGAACAAACAACCAAGGCCAAAACAATCAGGCAAGGCAGGTACCTAGGTAGGTATGTACTTTGACTTCGCCAAGGTCCATATGGGAACGGGAACCTGGGATAGGTAGGTACGGGTAGGCATCCATCCGTTGCTGCTTCCATGTTTTGGTGCTCCCGAGTTCGATCTGAGGCATGTCCGAGGGAGGATGCAGGAATACCCCAGTCCCACACGACTCAAGCTCCCGGTCCATAACGGCTCGAGGAAGGTACCTATTTTCAAGTCTCACTCGCGTGTCTGATGGAAATACAGGCAGAAGATGTCGGCCTCGCGGATATTTCCTGGCTAGGAAGCTCGCTCTGAGTAAATAGGTGTATATCAGTCAGTAAGTGGTGAAGCCCGGTATTCGACCCCAACCAGGGAGACTCCCTCACTCAAGAGCATCATATTGAGACTCGCTGCCGCGAGGGCATCTCTTTCGCGGAAGGAAATTAGTCGTGCTATATAAATGGGTATATAAGCTTCGTAAAGGAGAGAGAGATCGCGAATATGGAATGTACAGGTACAGATTAAAAGGAGAACAGTATAGTATGGCAAGACAGCCTCGTCGTTTCGATCCTGGTCATTCTTAAACTCGTCATGTCCCAGGAAAAATGAAGAACAAAAAGATATTATCACCTTATACTCCTAGGCGCCGAACTCCTTCCGATGAATATGCCCACTGGGACCTATCCAGACTGTAATTTCATCCTTTCCTTCCGAACCGAAATAAGGACCCTTTTGGTCTCCGCCATTTGAGCTAGAGCCTCTCTATCAGTGGTAAGATATCGTGACGAATTGGGGGTTAAACATCTTTTGCGACCGTGGCATATTGCGCAATATCGATCTCGGCGTGGGTGGGTAGGTAGTTATTCGGGGACGTAGGTTGGAACCGCTAGATGGAGGGGGTTTCCCTCACGAAGGGGTGAGAGGAAGGTCAGAGAGAGATGGGCCGGTACATCCAGTGGTGGGTAGCCTTCCCGCCTGCTCGCTCATTGCGCCCATTCGACGTTGTCCTTCACGCTCAGCGCCCACCGCAGCTTGTTCAGCACCTCCCTGGATTCCCCGAGCGTCCGCTCCTGCTCCTCCTCCCTCTGCGCGGCCTTCGACTTGATATCCCTCAAGGCCTCGTCCTGCTCGGCCTTGTACTTCTCGAACTGTGCCGCGATCTCCTCCTTCTGCCGCCGCAGATCCCTGATGTTCCCGTCCTGCTGGTCGCACAGTTCCCTCAGGGTCCCTATCCGGTCGTCGTCCTTCTTCCTCTCCTCGAGCAGCTCCCCGATCTCGCCCCTCATCCTAGCCACGGCCTTCCTGACCTCGTCACCCTGGTCTCGCCAGTGGCTGCTGATGGCGTTGTACCGGCCCTCCATCATGCCCGCGTGGCCCGTCGCCTCCTCGACTTGCTGCTTCGCCTCAGCCCGCACCTTCTCCATCTCGTCTTTCCACACGCGCTCGCGGTCCCCGGCGTCCGCCGCCCGCCTCCGCTCCAGCTCCACCATCGCCTGCAGCGTCTCCACCTGCCGCTCCTTGCGCGCGAGCAGCGCCTTGGTCACGTTGGCCTCGAGCAGCCGGCTCTCGTACTCGGAGACCAGCCGGTCCATCTTGTCCTCCAGCAGCCGCGCCGCCTGCTTCGACTCCTCCGCCCGCAGCCTCTCGATCTGTATGTCCCGCTTGAGCGCCTCGTTGTCCGACACTAGCTTGTTGATCACCCGCCCCGTCTTCCCGAGGCCGGCCTTGCCAATCGTCGAGTCCCACCCGTTGGACGACGGGAGGTGCGTATCGGTGGTGGCTGCGAGCGGGATTTCGTGGGGTCCGCCTCCGGGAGGGGGCGGCGGCGGTGGTGATTCGGCGTCTGTGTTCGAGGTGACGGCCGTTAGACTGCTATCCCTCTGCGGGATTTCGAAACTCGATCTGCTCATCTCTACACTTTGCCGCTGGCTCGGGAGGCCTGGAACTGCTAGGGTCGGTGCTGGCGGGTCGAGTACGGCCACCGAGTGGCTCTGTTTTAGTCTGGTGCTGGCGGTGTGATTCTCGGCTGGGTTTCGGGGCGGTTGTTGTGACGGTTGTTTTGACATGGTCGAGGTGCCGCTGGCGTTGCTGTTGATGGAACTTGAGAAGGCCGAGGTGTGTGACGCGTCGAGAGATGGTGTGGAATCGGAGCCCGAATCCTCGGAGGAACGATCCTGGTCTTCGAAACTTTGGACCCGCCTGATGGTGGAGGACATGCGGCTCGGCACTGGTGGTGGTGAGGCTGGGGTGGAGGGCAAGGGCTTGCCATTGGCACCCTTAGCCATGTTACTCGAGAGGGAATTCACGGCAGCTTGTGAGGCCGAGGAGAGAGCTGAGCGGGAGGGCCTGCGACCATGCAGTAGCCCTGCGAGCTTGGAGGTATTCGACTTCGGTAAGGACTTGGGTGAGGACTTGGGTGAGGACGAGGCTTGCGGCGGCGTGTCCGGGGAAAGGACAGTTATAAACACGTCTTTGATAAACATGATCAGCAACAGCTTCTTCAAGGCTTCTACTATGTGGAGAGGGAGGGAATATGGCAGAAGAGCGAGAGTTTCCGACCGAGAAAGGAGGTTAAGAGAACTGTCTATTCCTCCGCCCAGCCATTGTGTGCCATTTGCATCCTTTCTGGAATGCTGTATGTGCAATGTGCCATGTGCAGGTAAGGTGGGGGAACCTGTTTCAGACGCAGTGCACAATGAAGGCTCAAGACACACACCACAAGATAAAAATACTACATACCAGTGTCTTTGTCCTGCTGGAAGGGGAGGTCTGACTCCTTGGGCTTGGGCTTGGAAGGAGGTCGAAGTTTAATGAGGCGATTGGGCATTTCTCCCAATGACGAAGGGAATTGTTGACTGGGGAGTCGTTTGTGTGGGAACAGTCGGGATGGGTGTTTCTGTCGGGGCGTATTCTCCCTAGACCCAGAACTCTGGCTTGTTTGGAGGTTCCCGCGGCGTTTCAAGGTCGCGTGTAGCAACAGGCGTCGATCACGGCAACCAGTGATGTTCCCCAGACTGTGCGGATATAATTATACCTTCGCATACAACTGCTGATGCGTGGGGGCTGAGTGGGCAGTAATAGTGTCTACTGTCTCGGCTGGTAGGTTGTCTTATTCTGTCTTCTGTCTGCAATCAGGAACGCCGAGATTCTTGAACACAAGAAAAGAGAAACGACTGTTTGGAACCCATTTATCTCTTGTGGGAGTTCCAGGTTATTACTGGCTGGAGACCAATAACATTGATCTGGCCACAGATTGAGAGGCCTTGCGAGTGCAAGATGATCAACGCGCGCTGTCAACCGGCTGCCCGGACGAGACAGGGGGCCTGGCTTCTTCTTCCCGTACCCTTGGCAACCGACTGGGGTGGGGGAGATCCCGGGCTTCCCGCTGTGGACGGAAAGTTTGAAAGGGTTTCCTACAGCAGACAGATATGATGACTCCTGCAGGAACCAAAGCTAGAGAGTGCAGTGCAGAAAAAAATAGGCACCTTGATCAACCTGCATACGGCTTCTATTTAGTTGATTGGGCCAAGGCGCGTGTTTTGAGACACTTCCAGACTTGCTCCATCGGTAGATTTCTCTCCACCATGGTCTTTCAGTGTTTGGTTCCGCCGGCTTGTCGCTGGCCCACCCGGTCGGGTAGCCCGACCAAGATACTCAACTAGGATTCTTGGAAGCGTGACGCCACCGCGCCAGAATTTTCCCTTCTCGTGGCTCAGATTTTGTTCTGTTCCTTGCAGAACAAGCCCTATATTACCGTCTCTTAACGCCATCGAACCGAGCCTGAAGAGTCACCAAAGAGGGTCCAATCTCGGGGCTTCCGCCAAAAAAAAACCCATCAGATAATCCGACATGGACCATGACCAAGCATGGTTCTAATGGCATGGCTCTTGAAGTCAAGCGTGTCAAGATGCCCTTGCCGCGGTCCCTGGCGGCTAGAGAACTCTTCTGAGGCACCAGCGATCACCCGAAATATCTTGAAACTGCTGCGGGTGGCCACGCAAACGGCAACGATTGGCGCAGTTGGCACCTACCACAAGGCTGTGTCACCACCCTTCGACTGGGGCACCAGCCCATAAGTATCAAGGCATCTGCCATCTCTCATAGCTCCTGGCCTGACACGCCTCTCCGTTTTCACCAATAGTACCAGGACATCGCCGACCTTGCAAGGTGACACAAATGACGGGGCGAATCCAGTCGCGGCACCGATTTAATATCGAACATAATGCCATCAGATGAGAGGATGATAGCCGGGCCTCCCTGAACGCGTCCTTAACGCGGCCCATATGTTGTTGCTGCCCCGTCGCGTGTGAGCGAGTAGAAGTATAAACGTGACAGAAATCATACGCGTCTGGCGTTTCTTCCGCCGTGGGACAGATCGATATCAACTTGAGATTGGAATCCCGGCTGCGCTGCCTCACAAGGAGATGCCAACTCGGATTGCTGTAGCCAACCGTGCCATCTCTTCACAGCAGCCTTGGGCGGTCGAATATTCGTCTTCATTGACGAACATTGAGAGTGAACTCCCGACCTCCTCCCTGGTTGTGGTAGCCCAAAGTAGGAGCGGCAGACCCGCTGTGCCAGGCTCACCCCGAGTGACCCTGGTTGTCCGTAGTGATGGAAGGGCTGGGACGAGACATGCGCCGTGAAGTTCAGACAATTGGACCGTTGACACTGATGAATAACCTAGGCCTGGATCGTGGAGAGTGACCTATTCGCCCTTCCGCCTACCTCTGAGCAACTGCCAGCCCCTGCGGCACCCCTAATCTTTTGCTCATGTCGACAAGTCTCGACTGTTGATGTAAAAGTTCGGCCCGAGTTTGGGAATCCATACCACCAAGCGATGAGGCAAGCAAGAAGGGAGTAAGAAAGGAGACGGATGCGGAAGCAGAAACTGCCAAGTTTTTAAGACCTTTTAAGATCTATCAAGCTACTCCGGTTGGTTTCCTCAAGCTAATAAGCTCCGGTTGTCAATTCATTGGCAACTTTGAAACCTCGCCCTTACAAGCAGGTTACCCGGTGCACCTTGTTGCCAGCGGAAGGATGCTCCCATCTGTATAGGTTAGACACTCGTCCCGTGCTCTCCAATTTAGGTCATCCACCTCGCGGGCACGTGTTACTGAAAGTCAACACTCGCATACAGCGCCATTGGGTAGGGTCTCAACTTGGGACACGAGTGTAAGTCACGGCACTAGGGAGAGCCTGAGAAGTCCAAGTCCCAGACGACCTGCCTTTCTAAACTCTGTATTGTACACATATACAGCATAACTGGGATATAAGGAAAAGTCTATGCCGCAGTCTGCTCGAACGTACTGCAATGATACATCCTGGCCACCTATGTCTGCCAGATCATCATCATTATTCCCGGCCCGGGTGACGGCACTAAATCGTGTTGCGATGCAGTCCGACCTTGGACTCATAGGCCTCCTGCGGATCAAACCAACTTTGCCCCATCTGGTTCCCAGCATATTCAACTGGCCATCCCAGTCTCTCCTCTTACGGTTTTGCCTCAACCAGCGCGTTGAAATACGACTCCATGTCGAACTTCGGGTCCATTGGGTCCTGGTTCACTGTTGAGGGTCAGCCCTGTTCCACATCGAACATCCATCCAGGCTCTGAGGCGATGAGCGCCCTTTCGGGCCACTTCGAACAAATGGCCCCATCGCCCATGACAAGGGGGTGGGGGTTTTGCCTACATCCTCCGGTAGTGGCAGACGCAGGTTGCTTCGACTTTGCGTATGCCTCCTTGGCCTTGTTTATTAATGTCTGCTTGTGCTCATATTCCTGCTGCCTCTCTGCCACCTTCTGGGCCGCGCTGAGCGTCCGTTGGTGGTAGAACCCGTAGAAAATCCCCACGCCGAGGGCCGAGTACCGGAGGACCTGTTTTATCTCAAGTCAGCAAGGGGAATTGCCATGTTGCAGCTTCCAATCCATCTCCATTCCCAGGCCCCGAGCTGCCCGGGGGCAATGGTGCAAGCTGCTGGGAGCACGTGTTGCTGCCCACTTACGTTGACTCCAGATGTGGCAGACATTGGAACAACTGTGTCCTGTCCTCGCGACTGGTGTCGAGTAGTAACGATTGGTCGGTAGAGCGGTGCGAGGGATGGCAGTCGAGGGTCAATTGGTCCCCAATTCGCAAGGTCGAGGTGGTTTTGCTTTGCGCGTGAGTTGATGTGAAGTTTTGAGATGATCGGGATTTTTCGCGGGTTTTCCCACGGTTCCACCTGTCGGCTCGAGCAACAGAAACAAGGTTGGTGAGTCAGCAATGGTTGGACAGAGAGGCTCCGCCTTCCAAGCATCTGATTGGCTGTCTGACTCACGGCGCTAGAATAACACATATAAACTGCTTCTTCTCACCTCACCTCTCCTTTCCTTCTCTCCTCCATCCAAGCATCGTCCCTCTGGATAATGTCGCGCTTCCATGCTGACAAACGGAGATCCTGTGCGAGCAGGATCTCGAGCCCTTCTTTACGAGGGGCACTCTTCTGGCATGCGAGAAATTCGGAGCACTTCTCCTCTGCGTCAATCCTCAGGATTGCGTATACCCATACCGCTGTCGCCTACTTTACGTGGGTGGACGGGTCGGCCCGAGAGGGTTCGGCGTCACATGACGCCTGCAACAGGCATCAGAAATCACAGGGCCCAGGCCGTCTCGTGTATACCCTACAGGGGAAGACGGGGCCGGACCTGGTGTCTCTATGGGAAGCCTTTGCGGAGATTGTATACAGTACTTGAGTGCAATGCGCGACTTGGGGGCCTGGCTGGATTCGTCTGGCCGGGCCTTCCAAACTTCGATTCCGATTAGTCTGTCCAGAGGGCGATGCTTGGTTCTTTTTTCCGCGGTAAGTGGTATCTTCGATGCCTTCTCGAGCGAAGGATACTGCTAATTTCGCGTTTGCCTCGCCACTGAGGGGTTTTCCCTTGCAACCATGACAGCAGGTGATCTAGAGTTAGGTACCGGCCATCAACCAGCTAGATTGCGGAGACATCAATTTGGAGGCTCGGGCGGAGCGCCGGTCGACCCCATCGCTTCTTTTGTATCAGTTGTTTTATTCGCCCGCCTGCGCTGAGAAATCGACCGAGGGCGAGAGTTCGGGACAGTGGTTGAAGTAAGGAAGCTGCCATGTTCGTCCTTAGCCCATGTTCCTTCTGCATCCTATAATACAGGGTATATGCCCTCCCAGACGCCCCCTCTCCCTTCTCAATCTCGGTGTGCTCCTAGAAAGCCAGCTTTGAGGCCACACCCACCAGTTCCTAGCCTCCGACCGGATCTGTTTCCATCTTGAGAATCTCATCACGATTCACTGTCTCCATAAGATATCGTCCAGGCAAGGTTCGACCTTGGCCTCTGCAAGCATTTCGTCAAGGACCTCTCGAAGCATCAACCAGCCAGAGTATTCCTCTTAAAGCACAGCCCGGATTGGGAGCTGTCATTTAGGGATTTCTCAAAGCACCGATTAGATGGAACTCGTTCAACTATCGCCAAGTAGAAATAGGGTTCAGGTCACCAGCGGTTCTACAGAAACAAACCTCTTACGGGCCCACTAGACCATGCATAGACCTGGAAGGAGACACCAGCGCTTCCAAGATCTAGCATGCCACCGACTAGATGGTAGCGCAAGTATAAGAGAATATCGTCAAGCCCTAAGCCTTCGAGTAAAGGTGTCGTAGAAATGTGACGGCAACCAAAGCAACCTAGATATCGCAAATGGTGTTAGCCTGTCCAACTGCATACCATAGATAGCAAAAGATACACCAGCAGATACCTATCCAGCACTAAATGTTCCATCATCGTTCGCCAGTACAGTTTAGCAACTGCGAGGTCTGCTCCCAGTTAATGTCCATCGCGGCATTTCCTCGGATACTGAAAATTGGGGAACTCACGTGAATACCGTCACGGCGTGGCGTGTCGCTATCAACCTGGCTCCCAAGTCGACCCACATGAATGGTTGGGGCCAGTCAGTCGCGAGCAAACGCGACTTGTCGCATGAAAGAAAGCTGAGATCCCATTGCCTCGGAGCAAACCGAAATCATTGCTATTTCAGTTGTTGCCTCTGAAAACGACCAAGAATACTGCAAGCTCTTCGTTATCAATAGATCATCTTCCCCAAGACCGATCATCTCGTTGACATCTGTTCGGAGGGGCTCCTGAGATGGGGTTAAGGGGCATGCAAGATGCAACAACGTAGAGATGAGATTGTCGCAAAGCGAGCAAAGCTCGCAGAGCTTAAGAGGCAGAGAGAGCTCCGAGCCAGCGTGGCAACCGCCTCTCGCCAGAGCATAGGAAACTCCACCGATGTTGGTACCATCTCCACTCCAACCTGGAAACCTCCCCGTTGACAGCTTCTTCTACCTAGCTCATCTCGCCGACACCTGGCCGAGCAGACAACCGCCGCGAAATCGAATCGCTAATCAACAGCCTGGTTGGCGAAAGCAGGCCAGTCTCGGTCTCCACAGGAGGCGCCGCCTCGCCAGCTCATCGAGGCAGCCGACCGAATAGTGTGCTGAGCGCCGGGGAACTCAGCCATGAGAACTCGGACATCGCCACGCCGGCCACTGGCCAGGCCGCCAGCTCCCAACCGCAGACTCTCACAACAATTCCTCTAACAACCGTCTACGAATGCCCTCCGTCGCCCGTGAAGGAGGTCTTCTCCTACAGCAAAGGGGTCCAAACCACGGAAGGATGGACCAGTCCGACCAGGCCGCGGGCTTTTTCGGAATCAGACTATGACGAGCCCACCTTGACTCCCAGCAAGAGACTTAACCGGAGAGAGCGAGATAGGGAGGAAGAGCTGCGGCAGAACTTGAGGAAAGAGATCGAGGAGGAGCTCAGGGCCGCTAAGGAACTGATGACGGATGGATACCTCAAACCCACGACTACCACTAACTTCCCTGCGCGGGCTCTAACATCCGATGAGCTGAACGCAGTCACGCATTCGGATGAATTCATGGAGTTTCTCGACAGGTCTAGCAAGGTTCTCGAGAGGGCACTGGACCAGGAGTACGACATCCTGACCGATTATACCCTCCAGGTGCACGACATCGACGACGAAGATGAGCAGAGTGGGAATATCGGGGGCAAGGGTCGCCGGAAAGTCAAGGAGTTGGCGCAGTTCTACGACGAGCGGTGGTCCAAGAAGCGAATGATCAGCTCCATCGACTTCTCCCAGAAATTCAAGGAATTGGTCCTCGCCTCGTATACGAAGAACCCCTCGGCACCACACGACCCGGACGGGATAGTGCAGGTCTGGAATCTCCATCTACTCGAGCGTCCGGAATTCGTCTTCCATGCCCAATCGGACATCCTGACAGCCAAATTCTCGCCCTTCCACCCCAACGTCATCATCGGCGGCGCATACAGCGGGCAGGTCTTGCTCTGGGACACGCGAGCGGGGTCCGCGCCGGTGCAAAAGACGCCGCTGACGGGCTCGGGCCACACGCACCCGGTCTACTCGATCGACATCGTCGGGACGCAGAACGCGAACAACATCATCTCGTGCTCCACCGACGGGGCCGTCTGCGGGTGGAGCGTGGACATGCTGGCGCAGCCGCAGGAGTCCCTGACGCTCCTGGCCCCGCAGCCGTCCAAGACGGAGGACCTGAGCCCGATGTGCATGGCCTTCCCGCGGGCCGACCCGACCTTCTTCCTCGTCGGCTCCGAGGAGGGCACCATCTTCCCGTGCCACCGGTACGACCGGGCGGGCGCCAAGGCGGGCGTCGACTCCCGCGTCAGCTACAAGGGCCACGCGGCGCCCGTCATGTCGGTCGACTTCCACCCGGCGTGGGGCCCCGTCGACCTGGGCGACCTGGTGCTGTCGGCCAGCCTGGACTGGAGCGTCAAGCTGTGGAAGGTGCGGGCCCCCGCGGCGACGTCGACCATGGGCGGGGCGGGTGGGGCGGGCGCCCAAGGGGGCGGCCAGGTGGCGCCGCTGATGGAGTTTGTGCGCGAGGACGTCGTGTACGACGCGGCGTGGTCGCCGGTCAAGCCGGGCGTGTTTGCGCTCGTGGACGGCGCGGGCTGGGTCGAGCTGTGGGACGTGACGGTCGAGACGGAGGAGCCCGTCGCGAGGATATCGCCCAGTCAGCGCAAGGATGGGCGGTCTATGCTCAGCAAGAGCCTCAACAAGGTTGCGTGGGAGCCGACCGAGGGGAGGAGGCTGGCGGCTGGGGGCATCGACGGCGCGCTGTCTGTGTTCGAGGTCGGGCCTGACCTGGGCGGGAAGGAGGGCCTCAAGAACGAGGAGTGGACCAACGTCAAGAAGCTGGTCAACCGGCTCGAGGCCGCGGGCGTCAATGGTGCGGCGCCCGTGTAAAGCGGGGGATCGTTGTGGGGAATGGATATCCTTTTTTGAGGGCCGAGATCTTGTTTTGTGAGGTAGTTTCTCTCTCTCTCGTTTCTTCAAAGACTGCTATGTGTGGGAGTTGCCTTCGCTTCCTCTATACCCCCTGAAGAAAGCTTGTTTACTTCTACAACTACTACCTACATCACTGAGTACCCCTTGATTTTGTGACATTGCGAAGAGATGGAGATGCAGTCTTATACAGAAGAGATCGAGCGTGGGTTCTCACGCTTCTTCTTTCTTGTCAACCCTGTCGAAAGTAATAACAAAGCAGCGTCGCTGCAGTTGGGCCTTTTACTAGTAGGAGAGTGAAGACAGCTTAGTCAGCGTGTAATATTTAAATCCCCACTTGCGAAAGATTTAATTATTTACTTCCACAGCTTAAAATCTTTCCAGTCTTCCTGGATGAAACTCGGAAGAGTCCATCATCCAGTCGCAAGACCTGGGAAATAATATCGGGTTGTCCCAATGGTTGCACCGGCTCTCGGTTCAGTCCGAGATGCTGTGTGTCTACACTACCTTTGCTAATGGTAAGTCCTGTTCCAAAAGTATCTGCCCCGTTTACATGATGAACAACCTGTGAAGTCTGCAAATCTGAAAGCTTCGTCTGAAGCCACTTGTTGAAAAATCACTTTTATTACGTTCTGATACCCTGTTAAAGGCGCGCGAGAGAGAGAGGATTGCTTTATATTTTGAACTCCTCGAGCAGATAGCTGACATTGCTCCCACAGAAAACCCAGCTCCTCAACACAGATGTCGACGATCAGAAAACATGAGCAGGCAGGGACTTAGGTGTCCATCGGGATATACGGGGGATACCGCGCTCCCTGGACCTCGAATCCCGCCAGGGTGGTGTCGATCTCGTCCAGCTCGGCGATGCTCAGCTCCACGGCTTTTGAATTCTCGTTCACCCGCTCGGCAGTCGTCGCCCCCGGGATGGGGATGATGACCGGCATGCCGGGGCGTTTGGACAAGGACTTGGTCCAGGAGATGGCCAGCTGTGCTGGTGTGCAGCCCTTCTTCTGGGCCAGCTGCTCCACCTGCTTCATAAGCTGCAGGTTGATGTCGAAGTTCTCTGGGAAGAAGCGGGGGAAGTGTCTCCGAGCGTCGTCCTTGGGGATGTCGTCGATCGACTTGATCTGGCCGGTCAGCATCTGTGGCGCAATTGTCAGCACGGTTAGATCCCTCCCAAAGTCTCAAGCACCGGCCGGTCCGGTGGCGGATAGCAACCAGGCGGCTGTGTGGGGACTTACGCCTCGGCCAATAGGTGAGTAGGCAACCAGCGGGATATTGTACTGCGCGCAGGCGGCGGCGACGCCGTTGGTAAGCACGTCGGTAGCCCACAGGCTCAGCTCGACCTCGACGGCGACGATCTTGGCAACCTTGACGGCCTCGTGGATGGTCGCGGCCGAGACCTCGCTCAGGCTGATGCCGCCCAGCTGGCCCCTGTCGACGTACTCCTGCATGGCGGCGAAGGTGTCCTGCATCGGCACCCCGGGGTCGCGGCGGGCGCACTCGAAGATGTCGAGACGCTTGCGCCCGCCCAGCTGCGCCAGGACGTTGTCGATACTCCGCCGGATGCCCTCGGGCGACCCGTCTGGGCCTGCCGGACCGGCGGCGCCTTTGACGCTGAGCACCACCTTGTCGGCGTCCTCTGGGTACTGGGCGAAGTAGCGCTCGAGCAGAACGAGCGAGTTGTACGACGGCGTGCCGTAGATCTCGCCGCCGTTCCAGAAGTTGCACCCGTTGTCCAGGGCGGCGCGCATCGCCGCGAAGGCTTGCTCCTCCGGCGGCGGGGTGGCGCGCCAGGTGAGTCCTGGTGTGGTGTCAGTAGTGGCCGAGCCAGCTCTTTTATTTGGTGAGAGGGCAGGACCTTACCCATGAGGCCGAAGCCTATGGGACCGACTTCTTGGCCGTTGATCTGAGGCATCTCTGGTGAAGTGAGGTAAGTCAGATGGGGTGGCCGCTTTGGCGAAGACTGTAGTTAAGGTATTGGAAGTACCACTTCTTGAGGTGGAATATCTTCGGGTTTGTGGTTCTTGTTATCCTGCGATTAGATGCGCCAGAGAACTTATATACACATTTTAGGTCAATTGCACTGTTTATACTTACAGCTCAAGTCTTGATGTCAACGGGAAGGGCGGGGTTTATCGGCGTTAGAGGCTATCAAAGTGCGAGGGTTAGGGTTTCTGGTATAGTTCTGTGGGCCCGGATTTAGTTGATAGCCAACATCCCGAGTGCCGTGTTCTCTCGACTTCAGGTTCGAAATTGCATGTCACTCCAGGCCCTGTTGGCAGACGCGTCATGCTGACGGTCCTAGCCACCAACTAACAAACCTAGTGTCCCATTTGCTCCCCTCCAGGCTTACACTCAAGACTTCATTGCACGTCAGACGTCAACGAGCTTCTCAGGCTCCTCCTGGACAGCCGGTTGAGTCTGCGCCATTGCCCCCTCCCGTCTCTCCTTGTCAGCCTCGGGAACTGTCTGCGTCCCCCGGCTGGCACCACCTCCAGCTATTCCCCCTCCATCCAGAACCGTGACCTTTCCTCCCGAACCAGCAGCAAGCGCTGCATCCGCCTCCCCGACTATCCCCCTCCCCCTATCCAGAGCCGCCCGCTCCCTCACCTCCCTGGCCTCCCTAGCCGCCTTCTCTCTCTCTCTCCTCGGCCCATACCCCATCCCCACCCTCATCACCTCCCTCCCCCTCCTCCCGCCAAACATCCCCATCCGCGCCGCCATCCGCACATCGTAACCGCCCCCCGCGGACCCCACGCCGGCGCCGGACGACGACGACGACAGCGCGAGCCCCATGGCCGCCGTCCACCAGGCCGGGAAGTCGCGCAGCCCGACGCTGGCTAGCCCGCCTACGGTCGTCGGCATGGCGTGCCGGTACCGGCATGCCAGTCCCCACTTGCAGGTGCCGTGGTGGCACCAGTGGCGGCAGAACTGGCTTGGGTGGAAGGGGGGCTTGGTTGGGTGGCCTGGGCTGGGGCCGGAGGGGGTTAGGGTGGTGGGTTGCTTGTTGGGTTTGGTCGGGGGAGGGGGTGAGGGGCTGAGGTGCGTGTTGGGGTTGGGGTTGGGTTTGGGGGTTTGGTTGGCACCCGGGGAAAGGTCCTGCGGGCGGGAGGAGGAGGAGGAGGAGGAGAAGGAGGCTCCTAGGGGTGGTGGTGGCGAGACGTGCGCCAGAATGCGTTCTGCTGGATGCACCGCCTGTGCCGGGTTGGTTGCGGCCGTGTGACCGCCACCCGCGGCTGCGTGTTCGGGGCCGGAGGGCGCCCTCTCCGGGCCTCCCGTTGCGCCAGCGGTGGCTCGTGGTGTTTGTGTCATGTACGGCAGGCTGTGCTGACCGTGGCCCGTGTCGGCGATCTTCACTTCGTACGTGTCTTCGTCCCTGGCGACGTTGCCCAGGTTCGACAGGCCCACTGTCTGCTCGAGCCTGAGCTCCCGAGGGAGACCTATGATATCCAGCCACTTGGGGAGCTGGTCCACGGCAATGAGCGGCACGATGGGCCCGGGCTCGAGGATGAGGCCTGAGCTGGTCTGTTTCTTGACCCCCGGCCGAACGAGGAAGTAGTGAGGACGGGCTGGCATCCTTGTTACCCGAGGTGGTGCAGTTGGGATGAAGTGTGAAGATCTGACTTCTCTGTGTCTGCCGTTTGCCGTCTGGTGTCTGCTATCTTTATGTAGATTAACGTGTCCCTACTTCGGAGCTGGGTACAATATGGGTTACGATGATGGTTAGCATCATAAAGATAGCTTCAGATTGGCGTGTGGGATCGAATGACCTCCATAGATATAGCTACGAGACCATAGGAATCATGATGGGAGCGTTTGATGTCCTACCACCCGCCGTCGGCTCACCTGCTGCGTCCCATAGTCCGGGACTTGTTGGCACCCAGGCAAGCAGCGACAGCTTGAGTAGGACAGTTCTCTCGGTTACAGTGTTGTTTCCATCATGCAGTGGCGCGAAATAAGAGGCAATCAATTCTCTTCCACTTGCACAAGTCTGATTTACAATAGTTGATTGTCTGCAACCAGAGAGGAGCGAGAGAGAAACAGAGAGGCAGGAGATACCCGCTCACCTCACCTCGACCCTGATTTTAGCTTCAAGCCCGTCAACACAATACCCAAACTGCCTCGGCCCGTCTTTCAACTCAACCTCCCTCTTTACCCACCTGCCAGCTTTCCGAACAGACTCCGCCTCCGTCTCCGCCCCTGCCTCCGCCCTCGTCTCCCCCTCCTCTCTCTTCTCCCTCTCCGCCTCAAGCTCCTCCTCGTCACTGCTATCGCCAGCCTCCTCATCAAACCCAGCAACAGGGTCCCACTCCCCTGTCTCCCAGACCAACCGCAACCGCAGCGGCGACAGGCCAAACAACCTTCCCGCAATACCCTTGACGGCATACACATCAAACGACTTGGGTATACCCGCAAACCTCTCCTTCTCCCCCTCTTCCTCCTCCTCCTCCCCCCCACTTCCAAGCCGGAACGCCACCGACACGAGCCGCGCCTCCAGCAGGTTGGGGTCGAGCTCGGTGCGGCGGGCGACGGCGGGCTCGCCGTGGGCGGCGCACAGGTCCGCCCAGCGGCGGTGGCGGGCCAGCACGGCGGGCTCGTCGGCGGGCGGGGCCGACGACAACTGGCGCGCGATGCGCGAGAGGTAGAACATCTCGGCGTTGGTGCGGTCGGCGGGGGCGACGGCGCTGAAGTTGAGGGCCCGGAGGCCCGGGAGGCGGGCTACTGTTAGCATGTAGGACTCGTCGGTCGAGGGCGCCGCGGCGGTGCCTGGTTGTGAGGCTGGGTAGGCTGCTGCGTCGGTGGGGGAGGGGGTGTCTAGCTCTGGGTTATCGTAGATGGGGTTGTGGGCGAAGCGGAGGGAGGTTAGGCCTGGGAATGAGGTGGGGAGGGTATCGATGAAGGACCAGGTTGATACCCGGTTATAGGAAAGGTCGAGGTACTGAAGGTTGGTGGTGAAGACGGGTGGTTGGGTGTCGGGTCGGGAAGGGTTCATAACGGTGGATATGTTGTTGCCCTTGAGATGGAGGTTTCGTAGTGATGTTATGGCTGTCAAATCCTCGACATCGGATAAAAAAGTAAAGTCGTTGAACTCGAGGTTCACGGACGTAAGAGTTGATGTCAGCCCGAACGATGGGGGTATTGGAGAGAGTGATGACAGCTGATTGCTGCCAGCCAAGAGGACGTGAATAGTTGAGAACTTGGATGCAATGCGGCATATGTTGTCCCAGCCCAGGAGTGTCTCTTCCACTGAGAGTTCCTTGACGCCCTTGAACGCCATTCCAGCGCCCTGGAAGTCGTCATCCGGGATCGTGATGAATCGGTTACCGCTTCGCAAAGTTAGCGAGCTTCAAACACACCATCACAGCAGGTCTTACTTGATTCTCAGGCTCCTTAGCTCAACAAGCTCAGAGCAGATCTCAACGACAGGCCCGAATCTTGTGAAGAGATTGCGGCTCAAGTCCAAGTCGATAACCTTGGGACAGACTTCCTTGATCCTTCGATGGCCATCGCCCTGCTCCCCGGAAGGCGAAGGCGCCGGGGCATAGGCTGATGCGACTCGCATGCCATCGAGGATGACAATCTTCAGCTCGTTGAGCTGGGCCAGTTTGCGGCGGATCTTGTCGAAGCCAACCTCCTCTGCAACTTTGCCGGAGATGATGATCTTCTTCCCGGACGCGACGGGATCACGGCTCCGCGTCACCTCGGAAGCATACTTCTCCTGTAGGGCCGCGAGAAAGTCGAGCGGCTGCTCGACGGGCCGAGTCGGGCGGACGAAGGACGCCGCCGTGAGCGAACGTGTCTTGCCTAGGCAAGATGTGTCAGCAACGCCATATAGAATCAATCAGGCCAGTTCACACAAACTTACAGTGGAAATATCGGACCCCCTTGTGCTGTCCATCATGCTTTCCTCGGGACGGATCGTCCCATTCCACACCCAACCACGAGCCATTCGCTCCCTCAACCTCACCGACATAGCGCACAGTGCAAAGCGCCCCGTCATACGAGAGCCGCTCTCCCACGCTATGAGTGGAAGAAGACATTGTAAACCCGGTGTTTAACGAGAAACAGGGTTTGTCTTAGGCCCTCGTGTTAATTGGCTGTGCCGTGTTTTTAGAGTTGACAAAAATCAGGCACCCGAAATAATTCGCGATTTGATGATTTGCCCCAACTTTTTACACTGCGACAAGCCCGGTGAACAAGGTCAGAATTACACAGCTTCTCGACGCAAAATATTCACAGCAAATTTACATGACTCCGCTATCATTGCCTACATCCACGATGGCTCTCAAACTCAAAGCTTGCTCTTGGTCGGCCCAACACACTTCATCAATGCCCTCCCATTGGTCAGGCAGACCTTCCCGCCCTCGATCTTGGTCTCGAAACGGACATCCTCCCAGCCGTCCTTGATCTCGCCCGTCCTCCACGCCGACGTGACTAGCTTGTCCCCAGGGTGCACCGGGCTGGCGAACCGCGCCTGGTACTCCCTGATATTGGCCGGATCGCCACCACCCAGGTGCTTCAGCAGCAGGTGCGCCGTCGAGTTGAACGAGTACAGCCCGTGCACAATGTCCCCGCCGAAGCCCATCTTCTTGCCCGGCTCGGGCGTCGCGTGCAGGGGGTTATAGTCGCCATTGAGCCGGTACAGAAGCGACGTCTCCTTGGAGGTCTGGTCCTCGAGGACCAGGTCGGGCTTCTTGTCCTTTGGCGGCGGGAAGGCCACGGTCGCGGGGCCCTTTGGCCCGCCCCAGTTGCCCTGCGCGACGTAGAAGCTCGAGCCGAAGGCCCGCGTGTAAACTTCGCCGGTGCCGGCGTCGACGAGGTCCGTCTGGGTGTCGACGACGGTGCCGGGGCGGCCCTTGTCGTAGACGCCCAACACCCTTGTGCGGACCTCGAACTTCTTGCCCTCCGAGGTCGGCGGGAGGGGCTTGAGGAATTGGATCTGGCGCTGACCGTCGACCACGCGGGTCGCGTCAAAGGAGGGGACGTCCGGGATAGCGACGGCTTTCTCGGCGGCGTAGAAGTCAATCACTTCCTGGGAATTGGTCTTGAATGCTGTGCATCTCGTGAGCTCACAAGGCTAGGGGGAGGCAGGGAAATAGGGATCACGCGAGGGAGACTTGAGCTTACGGAGAACAACGGGGTAGGTTGGGAAGACTGTGAAGTTGGGGTGTAGCTCCTGCCGACTGTTGTTAGTATCCCTTGAGAGCGAGCATTGATTCGGGGGGATATGGTGCATACATAGAGAAACTGAAGCTCATCGGCAGTGCAGCCAATCGAGTTGGCGAATAGGAGCACATCGCGCTTCAGCCATGACACCTCCGTGGGAGGGTATTCGAATCCAACTCCAGGACCGCCCATTGTGCTGTAAGATGGATACCTGTGAAAACTGAGGGACTTGTTGGAAACTGTAGAGGAAATAATGGGGGGTTCTAGCTGTTGCTTCACGGCGCAAGCCAAGGACCAAGGTAGCTGCCATTATATAATAATCGTCCCGATGCCGGTATAGCTTGACGGCAACGTGGGGTTTCCCACGCCGACGTCAGTGCCGAGGTCCGTGGTCCAACTTGTGGACCCAAGGCAATTCAGGGGTTGGCTTTAGGTAAGGAGCTGTGGCCTTAGCTTTGGCATAAGCTCCTAAGCAACGACATATCAACCACTGCCATAGATGTGAGAGCTTCCTGAGGACAAGGTGACAGCCTCTGCTCCGGCTTTCTGAATCTTTCTGAGAGGTAGGTTTTATGGAAGATAACCTAAATACATGCGATAAACAAACAGAGAGGTGGGTGGTGCCTATGTACCTACCCTACCTACGTTGAAAAAGTCCATAGGTACACACCGCGGGGATTGCCTCAAAACATCAACTTCGTGAAAAGGAAAAGAACAAAAATATCCCATCCCGTTCCCATATTTATTCGCTCACAAAACCACATCAAATCCCTTTCCAGTATTTCTTCCACCAACAGGAACTACTTACTGGCCTCCGTCAAGCATTATATCCACGATGCCGCCAACCGATCCCAAGCGCACTGCCAACCGCAGAGCTCAGAGGGAGGGAAAGAGTGGCCACGGATATGCATCAGGAAATGACAAGAGCCTGACCTCGCGGCCAGAGTCGCTGCCTGATGACCGCAAATCCGGCCAGAGTATTGCGAATCCTCTCACCCAAGATGAGCAGTTCCTCATCTGCAGGAAGACACGCAAATTGATGCAGGAGCGAGATAAGCTCGAGCGCCAGCTGATGAAGGTTGTCGAGGAAGATGGCGCCACCACTTATGGCTCGCCAACGCGCGAAGAGCTGCTCCGGTTGCAGTCACAACTGGAAGAGAAACAGGCGCGACACATGGCCATGATGAACAAGGTCTTGGCCGAGAGGAAGATGCTGTATAGATTGGATCCAGCCTCCGATAGAGCTATGGACTTGGGCTTGGTTAGGGGTTTGATCGCCAGATTCAAGCCGCTCTCGGGTCTGCACCCGGGTGATCATCTTCCTGCTGGGAACGAAGGCTCACCCGCCCATGAAGCACGGGGTGGAGGAAAACGAGCCGCCGCAGCAATTGGACCAGAGGGCCGCCACGATTCCACTAGCTTGGAACACCAACAAGCTTCGGCACTGGATAAGAAGAGGGTGGGGCGCAAGCGGGAGCACGGGGAACCCGGAGATGCCAACCCTCCTGTCAAGAAGCCCAAATTAACTGACCATAGGCAGAGTGAAGCAAGGGCCAACGCTGGCAAGGAGCGCCCCAGCAATATAACCAAGACAGCCTATCCGCCACGGCCTGATAAAGCCAGTGCTGACAACTACTTTGCGGAGCGAGCTCTCGACATCATCTCTAATCCGCTAACATTTGATGATTTTGTCTACGATGCTCCTAGACATGGCACGCCGACAGAATACCCCTCTCATTCCTATTTCATGCACGGCGCGCTGCCCGTACCATCGACCACCACTACTACGCGAACTGACATGCGACACGCTCACCAAGAAAATCCGAGTAAGCACATGAGCAGCGCCATTGCAGGTCGCAGCGAGTCCAGCCGCGCCGTGGGACCAGACAAGGAGACGGTCAAGGACCAGGAGGTAGCTGGCAAAGACATCGACACCGACAATAGTGGTACGGTGTCGACGGACGAGCCCGTTACGGGTCGGCATTCCGGCAACCCCGCGGGTGGGAAGAAGCCAAAGGACAAAGAGAACGGTTCCCGGCTTTCAAAGTCAGACGACAGCAAGGCGACGAGGGAGCCTCCTCAAACCGACAATAGTGGAGCTAGATCACACCATGCGGCTGCAGATTCCTCTTCCAATTCGACTCCAGCTGCTCGCGATCTAGTTCCCACGGTTCATCAAACCCCGAAACGGAATGAAGATTTGGGCCGCCAGAAGAAGACACCTGCTTCCGAGGGCCACAAAATCTCCATGAAGCCCGTCTTTCAAAACTACAGCAGCACCAAAGGCACCTGCACCACCAGCAAAAACCCTCGATCGCCCCCCGTCTTCGCAAGCCCGAGACGCGCCTTCCCGAGAAGCGACCAGCCGCGAGACCAGCAAGGGTCCACCCACCTCCCCATGTTCACTGCGACCCCCTACGGACCAGCCAGCGGCTCCCCCCCAGCCGCCAAGCCGGCCCGCCCGGCGCCCAAGCAGCCTAAGCCCGCCGTACCGTTCGTGCCCAGCCGCACAACCAGCCCCGCCTCGGAGGAGCCGGGACGCCCGTCGCCACCGGCCGGCGCCGCCTAGGGGGACTTGGTCCGGCCTGTTGGCGTCTACGGTTGGGTGGCCGGAGGATCTTCTATCTCTGGTTCTGTCTCTGGTTTTTCCACTGGAGGCGGCAGCTACACAGAGGAGCTGCGGCGGCAGGATGACGAGGTCCTGGAGAGGGAGAGGGCGGCCTGGATCGAGAGGCTCGGCCTGGGGCATGTGATGCGCCCTGGTGATGGTGAGGGCGACGGCGGCGGTGGGAGGCCTGCTGATCTGCCGGGTCTGACGACGGAGGATCTGATTACTCTCGCGTTCGAGAAGCAAGAGTGGGCGAGAGTGCTCAAGTTTTGAGGCCGTTTTGTTGTCGTTGTTGGAGTAGCTTCGTAGCTTTGTCCGAGGCGTTTGGTAGAACACGATTCAAACAAGGAAAAGGGGTTATTTCATTTCAGGGAGGAAAACGAGGCAGGCAACTTGAAGGAGGAAGGCAACTTTTCTCGCCGCAACGCCATCGGAAAGAAACTGGCAATAATAGGTAAAAAACTTCAACGTACAAGTCCCCCCCCATGGCAGACCCTTCCATAGACCAAAAATATACCCCACCCCTTTCTATGCAACATGCACAAACGCCCGTTTCCTCGCCGCCCGGGACTGGTCCTCCTCCTCGTCCCACTTCTCGTCGACGTAGTCCTTGACGCTCATCTCCTGCATCTGCATGCCCACGACCTTGAGGGCCGCGACGTTGTAGCCCATCTCGTCCTTCTGGCGGCGCAGGGCGCGGCGCAGGTTCGTGCGGATGTCGTCCAGCATGGCCCTCATGGTCCTGCTGGCCACGACCTGGCGGTGGTGCGTCTTGAGCATGAAGAAGAGGATGCGGCAGGTCAGGGGGATGTTCATGGACCGCGCGGCGAAGCGGTCCAGGAAGGTGAAGAGCAGCGGCACCGTGGCGAAGGGCAGGACGAGCAGGGCGTCGTGCAGCGCCGACGCCTTGATGCGCTGTAGGACCGTGATGACGTGCTCCTCGGCGCTGATGCCGCCCAGCGCCATGAAGATGGGGCTGCGCTGCGGCGGCGCCGTGTTCGGATTGCTCAGCTTGGCCTCCTCCCAGTCCCGGAGGGCGTTGAGGTCCGCCATGCCGAGCTCGAGCGCCTCGGCGATCCGCTCACCCGCCATCAGCGTCTCGACCGTCTGCTTGCCCGCGGCGCCCACCTCGCCGTCCTTGTCCTCGGCGTCAGGGTCCTGCTCCAGGGACGCCGCAAGCGTGCTCTCGTAGAGCTCCTCGATCTCCTTCTCCCGCTCCTCCTCAAGGAAGATCTGCTCGTCCGTCTCCTGCCAGACCCGGATGCTCTTGTCGTGGCTCGCGCTGACCAGGAACCCCGCGCTGCGGCTGACTGCCAGGGCCCAGATCTCGCCGTGGTGGCCGTCGATGCGCTGGATCTGCTCAAACTTGTCGCCGTCCCAGTACTTGATGGTCCGGTCCTTGCCGCTGCTGAAGAAGTTGTGTCCGTTCCCGTCCGAGTTGTGGGGGACGAAGGCCACTTGGAGGATGCTGTCCTGGTGTCCGAAGAGCGCCTTGTGGCAATCGCCGAAATCCAAGCCCCATATCCTTATGTTCTTGTCCGCCGAGCTCGTAACTATGAGCTTGCTGTCGTAGGAGATGTCCATGCTTAGGACGGGGAGCTTGTGGCCGTACAGGTTGAGGTAGAGCTTGAGCGAGTCGGTGAAGAACACCTTGACGGTGTTGTCCAGAAGGGCGACCGCGAGCAGCTTTCCGTCAGGTGAGAACCTGATGCTCAGAATGTCATCCGAGACCTTCAGGATCCTCGACTGGACCAGTTTGAGTTTTGGCGTTGTCCTTGTCGTGCCCAAGACCTGCTCCTGGACGACTTTGAAGTCCCAGAACTTGGCGGTCTTGTCGGCGCTGCCCGAGACGACGGACCTCCCCTCGGGATGCACTTGTAATGACCAAATGGCCCCCTCGTGCGCAGCAACGCTCTCCAGCAGGGTCGCGGATGCCACGTCGAATAGTTCGAGCTCTCCGCTCTTAGTTCCGACAACAACGACCTTGTCGCCCGGCAGGAACGCACAGCAGAGAGCGTAACCGCACTCGAACGTTCGTATGCACGCCTGCGTCCGGATGTTCCAGATCTTCAAACTGCCGTTGGCGGCTGATGCGAGCATCTTGTCGTCAGAGCTGATAGAGAGAGATCGGATGTCGGTTCGATGGCCTGGTAGCTCGACTGATAATGCCCTGTTATAGTCCGGTGCGTCGTCCTTCTTCGACTTTGCCCCTTTCTCCTTGCCAGCGATAGTGTACATTTCGAGTTGGTTGTTTGTTGTGGCGATGAGTAACTGCAAGTCCTTGTTTCCGGAACTCACTGCCCAGTCGACTGATCTCACCTTTCCTGTGGTTCTGATGATAACATATCGTACGAAAACGTCGGATATCTCGGCATTGGCAACATCCTCAACCTTCTCATCATCCTCAGCAATGTCGGCGTCGCCGCCCGCTTTGCTTCCCTTCGATGTTGCCAACTTCTCACGCCTTCTCCTCTTCTTCCTTGCGAGGCTCTTCTTGATTTCTGTTTCCGTCCGTATCCGCCATATCTCTACCGACTTTTCAATGCCGTGTACTGCAAAGTAGTCGCGACGAGGGTGAAATATGACTTCGACGGCCCGATCCTTGCTCTGACGATGCAAAATACCACGGTCCTGGAGGAAGCAGCGCGGCTGAGACTCTACTTGCTGCGCCGAGACCGAAAGTCTTGCAGCATCCAACGACCAGACTTTGAGCTCACCGTCGTTGCCCGCAGTCACGCAGCCGCTGTAGTCAGGAGAGACGCCCAATGCCCAACATTCGCCATTTGTTTGCGCAACATGAGTCTCGACACAGTGTTTGGAGGACAAATCCCAGAGTTTGATGAGAGAATCTTTTCCGGTTGTGAGGAGAAAGCCCTCCGCTGAAGACTCGTGGTCAAGAGCCATGGCCTCTCCGTCTTCTCCATCTTGAATCTGAGGCTCCGGCTCGACAAACCGCAAGCCAGTAACTTGGTCTTTATGGCCTCGGAGTTTATACTGGCCAACTTCAGCGACAATGTCCCAGATGATCACATCTGTGTCCTTCGAACCGCTGGCGAGCCGTGTCCCCGACTTATCGAATGCGAGAATGGTAACGGCCGATTTGTGCCCATTGAAGATGACAACAGTCGTCGCAATCTTGCTGTCCCAGAGCCGAATGCTCCCGTCTTCATAGCCAACTGCAAAGACGTCGGGGTTGGCCATGCTTTGCGCAAGGGCAGTTACTTGAAACCGACAATTGTCGTCCCTCCAGCGGCTTAAAAGCTCGCCCTTCTTGATATCCCAGGTGAGGACCTCTTCATTGGCGGCAACAATCGCTTGCCCAGCGCCTGTACTAGACCGCCCGTTCGATGACCAGACGACATTGGACGTACTCGATGCGACTAAGCCGAAGGACCCTGAGTGCTCGTATTTTCTGCAGACCCTATGTTAGTTGAGACGTAAGGAGACGGTTATTGCACACAACTCACAAGTATGACTGGACCATCTTGATGTGTTAATATGGCCCACGGCGCAGAAACGAACTCGCAGTGCGACACGAACCTAACCTTCTATACTCCCACCATTGCATGGGAACTTTTTTTCCTCGACGATAAGATAAGGAGAGTTCGAGTGCGGCACAGACCAACAGCTCCTGCGGGGCAGTCACGTGACGCCCAGGAACCTCCCGGGTCTAACGTCAGTGACGGGCTGAGCCACCTGCCCCACCTCGAGGCAATACGTAGGCAAGGAGAACAAGGAGAACGACAACTCAGCAGAAGGCGCCATCCGGGAGAGTTACCGCCAAAATGCTCCTCCTCGACTATCAAAACGTCTTGATCCAATCGGTTCTTACCGAGCGGTTCTCAGGGTGAGCATCTATACGATTGCCTGAGCACCTGCCTAATCAGACCCTGTGTGCTGACGCCTCAACCCAGAGCTCCTCCCGTATCGATTGACCAGACCGTGTCCGACTTTGATGGCGTTCTATTCCACATCTCAACCCCGGAAACCAAAACCAAGATCCAGGTGTCGATCCAGATCCGGTGTTTCAAGGATCTTGTCAAATATGGCGCTGAGCAGGTTCTCCGGCGCGAGTACGGCCCCTATGTCGTCCCTCCCGAGGCCGGCTTTGATTTCTCGGTTATGGTCGATCTAGAAACTCTGCCTGAGGATAAAGGTTTGGAACACTTTCGGCGCAATAACGACCGGGGTCTAACAATCCAATTGCAGAGACTCGCGACGAGTTGATCAACAAGATCTCCCTCCTGAAGCGCAATGCTATGGCTGCACCGTTCGAGCAGGCGTATGGGGAGTACTACCAGCTGAAGGAGGCGGCATCCAAGTTTACATCCGAAGAGGCGCCGCAGGGTGTCCGGGAGGGCGGGGACGTCAAGGCCATCCAATACCGCGAAGAGGAGGCAATCTATGTCAAGGCCAGCCACGACCGAGTAACGGTGATATTCAGCACCGTCTTCAGGGAAGAGACGGACAGGGTATTTGGCAAGGTGTTCATCCAGGAGTTTGTCGACGCGAGACGACGGGCTATCCAGAACGCACCACAGGTGCTTTTCCGAAACGATCCGCCCCTCGAACTACAGGGCGTTCCTGGCGTGAAGAGCGCCGGCTCTGGAGAGATCGGATACGTCACTTTCGGTATGCGCGCATCGTCTCCCTTGCTTGCCCCAGTATTGTCCGTATCTGACTCTATCAGTGCTGTTCCCTCGTCACCTCACGCCCCAACGAATGCCAGACGTCATCTCTCATATCCAAACATTCCGCGACTACTTCCACTACCACATCAAGGCTTCCAAGGCCTATATCCACTCTCGTATGCGCCGGCGGACGGCAGATTTCCTCCAAGGTAAGTCGAAATGGGTCTTCTCCAATGATCTCCGAGCTCTAATATCGTATAGTTCTGCGACGAGCCAGACCAGACAACGAAGAGAAGGAACGCAAAACTGCAAGTGGGAGGACTTTCAAGGCTCAGGGGAGCTAGGGAGTTCCGGGGGTTTGCAGCCATACCGGGCCACATTTGCTTCCACCATCACCTCCACGTTTATCAAGCTGCACGGGTCTGCTGAGGTCGAGTCTATGATTCTAGAGCCACAGCGAGTCTCAATGAATCGGAATCCCGAACACTCGCCGTTGTCGGCCGCCTCCTCTTAAGTGACCATGCCTTTGAATGCTCTCGCTTGGTTAGCGACCTCTCTTAGCCTATATGTGAAATTCATTGAAATGCCTGGTACTCTGGGTCTCTTCCCCAAAACTGGATAGTATCTAGATCGACACAATTTGGGTATCAAGGGACGCCTTCCTCGATTTCCACTAGCTAAACTTGCTGGCCTTCCCCGTTCCAATGCCAATGCCGTCTCCTTTGTTCCCCAACCGAGATCTTCTTTTGATTGTGTGGCTTATATCTGACCAGGTCGCTCCTCCTCTGAGAACACGATTGAGGACTACTTTGAGAAGAGTTTTGGCGGCTGTTGTTTTGGATACAAGTATTGGTACAGTTAGGTAATGCCTGCAACTGGGAGACTTTAGGCAAAGTTATTACATTGGCCGATCCCGAATAGAAGTCATCTTGAATTTGAGTTAGAGTTCTGTAGGTAGCTACCTCTATCAACTGAAGTCCCAAGCACAGTGCATTATCCCCTGGTCCTCCTGCAACACGGTGGGGTAGTGCCGCCCTGTGGCTTGTGCTCACCCTGTTTAGCCCCATCTGCAAGGCTGAGCCCTGCACCTCTCGTTCCTGGTGGAGACTGGAGAGACGTCCAGGGCTGAGCTGAACGTCCTCAATCCAACATCGAACTCGACCGGGAGAGTCGGGCTCAAATGTTAGCAGGCGGCAAATGTTGCAACTCAGGCAATTGTGCTCTTAGCAATGGCGCCGCCTGCGAAACGTCGCAAACGAAAGGTCGTGGACGATTCCGAGGCTGAAGACGATGATGGAGCTGGGACAAACAACAATACGTTGAAGAGGTACCTTCTCTCCTCGCCCGACACGAAAATGTCATCGACGACTGCAGGCGGAAGTAGACCTACAACAACATCTCCAAGTCCAATACGGAGGAAAAACCTACCCCCAAACACACAAGTGCATGCCGCGGCATCGTCCAGAACAACCCGGAGTCATCTTTTCCATGCGGCGACCAAAAGCCCGAGCACCAGTCCCGAGAAGTCGAAAACAAGAGCACAAAAGAAGGCTAAGATCGAGGAGAAAGGAAAGACGGCCGATCTGCTGACTCTATTCTCCAAGCAAGCTCAGAAGAACCAGTCGTCAAACGGGAAGAAAGACACAACCCTCGATCTCGAAGACATCATTAGCGATCCCATCTCAGAGGACGACGACGTGGCGCTGCACAAGACTGCCGTGTCGAGTATTGTCGGCAAAAATGCGCAGAAGAGGTTCAAGGAAAGCTCCCAATCCGCCCCGGTCGGGAGCTCGGCGTCGACAGGCCATCGTTTCTTAAAGGCCCCCAACCCCACGAAGGGAAGTACCGTGGACGATGACCAGCGGCCTTGGTCCGAGAGGTTCGCCCCTCTCAATCTGGACGAGCTGGCGGTGCATAAGAAGAAAGTCGCGGATGTCCGGAAATGGCTGGAGGATGTCATAGGGGGCCGGCTGAGGCAGAGACTCCTGATTCTGAAGGGCGCGGCGGGCACAGGGAAGACGACAACTATGCAGCTCCTTGCAAAGGATATGAAATGCGACATTCTTGAGTGGAGGAATCCGGCGGGGTCTCTAGGAGCGACGCGTGGGATACAGTCCGCGTCCGCACAATTTGAGGAGTTCCTCGGCAGAGGAGGGCAGTTCGGTCAGTTGGACCTGGATTCTGACTCGGATTCCCAGCGAAGCGTCCCCAACCGGCTGAAGCAGGATTCGAGCCGCCGGAGGATGATTTTGATCGAGGAGTTTCCGAACACATTCATGCGCTCATCCAGCGCGCTCACGTCCTTTCGAAACAACATACTGCAGTTCCTAGCCGCAAATACGCCAGCGCTGGCCACATTCGGCCAGCAGCAGGCCGCAGACCCGATCACACCCATTATAATGATAATATCGGAAACTCTGCTCACCACTACATCGGCCTCCGCAGACAGCTTCACTGCTCACCGGCTCCTAGGCCCAGAGATCCTTAGACACCCCGGCGCTGCTGTGATCGAGTTTAATGCAATCGCACCGTCACTTCTCGCGAAGGCCCTGGAACTCGTGGTGGTGAAAGAAGCGAGGAAATCAGGGCGACGTCGAACACCGGGACCACTTGTGCTGAAGCGCTTGGGCGAAATAGGCGACATCCGAAGTGCCATCTCCTCGCTAGAGTTTCTTTGCGTGAAGGGTGATGACGATGCGGACTGGGGTTCCAAGGTTGCTTTCACCAAACCAAAGAGGGGATCGAAGGAGTCCATTGCCATGACGAGAGGGGAGCAGGAGAGTCTGGAGCTGATATCTCAGCGAGAAGCAAGCCTCGGGATTTTCCACGCCGTTGGAAAAGTGGTGTACAACAAACGGGACGAATTGCCGCCCCCACGCGGATCACTCAGGGCATCGGCGGAGGAGTTACCACCGCATCTAGCGCACAACTCACGGCCGAAGCCTTCGCAAGTCTCGGTGGATACTCTGATTGATGAGACTGGCACGGACACTCACACGTTCATATCAGCACTGCATGAGAACTATATTCTCTCGTGTGAACGATCCGGCCCCATGGATCCTCTGTCCTCGATCGATTACATCAATGGCTGCATTGGGTACCTCTCTGAGAGTGACCTCCTTTGCCCTTCTTGGGACATCTTCTTCGGCGGGAGGGGTTTTTCGGGCATCTCGTATGACAGGAATCTGGGCAGCCACATCCTGCGACAGGATGAGATGGCTTTCCAGGTTGCGGTCCGGGGGCTGCTGTTCTCCCTGCCCCACCCGGTGAAGCGGCAGACACCGCACTCTGGCCGGGGCAACGACGCATTTAAGATGTTTTATCCTACGAGCCTGAAGCTGTGGAGGGCCAAGGAGGAGGTGGAAGGTCTGGCGGACATGTGGGCGACCAAGATATTGAAAGGAGAAGACACTGGGCCTGGTCCACCACAGGCCACGTCAAGCCTCACAAATGGCTCGGCAGCTTTCCGCCGAAATAATAAAGGAGGCAGCGTTGAGGACTGGGCGTCGAACCAGAGGTCCCTGAATTATGCACCCAGTTCACAAGCCAAGACTGGCGCAAAGGCCGGCGCCCAAGACTCGGCAACCCCACCCCTCCTGTCACTCGGGAACGCGGCCCGCACCGAGATGCTCCTAGAGCGCCTCCCATACATGGCGCACATCGCCCGGCGGCGCCGCTGCTCCTTCGGGGCCATGGGGATCCGCGACCTCGATAAGCTGGTCTCGTTCCAGGGGATCGGCAACCCCGACGCCGAGGCCGATGAGTCCCTCGACGACGAGCAGGAGGAAGCCGGGGGGGCGGGGGCGGCGGGAGCGGCCGAGGCGTGGGCGACGGACAAGCCGACCGAGGAGTCGAGCCCGCGGAAGAGGAGCGGCATCGGCGCGATCCTAAGTCGGTCGGGGGGCAAAGGCGGCGGGGGGTCCGTGGCAGGCAGCCTGCCCATGCAGAGCCTTGTCCTGAGCGATGATGATATTGAGGATGACTGATTGCGGTATTTCATGGGCTCGGTCGGATCTTGCTGGAAAGATGGAAAGCTAAAGAGCGGCTGTGTCATAAGAATGTTCGAGAGATTTGCCGTTCAGCGGTTGTCTTCCTTGAGGCGTTGGCTGGCGTCACTTGCAAAGGGAATTTGGGACTGGGCCACCAGTGTGTATACACAAAACACAATGCTCATTCATACTAAAGTTAAATAAAGCCATGCTTCAATTGTGTTGGACGCACATAACCCCTATTTGGAAGCACATGATACTGGGTTATAGATGGACGCCGACTTATAAAGATCCGAAACAGATGTTCCCCAGTCTTCCTTCAACTGCTCCATCTCCAGCAGCTTGGTAAAAAGGTGGATCGTCGAGGATGAGTTATTGGTGTACCAAAGCAGGTAGTGCGGGCCAGGTTGCGGCTGTTTTAGACTTCCTACCCCTGCGTTTCCGGGCTGTGGAAATCGCGGGGTCGGAAATCAAGACCCGCCCGTCGTTATTTTGGGCTTAAACAGCATCAGCCCCACATCCGACCGGTCGGCTCTGGCAACCTCGGCTCGTTTACGGCCGCCTCTGCAGGGTTGGGAACCTGAGGGACTGCTCCCGGTACATAAGCAAGCTTATGCCTCCCGTCCCCACGAACGCAGCCCCTCGATGGGAAGACGAGGGGAAAATATATTGCGCCGGACTGGAAAGAAGCTCGTATCTCTAGCTCACCCTTTCTGGAAGTCCCGAAGCTTAGCTTGTGATTGATCACGAGGCCAAATCTTCCCAGCTTGGATAGGGCTGCGGAAACCGGGGGATACCCTCAAAACCAGCGAGCCACAATGGCCGGCCGCGTGCGACATCCCATTGACATCAAGGCGTTGGAGACGTACCTCACCAAGCATGTCCCCGAGATCAAGGTGCCGCTGGACGTGAAGCAAGTAAGCACGCAGACCCCCACGCCCCATCTCTCGGTCATCTATCTACACCCAACCAATATGAATGGCCGACACTGACCGCGCCATTCTTCTCCGCCCTCGTAGTTCGGCTTCGGCCAGTCCAACCCAACCTACCAGCTCACCTCCCCCGACGGGTCACGCTACGTCCTCCGCAAGAAACCCCCCGGAAAGCTCGTCTCCAAGACGGCGCACAAGGTCGAGCGCGAGTACCGCATCATCGCGGCCCTGGGGCCGACCGACGTGCCCGTCCCCAAGGCCTACTGCCTGTGCGAGGACGCCAGCGTGATCGGCACGCCCTTCTACGTCATGTCCTTCCTGGACGGGCGCATCATCGAGGACCCGGCCATGCCGGGGGCGTCGCCGGCGGAGCGGCGCGCCCTCTGGGACGAGGCGGTGCGCACGCTCGCGCGCCTGCACCGCGTCGACACGCGCGCCGCGGGGCTCACCTCCTTCGGCAAGCCCAGCGGCTTCTACGACCGGCAGCTCGCGACGTGGCGGACCATCTGCGCCGCCCAGGCCGCCACCAAGGACGTCGAGTCGGGCGAGCCCGTCGGCCCCCTGCCCCGCTTCGAGGAGATGGTCTCCTTCTTCGCAGACAAGGGGCTCCAGCCCGCCGACAAGGGGACCGTCATTCACGGGGACTACAAGATCGACAACCTGGTCTTCCACAAGACGGAGCCGAGGGTGATTGGTATTCTAGAGTGAGCCGCCCATTCTTTCCCTCCTCCTCAAAAAAAAACCATGCTGACCCCCCAAACCCCAGCTGGGAGATGTCCACAATAGGCCACCCCCTCTCCGACCTCGCCAACCTAGTGACACCCTTCTACACCGCGACCCTAGACCCGACCAAGGTCCTCCACGCCCACAAGGGCTTCCTCCCCAACGCCACCCCGGGCCTCCCCACCCCGTCCGAGATAGCCGCCCTCTACTTCTCCACCTTCTCCTCCCCCTCCTCCCCCTCCTCTTCCCTTCCCCCCTCCCTCTCGTCCAGCCAGGACCAAGAGCTCCAGTGGGCCCAGGCCTTCAACATCTTCCGCCAGGCCGCCATCTGCCAGGGCATCGCCGCTCGCATCGCTGCCCGCCAGGCCAGCAGCGAGGAGGCGCGCCGGTACGCTGACGCACGGGTCCCGCTCGCCGATTTCGCGTGGGAGCTCGTGCTTGGCGCGGGCGGGGGCGGTGGTGGGAAGGCGAGGTTGTAGTTGTAGACGAAGAAGAAGAGAAGAGCCGAAAATATAAAAAGGGGACGTCACATGGGATATTGTAGGGAGGGAGGGAGTGGCGGTAGAAGTGCTGTATATATATATAAAATGGCCCGAGTCCTTGTTCTGTCTAACCTGGGACTCTGAATAGATCAATCTATTGTGTTGAATGCGCCGCGATCATGAGAGCAAAGTGTCCGGGCTGTGGCTCACAGGTATAGTCAGTCGAGCCTGATAAACAAACCCGAGTCGCAGTACAACACACATAGGTCACTGACACGCAATGCGGCAAGGCAGATGGGGGTATTTTCAAGTTGTTCTTCTCCCGGATGTGCTAGAGCGATTAATATCTACGGGAGGATTGGGGGAAAAGCAAGCGCAGTGCAGCCATGATCAACCAGCCCAGAAACAGAGCAATGATTTGAGGCCATCAATTCGCCTCGTCCATTCTCTGCCGATGACCCATCCATCCCATCTCACGTGCTCCCGTTCCGCCTCCTCCTCCGTCCCCGCCTCCGCCTCGGTCGTCATGAATAAAGCGAGCGGAGGAATAAGAGTGAGGCAAGATGATGGTGTTCTCCCCTTTCGTACAAAATACGTTCTTTCGGAATTTCTCGCCATAGCAGCACCTACTATTATATCAGGGGTTTCTCGCGGTGCTGGTAAACGGCCCGAGATACCGTTCAGTTCTGCGATTCTTCTTCCGATGGTGAAATGATAATCTGTCCCGCCATGCATTGCAGGGAAAAGATCGCGATCGCCCAACTATGCCAGGAGTAAAGAGCAACCCTTGCGTCCGACCTGATCCGTAAAACAACCCATAACGCCGTTGCTCAAACCCGAAACGCCGTGGGGTAACTGATGAAAATGAAATCTATAATGTCGCCTCGTAATAAGAGGATGCCGTGTTCTTCGTCTGCAGTCAGGGGTCATGAAAGTGTTGTATGTAAAATATAGACGAGGCACAACTGCCGTGTGGAGCCGTAGCTCGGGCGTCCCGGGATTTGATGAGTACCCGGGCCGTTGCTACCATTGGGGTGAATGGTTACCGCTCCCGTTCGAGGCGGTGGGATAGCTGGGCCCAGCCAGCGGGGGAAGGTCCTGGAAGAAGCTCGCCACACCCGGCACACCGGAGAAGTTCCCACCAAGTCCTATGGCAGGAGGCTCCATATGAGACATTCCGGCACCACCATCATGTGTGTGCGGGTATGCCTGTTCATGGAGCCCGGGATTCACCAACAGCGGAGGCGTGAAACCGGGATGGGGTGTGTTTGACATGTGAACCGGACCGAGCCCTAGGGGATCTAAATGGAGCGGCATCACTGGGGGCATCTGTCGGCCACCGCCAGGGCCGCCTCCGTTGTAGTTGAAAGGCCCATGGCTGGCCGCTGAAAGCTGTCGGGCGAAATGCGGTGTCAGTGATCGTCGCGGATCGTGCGAAAATGGATACCAATTAGACGGAAGGTTAGGGGGATTTACACGCTCACGGGCCGGGCTCGGCTGCGGAGGGGCCGAGGGGACGACTCCCCCAAACGAATTTGGGCGGCTGTTGCTGGGTCCGTTGTTCGATGGCAAGGTTCGGACGCTCCCGTGGCGAGGGCGAGTGCGTCTCCGCATCTCCGGAGCCTCGGAAGGAGGCGAGCGACGGTCTCCCGTGTGCCAGGCCCGCGGTGGGCTACCATCATATCGGTTCTCATCACGCTGTGACATATACCTCACGTAGGCTTCAGCCTCGGCTCGATGCATGCTCAACGTGCTCCTGTGCCATGACATTATTATTAGCTGAGGAGGGTGTGGGTGGTTAATGATATGAGAACTTACGCAGAACCTGCAGTGCCTCCTCGATTCTCGCCAACGGGAGGAGGCCTAGCATGTTGCCGGGATGTATACGAGCTTCTCAAGAAGAAGTCCCTCAGAGCTTCGTAGTTTGCCCGAAACTGGGGTTCCGAAGGCACCTTGTCTCGGCAATAAGGGCAGCTGTCCGACTCTTCAAACCACTTCTTGATGCAGTGATCACCAAAGACATGCTTGCACCTTGGCAGCCGGAGTGGGGCCTCATTAATGCCCTCGGGATTGCGCACGCCGAACTCGTTGTAGCAGATCACGCACACTAGGGACTGTTAGCCAAACTTGGCGGAGGAATTTGTGAATGGCCATGACTTACTCCGCTCACTCTCAGGCAGACTGCTAATTTCAACGCTCTGCAGAGAAGAAAGAGCACCCTTTGATGCCACCCGCTTGCTAGACAATTGACCACGGAGTAGCTGGTGTGCGCGGATCCGAGCCTCATCCACATCTCCAACCCGCAACGGGATTGGGGCGCCAGTAGCGAGGTGTTGCTCGATGAATCGCAAGGCATTCTGCTCATCCTCGAGGATATCGGGGAAATCAGCTTCATCGTCACTGTCGTAATCTGAGCCACGATTGTTGTTCGCATGGGAGGAGGACTGCCTTAGGGTGGCAGCCTGCCGCCGGCGTTCGGTATTCGGGGGAGCCGGGGGGGTTGTGGGAAGCAAGGGGGCGGCCGCATCAGCGTCGGGGGTTGAGCCGGCTGGAATCGGGTTTGAAGTTGGATCCGTACGGGGAGCCTCGGCACCAAGAGTTGAAGGGTGAGTGCGGGGCGGCTCCGGTAAACCCGATAGCATCGAGCCAGTGCTGGTGATGAAAGGTGGGCGGCTGGAGGCCCCCGCTTGGCCCTGAGGGGCCGCAGGACTCGACTCTCCAGGGTTCGACATGGCGGGCTGCTGTTGGGGGATCTGTGGGGGGTTCAAGGGCGGAAGACTCATGCGGGAAGCAGAATGAGCGGGAATTGACCGGTCGGGAGTGAAGGATACCTGATGGGAGGCGGGGTGGTTTGGCTGGTTTGTCTGGCTTAGCTGCGGAGGTGGCGGAGGTTGCTGGCCAAACCTTGGATGATGAAGGGCTGAAGTGTGGCGAAAGGCGAAAGGGAATGAAGTAGGCAGGTCGTGGTGCGGAGGGTGAGGAGGGCCGTGGTTTTGAACCGGAGGGGTTGGAACTGGTCCGGAAGGTCCGCCGGGTGTGCCTGCCAGGGCGGGGCCTGGTGAATAGTATGGCTCGGAAGAAGGTCGAGAATGGTGGGCTGGTGGATGTGCAGCCAGACTCGGTCCTCCAGCCGAAATAAAGGGCAAGGACGGAGGAGCAGGCTGGGGGAAGAACAGATTATTGACCGAGTCGTACTGAAAGTTCGAGGGAGCGTTTCGGTTCAAAGAGCTTCGAGTCGCCGTGTCCCGCCAATACGGACAACCAGACTGCTGCGGCTGGTGTGGCTGAGGGTTTGAGGGGCCGTGACCGTCCATCACATAGTCCATGTCATCCATAGTGCTTGCTTTGCCTGTTGGTGACACTCCGGCCTAGCCCAGAAAGTGAGGGAGAGGCAGAGGCCGGAGGTTGGCGGTTGGCGGTTGGCGGCTGGTGGAGCAGATTATAGCTGGCTGACTTGATTGTGAGGGGCTCAGGCCTGTTGCAGCACGCCTTCTGTCCCTTTCTCTTTATCTTTCCCTTTCGCTGTTCTTTTTAAGATGGTCGGCACAAATCTCCAGTTGCTGCAGTTGAGGTTGTCGACACTTGGGACACTTGGTCGAGGGAAAAGGGTGGTGTCGGGGTTGACGGAAGGGAGGGAGAGGTACCTGCCGTCATAGGCGAGGGCTCCTAGGCAAGTTCGACGTACTCGATATGGTGAGGGGCAGAGCCGGAGGTGGGTCGTACATACAGGGTTGGTTGCTCCAGTGGGGTGGATTGTCGCGGGAGGTAGGGATGCGATAAGAAAGGTACCTAGGCAGACCGTCCACCTCAGTTTTAAGTAGGTTGACCTGCTGATTCCGCTAGCCTGAGCCTGATGCCTGAGTCTGAGCCTGGGGCCCAAGTCCGAGAGCCTGAGCGGTGGAGGTGGAGAAGGTATGTTGCAGAGGTAGAGGTGGGAAGGTGGATCGAGGTGTCGAGGTAACGAGCGAGTCTCGAAATAGCCACTGCGAATCAGGTTGGTTGGTTTGCCTGCCTTTCTGTCTAGTATTAATACCGGCGACAATTCACCACCCCCCTCGGCGGGCTTGTCAAATCTTGGGTCCAACCAAGGTCAGCTTACCACAAATTCACAAATCCACAATCGGGCCAGGACAACGGCGAGTTCTGCAGCCGCCAGTTCCTTTTCAGGCCTCCTGTTTCGGCTTATTGTTTCGCTGTCCTTTCTCGCAGTGTCTCTTCCTTTGTCGGAGGCCGTATCCGTCGTTTCGAGGCTTGCGTAGTGGGGGTAGTTGGAGGGTGGAGGTGAGAGAGGGGTGAGGAACTCCGCAGGCCTGGCTAGCAGGAGGGGGGGAGGATTGGTAGCGTGTTGACGAGAGAACAGGCAAGAGGTGTTGGAGAAGAGACGGCGACAAAGGTGGAAAATAGGAACGGGAGAGAGATCGGGGAGGGGGGAGGAAGAAAGGTCAGGAGCAGTGAGGGAGAGGCGGCTTTTAGTTTGGCAAGCTGGCACGCGGGATTCACTTGTCAATTCGCATCCGGTCGGTCACAGACAGCCAGGCGTCCACTGGCAGGGAGAGCAAGGGCAGACATTGGATTGCTTACTCTCATGTAGGCAACTAATGTATTGTGACCGCTTACCACTGGGTCTGGGTCGGAAAGAGGAGTTACCTATAAAAGCTAGCTGCCTGCCTACTAAGCCAATTGTACATCCGTATCCGTACATCCATGTGCGTGTAAACCGCACCTGTACGGGTATGAGCGAGTCTATGCTATGGTATGCGTGGGCTTTCTTGTGCCATGATAAATTTTGTCCGCTCGGGCAGGGGGAGCCTGGGAGGGGCACCACTCAGCAGCAGGCCAGCGGAAGCAGCACCAAGACCAAGACCAAGACCAGCAGCAAATCGGGGCGATAGCGCGATGGCCGTAACTGGCCATAACCTGGAAGGTATATGCAGTTAGTTAAGTGGGTACCTGCCTTCGTCAACTAGGTACACACGTAGGTTCGCAGTTAGGAGAACATTGGATAGGAAAAGCATGGGGCATAACGCGTACAGCTGATCTCAAGCCAGGGGTGTCCCATTCTGGGGGGGAAGTATGTACGAATAGGATGGAATGAATGTCTTGGTTGATGCTGGCGGCTTGTGCTCCGGTTTCCTTTTTTTTGCGCCAACCACGCAAAGAACCATGTCTGACAGGCCACCCTCTGCATTTGATAGCCGGTCCCTGTCCAGTCACGGATGTTGGCTGCTGTGCTGTGAGCCTGTGACCTGTCCATTGCTTGCTGGCATGGGCCCTTAAATCATGGAGTCATGGATCTTAGTGCTTGTCTGAAGTATCCGGAGCTAACTGGGCAGGTACCCACCTAGGCCACAATACGTTTACTAATATGCAGTACATTGGATCCAAAGTAAAAAGGCCCAGACCGCTGCCATGGCAGGTGCGATTGCCAACCTATGTGTACGAGTTCCGAGCGCCACGGCGAGACGGGCAGTTCGGGCGAAGCTGCCTGCTACCCTACTGCGGAGTAAGAAGACAGCGGCGACATCCATTGTTGGCCTTTTTGTCTATCTTGCGCCAGCCCTCATTCCATATTATCCTCTCAGTCCCCCAAGAAGAGGCGGGAACCCTTGCTGTCGCACCGCTGAAGCAGCCGTGTGTGACATGGGTGCCCATTCAATGAATATCACCAACCAAAACCTCAGTTCGCTGAGTTACAAGTACTACACCTTGCCTCCGTCCCAGACTCCAAAAGCACCCTTATTGCTTTCGTCATATTTCGGCAACTCTGCGTTCTGCCTTTATATGATAAAGGCGCAAGAATGCAATGGCAACAATTAACAAAGCAACAATCGGCTGTTTGTCCCACACTCTAGGCAGGCTACAAAGGGATGCTAGGGAGGCAATTTACTGACTTTACCTACCTGAACTACTCGCAATGTTTTCATTCCTTCATTTCTGGAGAGTTTGCCAGGGTGGTATCATGCCGATTAACTCGGCTCTGGGATATAGACAGTCCTCTTTTTTCATCATGATGTCTGGGAATCCACAGCCGATATGTGGATATATCCTCATAGTCTAATCCTCCGAGAACCGCATTGGGGGGCATGGACGAGGTGGCAATGGACGAGGCTTCGCTTGGAAACCCCAGGCACACCTCGCTGTGCCTTTAACAGTTTTGGTGCCCTTTGCAGGCATTGTATCTGTACCACAACATCTGTCACATGTACTGTGGTATTCTGGCACTGACTCAGAGGTTTCAGCGTCGCTATAATATAACCAGTCCCCCGCCGTGCTTTCGCGGCTCGCACGGCACTTCTTGGTCCTTCTTCCTTAGCCGGCCGGCCGTGGTGGGATGGACGACTCCTTGATACTGTGGCTCACTTACGGGTGCCCAGATTTACTGCGTACGTGTTCCAGGCTCTTGCTGCCTCCTCACTCTCACTCAGCTCGCTTGCTGGGCTTTGCCACCTCCACAGGCCACACGATGGCCACCCACCCCCCCAGCCCAAGGTGCAGCAAATAGCGCAGCAGCAGGGAAAAGAAATGTCCCATATCCCGGCCGTCACACTCGTGATTTCTCGGCCAGTCCTCTTGAGAAGCCAAGGTTCCGCTCTGCCTTTTTGGTCCGCCCCCAGTAGTGCAACACAAGGGCGCTGTGATAACTGTATCCGTCCTGCAGACCCGCCCGTTTTGGGTCTTTCTCCTGCCTCAAGTTACGAGGGCGAGCATTAGGCGACCTATAATCCTAATTAAACGCTTAAATTTGGAAGTCGTCGCCCCTACATCAACGTATTTTGAAAGTTAAAAGAGCCAAGAAATTCATATCTTTACTCTCCAGGGAGGGGGTGATAAAATGGTTACAAGTGCGATCACGAATGCGTCAATGGGGTCATCCAACATGAAGCTTTAGGGTTTTCGTTTTCCGCACTTGACATTTACTATGGCACACTCGAAAATGGAGGAAATTCAGCCAGCGTAACTCAAAACTAACTAAATAAAAGACGACCGGAAGGCAAGAGAGGAAAAAGGGAAAGAAAAAGGAAAAAGGAAGTCGGAGAAAAAGGAATGTGGTGCATTGGCCTGACGGACGGACGGACAGACGCCTGACAATTTCGAGTGTCAGCCGTAATTGCGCCCCTCGTCATCGCCCCGGCTCGAAGGAGGGCCAAAAAAGGCGAACCGCAGACGATCTTGTTGGACAAGAAAATGTTGCAGGAGGTTGAAGCGACCGAGTGCATTTTCGTCTTGCACCGTTCCATCCGGCCCCCTAGACTTCCGTTTGGAGCGTCGCACCCCCCTGCCAACCAACACTTTCACACCACCACCACCACCACCACCCGAGACCCCGTCCTTGCATCCTCACCTGACTCTCTCCCTTGGCCGAGTCGTATTTCGATGCACGTTCGGCCTTTCACATTTGTCCGAATCAGTCGACCTTGATATTAACTGCCTTTACTGCCCGGAAAAGCTTTGAATCTATCACCAGGGGCACACATTCTCTCCACCTCGGACCAAGCAGTCAGGGACCAACAAACGTCCACATTACATACCCTGTTGCTTGCCTGGTTTGTCTCATTTCCCTCACAATATCACCTTTTTCTTTCCTTTTCTTGTGCCGCCGCATCTCATCACATGCATACCCGATACTGTGGCTTCGCATCTCCAGATCCCCTTTCTTGGCCTCCAGCCGCTTCTGCCGTCATTCAACGAACAAAGCCAGATCCGAGCTCTCCCTGTCCTCGGCCATGGAATGAATACGTGTCGCTTCGAGGCCCTCAACGCTACCTGCAGGCGGATGCGAACAATGGCCACCCACCTTTCTGAGAAAACCTCCACGTCCCGGTGGCCCACCCTGTATGTCTATATCTCTAGGAGCCTAACCAGGTAGTAATTATGCCGTCAAAAGGAGGCGGTCACCCTCATCGCTCTGGAAGCCGACCTTCGGGGGGTGATGCCATCATGTTCCTTCCAGCCGTCCGATATAGAGCAGCCTAGAAAGTCCGTCACTCGAAGAGTAAGTAGCTGTTCTTCGCCAGGGACTTTCCACCCGGCTATCTCTTTTCTCTTTCTCCCTGTCGCGTCGCACCCCCACCCGCACTTGGACGTCGTCCTCCCGTTTGCTACCAAGTTCGGCCGGGCCCGGAGCGCCACAGTCTCGTCTGGGAACGCCCAAAGGGATGAGGATGGATGCTGCTCTCGGAATGCTTTTCCTGCGACAACTTTAAGGAGTATTAGCCAGGGGGTTGGGGGTTGGGGTTCTTGCTCTGGATGCCGGGTTCATACGGGCTTGCCCCGGGGCGGCAGAAGGGCAAGGATGGACACGTAGGCGGTTCGAAGACCGTTCCGGGGCTTTGGTAGGATGCATCAACGGGTATCGGGATTCGAGAGGATGCGGTGCTCGTACGGGGTCTATCGGACCCTACTACCAGGGGAGGAGAGCCAGTGGGGAAAGGGGGAGGGACCCAGGGAGCATGAAGCACGGCCGTGGCATGTTTGTGTGGGATGGATATGGATTCCGTCAATGCTAGGGCTTGTGTGGTAGCCCTGTTATTGTATGTTTGGTATATATTATACGCCCTGCGCAGCAGTCTCAGCCTAGTCTGGGAATGGTCTGCCCCTTGCTATCAAACAACAGCTAGAGGGGCAGTGTACCCATACGTAAGTATATGTATTGGCGAGAAGGTATGCAGTCCCAGCAGCAGTGAGCCAGGATATCCATCATCCACATGCAGCATCAAGAGCCACAAGAAGGGCACCGTCGACCCTACTTCTTGACCAACCGATACTTCCCCCCCACGACCTCCAGCTCCCCCTCGGCGACCTTCTCGCCCAGGAACCCCTGCAGCTCCTCGTCGCCCCAGGGAAACCCGTCGGCCACCAGCATCCGCATCATCATGCCCACCTGCGCCAGCGCCATCGTCGCTTTCGCGTTGGTCAGCATCCCCCGCACGTACTGCCAGTACATCTGCCGCCGCGCCCGCTCCTTCTCGCCCATGCCGACCCCCACCGCCGCCGCCGCCCGGCCCTTCGGGGGACTACCCCTGGCTTCCCGCTGCTGCTGGTAGTCGTCATCGCCGTCGTTGTCGGCGTTGTCCGCGCCAACCGCGGTGGGAGAGGCTCTCTCGCCGGTCGGGGCCCGGGAGCCATCCGTGGTTGGGCCGGAGAGCGTCTCGACGACGGAGTAAATGTCGCCCTGCGAGCGGCGCAGGACGCCCTTGGACGCCCAGAAGTCGAGCGCCGAGAGGACGAGATCGTCGTCCATCTGGAGCTGGTCTACGAGGTCCTGGACGCTGCGGCGGGCCGGCGGCCGCGGTGCGTCCGTCGGTTGCCTGCTCGAGTCTTGCGGGTCGTCCTGGAACGCGTAGATGACCGTCGCCTCGTAGGTCTTGCACTCGGTCGTCACTGTCCGGTCCTGGAGCTCCAGCTCGACGGTCGCCTGGCCCAGCTGGTTGAGCCACGTGAGTTTGCGCGACGACTTGAGGTGCTCGTACCCCTGCTCGTATTCCTTTTGCTGCTCTGCGACCGGCGCGGGGAGCAGGAAATGCTCGCGGTCGAGATTTGGCCAGAACAGCCGGGAGAGGATCCGTGCATGGTATGGCGCCGCCGCCGCCGCCTCGCTCTCTTCCTTGCCTCTCAGTCTCAGGTTGGCCGGCGTGCCGGCGACTGGCTGTTTACCCACGTCCCCGCGCCCCTTCCTGATCGTGGCATTCAGCCTTCTCGAGTCCAGTATGTCCCTGACCATCACGTCACAGTCCTGCAGCGCGCTCTCGCCGAACCTCTTCTTGAGCAGGTTGAGGACGCGGATCTCCTGGTCGAAGCGCGCCCGGTCGGTGAGGAGGCGCTCGGCGACGATGACCTGGAATTCGCGGATGAAGGCGTCTCGCGATCCCAGCGATGATATCAATGTGCCGATCACGTCTTCGCTCCGCGCCCGCTTGTAGTTAGCCCCCGCGTCGACCGGGTCCGGAACCCACGACATGTCGCTCCAGTCCAGGTCTGCGTCGTCATCGGGCCCCATGGCACGGCGACTCTGGGCGGGGTCGTTGAGGAGTAGGGCCAGTTCCACGAGCTTGTCACCCGGGTGAAGGTTGGGGGCAGCTGCCGAGCCCTCGGGAAGCTCTTGGATTCCCGCTTCGTCATCCGCCGCCTCTCTGCTAGGCGTGCCTTGTTTCGAACTGGGGCCCCGACCGGGTAGGGCGGGAGTCATGAACGGGCCGGCCTCAGCATCCTTGAAACCGGCCCCTCTGCTCGACGCCTCTGGCTCCTTCAGGGCCTTCTCTATCCTCGCAGCCCGGATCTCCTCTGGCGAGGCCAACAGTCCCGTCACGACGATTCGCACTGCATCTTCGCGGCTGCACAGGTACAATTCCAGGCTCGGTACTACGCGCGCCAGCAAGACCTTGCTCTGGTCGAGGGTGTGGAAGGTACGGATGAGAGCCATGTACGTCTGCAGGATCTCGAGCGTCGATCGCCCTGGATGGAGCAGGCGCCTCTCAAGCGCTTCAGCGAACGAGTCAGTCAACTGCAGCCGGCGCGCAGGCGTAGTGATGGCCGCGCGCAGGTCGTCGAGAGCTCCGCGAGATGACGGCCACGCCAGCACAATGTCGAAGAGTTCGGAGATGCGTAGTGCCGCGAGACGGCCGAGCGCAAGGGACTGGTAGGTCTTGACGTCGGCGAGGGTGACTGGTGGTTGATTTGAGGATTGGGATTCCGTTGTGAGGCGACTCAGCACCTCAATGGCCAGTCGTGCATAATGGTTCTCGACCCAGTCACAGAGGGAGGTAATGCAAGGGGACGCAGAGCTTGCGTTCGTGGCCAGCAGCCCTGTTATCGGGGTTCCCATCTTGCTCCTCGGAAAGCCTGACTGGTGCCTTGATGTCGTCCAGACGCCAGCGTACGCCCCTTGCACAAAATCGGACATCATACCGTCCATGACTTCGGCAAACAGAATCTGGAATTTTTCGCCCGTAAGACCGACATTATAGAGTGGCTCCATGAGTTCAAACAGCCGCTTCCGTGCTGCGAGCGACTTCAGGTCATTCTCTGATGGAGGGGCTGGCCGGGCCAAGGTAGGATTATGCACGGGGTTCTGGACTTCCCCTGACGGGACACCCAGTATACCCCCGATGAGACGTATGAGCACAAAACGTAGTGATCTCATCAGCCTCGGAGACGCCGAGTTACTGACGAGGGCGTGGATGTCTCTGCGAAATCGCGTTGCCATGAGCCGGGGGTCGGCAGAAGTATTGTCTCCGCCAGTAGCCCCCAACCGCTGGAGCCCACGGACGATCAACTGCAAGCCATAGGAGTACAATCTCAGGGCTGCTTCGAGGGTACGAACGCTGCTCATGACGACAACCATGTGCTTCTCGTAGTAGTTGCCCCGTCTCCCATCCCCCTCAGCCCCTGAATCCTCCGCATCGGTTTGTCCCTCTGTACAAGCCGACAAGAGCGGCATCACATGCTGGGAAAAATGCCTCCGGACCTGCTGCGTGTGCCACATGATGATGTCTTCCGTGTGTGCCGCCCATGGGAGTGCCGTGTGGGCGTTGACAACCAACCGTAGAGCATCATAGAATTCGGCCTCGGAGTTCGCGCTTGAGCTCTGAGACTGGTATTGCGACTCCGGAGCTAAGGTACCGAAGGAGTCTTCCGCGGTCGCGGAGGACGGAAGCGCAATCCGAGAGGTGACCACATGCCAGGCGCGGTCATACCGGATCTGGTCTTCCGCTGCGTTCTGCACTGGGAACAAGGGTACCCCTGATGGCTGTGATGGGGAAAGGAAATCTGGGATGGTATGGACGTGGCTCGACGAGGACGCATTCACATCCGGGGGGGCAAGTTCGTTTCCCAACTGGCTCTGCGTCGGCTGTGCCTCGAAGCTGCTCCCTTGGATGGCGGCAGACGGAACGGCTGAGCCACCATGTGCGTGAAAAAGATGCCGATCAAGCTGGGAGATGGGAAGGTGTCCGCCGAATGGCTGCCCCTGCTCAGGAAACCTGAGGGAGGGCGTGGAGTAGGGCGTTGGCTGGGAGATGTCGGTCTGGAACACAGACTGATAGACACGTTGCCGTCGGCTCCTCCACTTGGACGTCACTGCCACCGCCATTAATTTCCTGGTTGGGGGTCACTCGAGACCAATTGCAGAGCTGTTGGCGGACCCAAGAACGATGCAGGATTAACCGAGATGCCTGAGTCGATAATTCAACTGCGGTTTCCCATCCACAGAATCACTTGGCGGGTTGCAGATCACCAAGATGGATCGGGCATGGCGAGCTGCGCCCGTCTTTGCTTCTCTCGTTTACAGCAATGTGATTCACTCCCTTACCGCCGAAGAGAAGTGATAAGAGCTTGCCCACGGCCACCAACACACAGGTGGTCATGCAGCTGGATGTTGGTCGCTGATGGGGTCGGCGGGGTTGGCGCGGTTGGTTGAGCGATGGGCTGATGGTAGGTGGATGGGAAATATTGAATTCCTTCGTGGATGACAAGATCGAACAGTTAGTGGAATGCCTCGTGGCGGCAAGGTGTGGTGTTGTTCACTTGTTGACATGCATCGGTGTTGAAGGCTCGGTTTGGATGCTCCGACGCGCCCAAGCGCCACGATTACAGAGTGGATACGCACCATGGCGCTTATTGGCGCGACCGCACAGGGTAGAAGCGCGTCGGCGCGTACAGTGCATCTTTGGTTCCTTAGTGGTCTACCAAAGCAGGTATCTCGTAGGTACTTCCCTTGAGCCAATCAGATGCCTGTCTTACCGAACCCAAGTTACTGTAGCTGTACCTGCCTTTCCAGGCTTTCTGCACATGACGCTCCCTGCAGTTCATTACCAATACGTAATGAGCAAAACCAAATGGAGGAGTGCACCAGGCCTTGCTGCGGTTTTGGACCAGCTTCTGCTATGTATCTATGTATGAATAACTTGGGCAGTGAGTTGAAGAGCCGTGGACAGAGACCCCGGACTAGCTCAATCCAACCATCCTCGGACTCGGTTCACGAGTCAGGTCGGCGAGGTTGGACCCAACAACTGGGGTCCCCATGGCGTTGCAAATGAGTGTTCCATTTAAACCCGCAAAGCGGAGCCGAACCATGGGCCGGGAGCCGGCCGTATCTTGAGATTCTCGACCCATGTCCCACATTTCCCGTCGGGTTCTCTGGAATTTCAGGGCTGGGCTGGTCGACTAGCTTAACTCCGGGGTACTACACAGTATGTAGTGTCTGGTTGTCTGGTTCAAGAGATCGACAATCGGAAATAAACAACAACTTCCGTACTGCTTGTCGATGTCGATGCTGGGAAGTGATCCCGTCGTCGTATCCAAGGGGGGGCGTGTGTTGGCGTGAGGAAAGGAGTGCCCAAGCAGGAATACCAGTACCAACTGAGCTAGTTGGGCTTAGTGCAAAGTACCTGTCTGGGCCGACTCCCCTCCCGCTTACCAAGGGACGGAAAATGAGGTTAAGAAGCCGGCCTAGGGGAAGAAAAGATTGAGCCTGTTTCCATGCGCAAGATACGCAGATCAGAAGCACAGGGCCGAATCATGTGGGGATCTGGGAATAAGAATGTGTAAACTCCATCCTCACCATGCGCCACGGTACCGACATCGATTGGCGTCTTTACGTTGCGAGCCGGATTCCGAAGTCCCATGTAACCTGATCTGCAGTAGGTAGGTACGCATTGACATCTGTTGTGGCGCCCGACTCGGGGTTTTCGGGCCCCGGAAAGCCCTTCACCGGGGTCTAGTAAAGGGCCAGAGCAAGCATCTACCGAGGACCAAGCAACAGCTAGCATTGGTCTTTTCTCGGGGCTAAGATTTGTTCGGCTTTCCGACTACCCCGTTTACCAGCCTGATGAGTTTCCAAGCTTCCAACAAATTGGATCCATGCCCCCATGTTACCACACTGACGGGCAGCCCAGACGGGCGACCAGTTTCTATTTCTGTCTCGGCTGTGAGATATCCATAGTAGGTGGTCGATCTCGACCAGGCGACTACCTGAACACCACCCAGCCTGCAAACGAACCTGGAAGCTTTTTGAAACATGCAGTGATGAAGCCCCCCCTGGTTCGCCGACCCCGGATTTTTTTTTCAGACAACAGCATTTTCTTGATGTTTATTGGCTGTCACCCCTGCGGGAACGTTGCTGGTCGTCCCGTCTCTCTCTAGAACAGCCCCCAATCTATCGCTGTTATCGCTGTAATGCCGAGCCCGCGAGTCTGCCTGACGTGCCATGCAAAGGTAGAACCCGTTTTAATCCTTCCCCCTCTCCCGCAATAAAGCAGAACGCCTTACTCAAAAAAACAACATCCACTTGCCGCAACACTCACAGAATCTGACCCCAAGATACATCCTCGTTTCTGCCGGCAGACACGAACACGGAGGTAATTGAACATGCCAAAACCCAAGAATGGAAACGAGGATGACATGAGCCGGTCTGCGATTGCAGCGCCCATCTCGCGACCCCGCACGGGCGATAGTCGCCGATGAAGAAGGCATGCGGCACAGAAAGGGAGCCAAACAGCGAATACCACCACAGCGTCACACACGCTCAGGAAGCTTACGAAGTGTCACCACCACCACTACACTACAGCACCCCTCCCCCTGGCCTGGTTGGCGCGCTCTTACTGTTATTTTTTGCGCCTTTCCCCCTTCCTCTAGTCGCTACTACCCGCCCCCCTTCGGCGTGCATGGGTACGTTTGATTGACTTGGGCACTCTATTTCTCAGTCAGCCTAACGGGTTTGTCCGTTACTTTATTGCAGTTCGCCCCGAGGAGACGACACAACCCCCTCCTTCCCCGCCGCCCCGCCCCCCGCACAACGGTCGCCGCGACGCGACCCCCTTGTTGGGCTTCTCGTAGGAGCCGATGATGTCAAAAAATGGAAGAGGGGCCCGAATTACAGGTAGTGGCGGCTGCATTAGTAGAGTTGCGTATTGCTAACCCTCCGTCTCTCTCTTTACTTTTCGTATGTGTGCTTTCAAATCATGCCTATGACATGGTAGATGGCCAGGGGTTGGTTATTATCCCACCCTCCCCTTCTCTCCGGGCGCTCCACGTTGATTCCTGCTGGTGGGTTGCATTCGCTTCACGGAAGCGTGGCACAGCGGAGAACAACTAACCCGGGGAGCGAGGTGGTGGGTATCTTGAGCGATGGGCGATGAGTTCCCCCAGTCTGGGGGAAAGGGTTGAAGGGGGGGAGAATAGGCGGTGGTCGCCGTTATCATGTTGCCAGGCGTGTCAGTGGAAGTAAGGCGTCTAGCTCAATGTATTCTCTATTCTCTTCTCCCCTATCTCTTGTATGTGTGTAGGTGTATCAAAAAAGGGTATATTCGCAACAAATGGGGGCAGCATCCCCCCCCCTTTTCCCCATAACAAAATAAGCAGCGGAACTGCCTTGCCCTGGAGAAGAATATCCATCTCGTCCAACCCGTTTCGGCCATTTCCTCCATCCTGATCGTGATGCTCGTAAAAGAAAAATAATAATAAAAACCACGTAAAAAAAATGAGGGGATGGGGTAAACCAAGACGGCGATCCAACGAGTCTCTCCAACCTGATGTCGGGGCCTCATGGCCATCCCTTGCTCCAGTCCTGCTGTTCTATATACAAGAATCGGGAGTGAAGGGACAAGTGAGAGACTCTCTCCTTTCCGGCAAAGTAGAATAAATGCTGAGGGGGATATGTGCCCATGCCCCCCGGGGAGGGGGACAAAAAAGAAGAAATTGAAAAATGCAGTAGAATGGCTTTGGCAGCGTAAACATGCCCCATGCGCTCCCCGTTTCCCAATGTTCAATCCCCAGGTGGTACTTTTCCTCCATCGTTTGCTTCTCTTTCCCAATTCATCATGATCGCACAGGACAGGAGAGCAAGCCCCCCATCCAAGCAGCTAGCTCTCACCACCACCGGGCTTCTTCTGCCTGCATTTGTCATGCAGCAGGTGCCCGTTCCGCGCGGTGGTGCGCGTGAACTCGGCGCCGCAGTTGGGACAGGTGGCCTTGGCGGCCTGGCCCGACTTCTCGCGCTGGTGCCGCAGCAGGTTGCTGAAGGTCGAGAACTGCCGCCCGTTGCACCCGTGGTCCCAGCACTGGGGCTTGGGCCGCCCCTGCACCACCCGCACGTGCGACGAGCCCGCCCCTGCACCCTCCTCCTGCTGCTGGTGCTGGTGCTGCGCCGATGCCGAGGGGGACCCCATGCCCATCGAGGAGGCGGCGGAGGAGTATAACAAGTTGGGGTCTGTCATTGTTGGCCTTCTGGGGCGAGGGAGGTTAGTACTGTGTAATGAGATAAAGGGGGCGCCTGAGGGAGGGGAGATATCCGGGGTACTCACCCATAGTTTGAAGGCAGGCTCGGCGCTGTCGAGGCTGAGTAATTTGGCGAATAATCAACCGACATGTACTGATGTTGTGGGTACGGGTTCGAGTACATGCCGGCGTCCGCGATGGGGGGCGAGAACGAGGGCAGATATGGCTGGGACGGGATCGGCGAGGACGCCGAGGGGTAGATCGGGAGGCCCGCCCCGCTAGTGGTCAGGTCAGCCATCGTCACTGGCGGCGAGTGACCGTAGGAAGACCCGCTGCTGGTCCTCCCGCTACGGGCGGCGAGCTTGGAGCTGTGGCGGGCGTGGTCCCGCTGGCGTTTGATCTCCCGCTGTCCCGCCGTGAGCGTCCCTATTGGGGGGCTCGCGGTGGCTGATCTTGATCCGCTTGGAGGGGTCAGGCTGGCGTCTGAGGCGTAGGAGCCTAGGTCGTGGCCAAGAAGACCCCCGCTAGAATCGAGGACTGAGAACATGCTGTCAGAGCCGCGAGGCCGAGAAGGGGGGGGCCCGGCTTCTCGATCCTTACCTGGCCAACTGAACAATGATCTCCCGGCCATATCGAACGTTGAATCGTACTGGAGCGCGACGGTGCTGAGGCGATTGTCAGTGGTAAGACAGCTTGCCCAAGGGCAGCGAAGAGAGATACGAACCTCATAGTTGCCGATTGGGAGTTGGAAGGTGGGGATGACGAAGGTGTGAGTTGAGAGTAGGTCTCCGCCGGATCTACTCGCAGCAACGGCGTGCCCTGGGCTGTAGACTGAGTGTTGTCGAACCAGTTTACATCCAACTCCTCATCCAATGGAAGTGAGAAGGTGGACTGGGTGTGAGAGGTGAGAGCAGGACGGAAGGCAGCGGAGGTAGGGTCCGGACTGGTGAGAGCCGGAGAAGTTCGACTTCGCAGAGAAGCTGGTCTACTACAGCTATATGTAGGGTCCAACGAGGTGTTTGCAGGCGAATCGGCAAGCTGCAAGGAACGCAGGAGTCCCTCTGTTGTTGATACCCCACTGTTGGTTCTTGACCTGGGCGCTTGTGAGAAAGATTCATCGAGACGGTGATCTGGATATGTCGGATCCATTGCGAAAGGGGAGTGAACAGAAGTGAGACAGAACTGGTGAAAGAGACTGAGCAGCACACATACGATGTCTATGACGTGCACTAGGAGGTGACCCTTGACTTGAACTTGGGACTGAGACGGCAAGCACGACTGGACCGATCGGGGCGGCAGTCCCCGACTTATAAGTAAGAAAGAGAATGTGATGTTGACGATGGAAGGAGCAGACGGTGTCGAGACCAGGTGGGATAGATGCTCGCGATGGCTGGCAAGCTATAGCTATTTTCGTCGGAAGGGGAGAGCTTGTAAGTCCTCAGCCTCAATGATGTCTGGGGAGAACGGGCCCTGGATGCTTTTAATTCTTGTCGAGGCGGTACCTGGACGGAGGTATCCCTGCCAGCATTGGACTACATGTACCGCGTCTTTTAGTGCAGTCGACTGGCACAAAACCGGTCAGCGTGCGGATGTTTAGGGACTAGGCTGATGGGACTTGGCAGAATAGATAGGGCAGGTGGAGGGACCATGCATGATCCAGTGGGCTGAGACCATCAGAGAGTGAGACCCGGGACGACGGGGTGGTAGTGGGGTGCGAGTAGTGTAGACTGAAGAAGAGAGAGTGGACACCTGAACCTGGACCGCAAGGTACACTTACAGGAGGCCGTGAACGTCGTGGCTCGGGTCGCTTTGAGTGTCGAACGGCCATAACTACCAGGGGGTTTTCGGGAAGGGCAGTGAGACATGGGAGAGTATGTCGGGGTCAGTTAAGACGCGAGTACCATGTCTGGCCCCCAAGGGCCCGGTTCCAGGGGGGTGTGGTCTGGCGCGAAGCTGGCGAGACGGAGCGACAGAGACATGGGGGTCCCCATGCTTGGGCGGAGTGGCGCGGAGCATTGTAGATGAGATGTATCTTAGGCTGCCGCTTTCTCAACGATCTTACTGGGCCCAGGACGCCCAGCAGGGCCAGGATGAGTTACAGGGGGGGGGGGGGGGGAAAGAGATGCATACCTATGTACATACGCATAGAAGGTGTAACAGAAGAATAACCCTGCTTGGTGCTTTTTGGGGAAGGCTAGCGCAGAAACCGTAACCACACCTGTGTGAACATGTCATCCTAACATGTACTTAGATGTGTGGGAAGTATAGGTCATGTCATGTCCCACCCCGGATTTCGGGATGAGAATGGGACACTTCTAGCAACGAGCTGGTTGCTGCTCTTGGGTAAGTGAGTGAGTGAGTGAGTGAGCTCGACGACGGGAATTAGATATTGCAGTGAGTGTGAAAAGTACGCAATAACTACAAAGTTAGAGCCAAATGAAGTAGTTAGAGCCTCGATAGGGCCAGAGGTCATGGCGAGAATCCGGGACAGGCGGGGGGGGGGGGGGGGGGGGGGGGGGGCGGGGCGGGGGGGCGGGGGGGGGGGGGGGGGGGGGGCCGGCGGGGGGGGGGGGGGGGGGGGGGGC